TGTTTGACATTTATTACAGTTTTGCAATGGCTTCATTTCGCTCCCCGAGTAAACTCCCAGAGGCATGCTGCGAAGAAGGACAAGAAATAAGACGAGAACTACAGGAATTAAATGTAAGTTAAAAACAAACAAACAAAACAAAAAACACTAAATTAGTATGAAAAGAGACATAATAGTCCCGGAATAATGTTCTTTTAATTTATTTTGTTACAGTACAAAATGAGGGATCTTCATATACCGTTAAAAAATAAGCAAGTAGCAGTATTAGAAATGTCAAAAAATCACTGTATTGTTATGAAAAGATTATACCAGAAGATACAAGCAAATGAGCAACGGCTGGCTTTTTTGGACGAAGAGATTAAGAAAGAAGAAGAGCTTGAAAAGTCAAGTGAGTAGTTAGCATATATTGGTATACAAAACAAATGTTTTAAATCACTGTTTAACCCTTTATACCATCTCTCCTTAGATACTTTTGTAAACAAGACACTGGAAGACACTGCTAACCCTCAACTGTGACTGATGACCAAGACCAAGAATGTTAATCTTTAGCCACTGTATTTTGTAAAATTGTAAATAGTTAAATAAAACAATTCAAACTTGAAACTTGTCCGTTTGTGTAAGTAGAAGCAGGACGTTCATCATTTATATGTTTTGCAATAGAGCACTTGATGAAATCTTTAATTTCACTGTAATGAGATCAGCATGAGATATGAATAATTATTAAGAGTTGTCATAAATAGTAAGAGTTCTGTATATGTATTCTAACATAACAACATCTAGTCAAGTTTAGATGAGTTGAATTAAGAGAGTCATATCATGATTTGAGTTAATTTCAATTGTCAAGTGAAATTACTAGTCTGCCAGTAGAACAAGAGTTTTTGTGCTTAAAGTATGAAAATACATCTTGCTACACTTAAAATAAGAAGAAACATAACTTTTTACACTTAAAATAAGAAAGAAAATTGAATGTTGCTTGAATTACGAAATACACACTTGTTCCATTGGTACATAATTTCACTTGTCAAGTTGAATTGACTGAAATAAGGTCAAATGTAAGTCTTTTAAATTATATAGATTCATTTTTTTCCCCATTGTGTATACACTTGTAGTAGTTGTAAATAACAGTTTTCAGTCTAGTGAAATATTCTGCCATGTTATATTCATTTGTGTTATTATTTGTAAAAAGTTTCAGATGGCTTAGTCCAAATGAGCTCAAATTTGACATGTCACATCTACAGACATGAACTCACAGAAGTTCCCAAATTTTTTTTGGGATACTCCTTACGGTTCGCCCGTAGCACGCCGGCGAACAACGCCTTCATTTCCTGTTTTTTGTTTTTTGACCTGTCACGGCCACAGGCATTGTCCTAGAGAACTCAAATTCAAGCTTCAGTCCTGTGGACCTTAAACTTCTGAAGAACATGTGTAACTGTAATCACAGGACCATCAGCTGCTTGGAGATGATCTTATTGTCTTTATCTTCATTTTGCTTGCAGTTAGTTAATTTTCATGTTGTTCCATCATTTAACAACACAAACAGACACAAAATCTCCCCCTTGTTGTTCGAGCACGAGGTACTTTAAAGTTTAAAAAGCCTGTTAAATTATAGTTGCCTTCCCTCTCACAAAAAAGTTGTTGAATATTTTTTGGTAAGTGCTAACTTTTAATCATATACATTACTTGCACATACATGTTCAAATGGTTCATTTTAAGTTATTTTGCGTGAATGAATAATGGATTAGTGTGTTCATGAAATTTGACATTGTATTAGAATTATTTCTTATTTCTCTTCTTTTGAAGTTTCTACAATGGTTCAGATTTCTGCACAATATGTTAAATAAGGTAAAACCAGTGAACAATAAAGCATGTGTAGTGACCTATGATCCAAAATATTTGTTTAATACTGCAATATATTTTGATATTTGATATGTAAAAAAAAAAGTCATATAACATACAAGACGTACATGTTGGTTTTAAACAACCAATAAGAGGTCCATTCTTGCTTAAGGAAATATATCAGGGGGTGTGTCATTTTGTCAGACATAAAAGGAGAACACCAAACAGCCAAGATAACAAGAAGGAGGAGAGACCTCTAAGACCCAACAAATCAAGAAGGAAGAAAGACCTGTACAAGGTATGTTGTGTCTGTGCCTAAATTGTTTCGGTGATTTCAATGATTTCAGTGATTTTGATTTTTTAATGTAATGCGTATTTATTTGTGTAGAATCAGAATGGCATATTTAATTTCCATTTTTCTGTTTTACAGTATCAAATGCACGATCCTGGTCTCACAGCCCTGGAGAAGTCAGAGCTGTTTCTTGATTACAGCTTTGAGTTTTTACAAAAGTATGAGAGTGTCATATGTCACACAAGATGTCAAGAGGAGGAGATTTTTAGAAAACAGCAGGATCTACAAAAACTTAAAGAAAAAAATCAAGAAGTCCTGGAACTTCTTTTTGCAAGTGGTAATTAAGCCTTTCACTATTTTAATCACAACTTTAAATAACAACTGTTCTAAATCAAATGCTCTGTCATTAGATGTAGAGGAAGAAAAAAAAAAGGACAAGACTGAACTTTCATTCTCCACGAATCCCCCCTCTGCAGCTGTTTTGAGACTGAAAGAGCACCAAGAAACTGTGCCTGAAGAAGATGTGCCTGAAGAAGTTGTGCCTGATGAAGAATCTGTGCCTGAACAAGTTGTGCTGAGCACCATTGAGCAGTGACCAGCCAAAGCCGAGAAAAAAAAGAATGCTGACTTACCCCTGAAAATACAATTTTATATCTAAATATGGAAAATATGTGTGGATTTACTTTTATAACTAGTTAAATGTTTGTGTATCCAAATATGATTCAATAAAGACAAAAAAAAATAAAAATAAAAAATTGCGCACATTTCATATATTTTATAGTGTATTATATCTGCTGAGATCATGCATTAGTGTTTCAAATTTCAGCACAATCGGACTAAGACTATGTGTGTAATCATTTTTTAAATATTTTTAGGGGAGTCTTTGCGCCCCTATTGGCCAACCATAGAAAATGCCCCATGTGCATAATAGACTTTTTTGCTTGTAATGATGCACAAAATTTAATTCCCGAATTTGGTACAAATCCAAAACATTTCATGTTATATAGAGTTAACTTTTCATATGCTATATATTGTATTATAATCATATCATTCATGTCTCTAGATGTGACATGTCAAATCTGAGCTCATATGGACCAAACAGTGTTTGGTCCAAATGCAGTGTATAACTGATAGAAATTTCATCACAATCGGACAAAACATGTGCATATAATAATTTTTACAATATTTTTGGGGGGATTCTCTGTGCCCCTGCTGGCCAACCGTGAAAAATACACCATGACTGTAATAGACATTTTTGCTTATAATCATGCAAAGAATGTATTCCCCGACTTTGGTCCAAGTCGGATAATGTTGACATTTCATGTCTAAGGTAGGGGGCGCTATACTATTCACTTTTCATATGTTTTATAGTACAGACTCCCATTCATTTCAAAAATGTCCATTTTCAAGGGGGCGCTATTGAGTGGGGGGGCTTTGGGCATAGTCGCGATGCCCATTTTATCAAATTTTTCACCGGACCGCTCAATCTGGACCCCGGTTTGGGGACTTTTCGTCGGCGTTTAAGCCCTCAAAATTGCGATCGTTTGCAAGGAAAAATAATAATAATAATAATAAACAAACGTAAGAAACCGGCGAAGAACAATACCCCCTCGCCCCTAACTTTGTTAGTGGCGAGGGCAATGATGTAGTCCAATTTTAGACTTGATTTAGCCCTAGTTGAAAGTTGCTCACAACATCATCCATCAGGATGTAGTTCCTCATGTGACTATGACTTCTCCTTTGATACTTGCTTTGTAACTTTCTTCCTTTGCTCCAACCATAACTTCAGTGTGGCGATGACCTGCTTGATAGAAACTTTAACCTTACTACACGTACGCGTTGTTAGCAACAAGAACTGTAAATGAAGTGTGACCAAATAAACAACAGTAAAGGAAAATGATTAACAGTAGAGTAATAGGGCACATTTCATCTGTTGGCTCTTGCAACATCTTGCTTCATGGAGAGAATCCCACCACATCCACTGACTAAGCAGCATTTTTCTTAAATGTGTCATTTTCATATGAACAACTGAGGGACACAGGTTTAGTGTCTACTTGTACTGGTGATATAAATGTGACAAAATGATTACTCTTATGTAATTACACTAATACATTTTCAGACCTAATGAGTGATTTATGGATGAATAGTGAATAGTTACATGAAAGAAGTTTAATAATATCAGGATTTTTCACGTTACATTTTGGCGAGCGGCCCAGAGGCCCAGACAAAAGACCATAAGCATTTATAGGCCATGATAATGAGCAGAATGGGCGTGTAAACATGAACTCAGAATATACATATACGAAAAAGGAGGCCGCTGTACGTGCTCAAATTGAATAGGGAACAGATAAATGTCAGTTGTATATCGCCTACGAAAACATAAACTCATATAGGCACTGGAAGCTTCAGTACATGGAAACACGTTGTAAATATAACGCACATCGGGTAGCGACGGCCCATTGGACATTTGACATTCGCAAGCGTGTAATGCTGGAGCTGCTCCGGGACACCGCGTGACCAAATCAGAGGAGAGTTTGTGTGCGGCCCGCGGGTCGTTGGGCTGAGTGCGCTGCAAGTGTCTGCCAAACGAGCCTGTGGGAACGGGATGAAGACTGTAGCGATGATCAGCGGGCGACTGTACCAAGTTCGAGCTGAAAATGAACTGTTAAATTTGGGGCCCTGTTGTCTTTGCGACACTTTAAGAAGCGCGTAACTTTCATTCAGTAATCTTAGAGCAAAAAAGTTATATCAAGATACAAGGTGTGGCTGTTGTGGTGTTCTTTGTTTTGGTCCCGGCCCACGTCGTAGTGAGTAATTTTAATACAGAAGGAGAAAGCTGTGGGCGGCTCTAATCCAGTCTAAGATCAGTCACGTTTGGCCGAACCCAGAAACAGGAAGCCGCACTCATTGAAACTCTATAAAGTGAGACTACCTCTCAGGAGCATTGTTGAAAACGTGGGCGACGCGGACAGGATAAATGCGGTTAAGCGCAAGTGATGAGGACATAGTGCGATTAGCATACGACAGCGACATGCTTCCACAGAGATGTCCAGAGATGTCCAACTGTGTCTGCGCTGAGGAAGCAGCAGCCCAAATCCCGATCCGCCTCCAGATGCGGCTCCTGAGCACGGCACGCTTAATATCCGTATCCATAATCTTGCTGCTCGTCATGGTTCTGGCTATACTGGTACTGCTTCTGTTTGGGTCACGGGCATCGTCACACCAAAGCAAGGTAACATAAATGTTACGGGAATAACTCGTGTCAGACTAACTTTACTGTAAACTATTTTCATCCTGTTTTCATTGTGTAGACTGTAAACTATAGTCCTGTGGCATGAAGCTATAGGTGATCATGACAGTGTTGTGCACTTGGTCTACTCTGCCCTCTTGTGCTTTACAACAGGCTCATAGTTCACTCGAACCTCGCTCGAACTGCTACCAAAAGTCAAAATGTTTAGGCATAAACAATTGGGGAAATTGTCCTGGCACTAACCTCCTTGTGAAATGCATTTGACTGTCAAAAATAAGTATTTGACTGCATGTTGTTTGACAAAACTTGGTTGAGTAAAAATGCGTGGTTACAGTAAGCGCAGTAAGAGTACTTTAACATTCCAACATGTAATTTATTTAGACATTGTAATGAGTAGTGTGATCGTGGTTTCATTACCCACTGTTATCTACAGCTTAAAAATGTAAATCTAAAGTCTAAAATTTTAAAGCTTTGCCCAATTTTTTTTTTTTTAAGGAACTGGAACCAAGCCCACCCAATCTATCTGGTGAGTTCAGTTTATGTATAGTTACAGGACAATGTTACTATCTAGTAATCATTTCAGTGCCTTGTAATAATGTTTCACATTAATGTGTTTTTAGAAGCTCGAAGAGAGAAACAGCAATCGGCTGAAGATTTGCCACACTCAAGTGCCCTGCTAACAAGTGAGTTTAGAGGCATGACATCACATTATTACACACATGCTGACTAATATCGCACATGGTTAAGAGAATGGTGTAAACTTTGTAGTGAAACAAAACTAACATACACTACAATAATTGCTTTAAATAATTGTTAAAATACAGTATTTGGTTTGCCTAGTTTAAACCACAGAAGGTGTTGAAATGCCACATTGTAGATTTTACTGCAACATTTCTCATTGTATGCTAAATTCACAATAAAATAGATTCATTATATGTTAACATTGCATTTGTGGTCCCTTGCAGTCACTGAACGAAAACCTTTCCCTGAGTGGCAGGGGGAAGATGGTAACGCCCACATTACAGGACATATGACTGTGTCTGATGGGAACCTTAGTGTGCCCACTGAAGGCCTGTACAGGCTGTATCTGCAGGTCACGTTTGGCTTTGATCACAAACAATACGAAATAAGGCAACAGTGTGAAGGCAGTGATCCCATCTGTGACAAAGACCTGATGTCCCTGCAGATCTATGTGCAGAGCTTATCCAAGAGTTACATGTCCTTCAGGACCCTACTGTTCAGTGAGGAGACCATGAGCTGCAGCCATGACTGGACTAAAACCATGACCACGACTGGGACGTTTCTGTTGGACGCTGGCACCAAACTCCGAGTGCAGTTACTGCACAGTGAGTTCGTCATTGACCAAGACACTCGCACTTTCTTTGGGGCTGAGCTGATTTTTCCTATCACTACCTAAAGCACTGACACCCAGATGTCTTTTAGCAGATTCAAAATAAAATTTTGGACAAATGCTTGCTTTTAAAAAGCATAATTTATAATATAGTATAATACTAAGGAATCTTTTGTTGTGTTTTATTTACAATGAGAAAGAACTTTTTTTTTTTTTTTAACAAAACTGACCAGTCCTGGTCATGTTACACAATGAAATGTAGGCTACTTTGCTTGAGCCCTGCCTGTATTAGCACACTTTTTGTTTACTAGGTCTGAATACTTGAATTTAAAAATGGTCTTTGGTTTGGCTACACTTGAACACTTATTTGTTTTGATTGTGCGTGAGCTAGTGGCCTTTAAATCATTACGGGTCATACTTAACACAAATGTACACAGACACTTATTATCTTACAGTTTCTTTGGACAATAAACAAACAAATACAAACATAAGAATAATATTGCAAAATGATGGATAGGTATGCAGTAGCATGTTTTATGACTCTATGTTTATATATACATGAAATCTCACATTGTTAATTTATTTGTTTACTAAAACCCAAATGCCATGTGCGTGCCATTGACTATTTGCCTACATAAGACCTTTGCATTTTTTGTACTGTCCCTAAACTTTGTTACAGTAGCCTATATGTGGCAGTGATTACAATTATAAAGTGCCTTATTGGATTTCAGACACTGACTAGGCCACACCTACTGTGTTGTCGTTATTGAGGCATGTAGGGCCCCAGTGTGCTTGTTATCTAGGAATCTCTTTCTAGTTGAGTAGCATAGTTTTGAAGAAGATACAGTAAATCTGATTAAATATGTTCATATATTCACATTATTTACTATCAATGTGTTAATATTTAATTTAATGTTCTATAAATATGTTATATTTTTTGTAAATTATATCTCTGCAGTTCCATTTTGCTTCCAGTTGACAAACTATTGCGATGATGTTGTTAAGTGCATTAATTGTTATGCAACTCCCCCCCAAATCTGACACCTTAATGGTGTGTTTTTGTAATGTAGCACAAGTAGTATTAACTGTTAACTGCACTGTTAACATCAACGTGCTTAAAACGTTTGCTTCTTAAACAGCAAGATGTCTCAAAAGCACTACTCTAGATTATAGTTTATTGGTTCAGTTTGTTGATATTTTGAGTGAAGTGTGCAATAATACATTACTAAAAACACTTAAGGAATTTCCAAACCCATCTTTTCACTCAGTACACTCAAAATCAAATTTATTTTCTATGTTCCCTCAGTGTGGATGGGTTTCTTTCACTAACTGAAAACACTTATTGCAGATATTACAAGTGTAATAATTTTTCTAATTATTACTTGGTTTGGCATGTATGTGTTTTTCTTTTTTTCACTCAAATGCACTTTTTGTATCTGTTCTTATGTGAACATCGGAGATCCCTGCGCAAGGATTCTCATGTGTATGGATCTTTGTGCATGCAAATAAACTTCTTTGAATCTTGAATTTTAAATGAATGTTTCACATAATATTGGCAAGTTCTACAACAGAATCCCTCTATGTCATCATCACCCCCCTCCACTACACTTGAGAGCATGTGTCAGTAATTTCTATTCCACTACATATTAGATCTGGACGGAAAAGTAAAAAGTACTTTCTTTATGGTTTGAGACCTGAACTGGTGGATACTTTATTTATTTTTATAGCACATTTAATTTTAGTTAACGTCCAAAGCCTGAGAAAACCAAAAACACAAATACACAAAAACAATTCCAAAAATTAAGAAATCAATTGAATTACTTGAAATCAGCTAAATTCATTATCAAAATCACTACATTTGATTCTTTAATAGTTCTAAAAATCTCTGCAAAATACTTTTACTTTTTATTTTTAAAGTACATTTTTAAACTGGTTCTTCAGTAGATTATCTGAAGTAGCTTTTTTCATGTGATAGTTTACATTTACTTGAGTAATCTTTTGCCCCTGTATCTAAATCTGTACAAAACTGAGTACCTTCATCCACCACTGATCATGACTATTGTATAATTTAGACAAAGTTTAAATATAAAGATCTTAGCTATGTTTTAATAAAAGTAGCAGTCTAACCTGGCAAATGCCCTTTAAGCCTCATCATCATTGAGAAGGTTCATGATTCAGCAGATTCTGTTTGTTAAAACTGGGTTGGTTTACAATGGAAGAAAGATCATCTCATGTAAAATCAGTGGTATTGTATGTATGTCAGATGCCCTTTCTTTCATAAAAATACTGGTTGAAGTAGTTGTTTACTTTCATTTTTGTAAATTATGTCAGAGCTCTACTTCCTTCTTTACGCTCACTTTTGCTACATTGACTGTCACTGATATGTTCCACCAACTCGATACTGAATTTTCCTAAATCCTTTCCTTAATCAGTGGTATTGTATGTATGTCAGATGCCCTTTCTTTCATAAAAATACTGGTTGAAGTAGTTGTTTACTTTCATTTTAGTAAATTATGTCAGAGCTCTACTTCCTTCTTTACGCTCACTTTTGCCACATTGACTGTCACTGATATGTTCCGCCAACTCGATACTGAATTTTCCTAAATCCTTTCCTTATCACAACAATCTTTCATTGCTGACATATTTCACATCGACATTCTTACACTGGCACACTTACCTCCTTGAAATATGCAGCAGGTTTTCTAAATAGAAGATCAAGCTAACTGTGAAAGAACAATGCCATTTATTATGCATAATCAATATTTTATTATTATTTAAAACAATAAGCATTTTTTTAAAGGATGAAATCATTCTGTTACACAAAACAAAAACAACATAAATATCATGTATAATAATCAATGACACAACAATCAGATTAGATACAAAAAGTTGAAGAAAAATGTCCTATTATCCTGCATTCTGATCTATATTATAACGTTGTTTCATCATCACAAACATACTTGGAGTTGTATTTTTCATTCACATGTTTCAACACATACTTTACATAGTGTTCTTCTCTCAAACAGAAAACACTCTGTTCCACCTTGTGAGGTCATGAGGTAATACAGGAAGTGCTCCACTGTGTTTTTAAATTCCATACACCTTCACTAAAATCATTTGCAGAATTTCAGCTCTGCAATTGCCAAATTCTACTGAAAAAATGGTAAAAGGAGCTGTTAACTTGAAAACTACTGCTTCATGACATCACAAGGTGGAACAAAGCATTTTGAGTTTTGGAGATGCACAGTAGACAAGCTAACAATGAAGTGTTACTCAAACATGTGTAAATGAAATAAAACATAACTCCAGGTCTGTTTTTGAGGAGGTAACAACATTCTAACAATAAAGCTGACAAGAGTACATTTTGTGTAATATGGGTTGTTTAATGTTTTCTCCGGTCCGGCCTCAGGAGCGGACTGGGCCCTGAGCTAGACTTCAGGTCAGAGCTGAACAAGTCCACGATTAGTCCTGGTTTAGTCCTGCTTCAGTCCTGGTTTAGTCCTGCTTCAGTCCTGGTTCAGTCCTGGTTTAGTCCTGAGTTTAGTCCTGATTCAGTCCTGATTCAGTCCTGATTTTAGTCCTGATTCAGTCCTGGTTCAGTCAGTCTGGGTTCAGAACACAACGTTTAGTATCATAGGCCTACAAAAATAATATCTTACCTATGAAATGCAAATTTAAAATAAGCCTAAATGCGAAAAATATTTACATAAACAAATCCGTAATTCTCGCTCCTTTTCGGCACTTGCTTACATTTTAATTTCTTGTACCATTTTAAAGTAGGATTTGTTTAGTAATTTTTTACCATTATAATTATAATTTCCAACGAACGCAAAAAATATATTTATGGCTTGTAAGCACATTAGATTAACGGGATTTTTCTGTTAAGATTTCGAGTCTGTAAACATTAATCTGTTGTTTTATTATATTCGTCCATTTTTCTTTATAGTCTAGAGTTCATATGTGCTTTGGTTATTTTGTTTTGTTTTTTAGGCTGATGCTGAGGAGATTCGGAGAAAGGTCATGATTCCAAAAGGAGTCCTTGGTGTAATTATTACCAACTTTGATGGATAGAAAAAGTAAAGACTAATCAGAATCATGATTAGGGTATGAAGTGGTTTTAGTAGGCTAGTATGTTTTAATAGTTTCAGCCGAGAAGAAGCAGTTTATGCATTTTTTTTTTTTTTACTCTTATTGATTTGTTTAACCAGAAATTGCCATCAGGAGCACAATGGATGATGCCACCACACAGCTGTATGGGCATAATTCACCCGCTGCTGGTCTTGGCAAAGGCAACCTTAGAAAATATAGGTCTTATTTCACAAGCAATGTCCCGTTCAAATAGGAAGTTTTGGTTTTAACAGGGGAATAATATTTAATACATATGGGAGAGCAGCTAAAACTAATATTGTTATTATGAGCGCAGGGGGTGGCTCAAGTTGGACAGGATAGCTCTTATTTTTGCCATAGACCTCTGTTCCACCACCTTCTCCACAGAGTCCAGGCCCAGCCCAACCAGTAGACTTTAAGTCCAACCACAGCCTCAGCTTTCCTTAAAAGCCAATACAGCATTTCCTTGTGCCCCAGCACACATGAAGTAGCAGCTTGAAGCAGATGTTGAAAGAAGTTCAAACCACTCTCACTTTCAGTTACTTTCTAGTAGAGAAAGTAACTTCCAGTCATACAAATGCATGCCAATAAGTATTCTTACTGTCACAGGGTTTGTTGTGGTTGTTGTTTATATACTTTTATCACAGCCAAAATGTAATTTCCTTGTGGAAAAACTTGGGAAAACTCCTCAAAATGGTAATGTAATTCGGTAAATGTTAATTTAACTACTACCTTCCTCTAACTTGATTTCAATCTTTACAGTTCTTTAATAACATTTTCTTTTTCAACTTTTTAGTGGAACTGCACAGACCTCAGCTGAGCTTGAGCACAGCCTCCAGATGCTGTGGCTTCACGCAGAGAAACAGCACTAGGGAACACTTAAATATTAGAGCAGTGGCCTACACTAGAAGTATATATGTATATATAGCAATTAGAATTGACCAAAACAAAAACAATCACCAATAGTCACTAATAATGAAATAATCATTTTAGAAATTCACAACACACATGAACACATGAATATAACATACTTCTTCTTTCATATAAGGACTACTTTATTATTGCCATTTAAAACACATCAAATTGAAAAATTTCAAACCAAGGATGTACATATCTTTTCATCATCAAAAAGGTTATGATGAAGTAAAAAAAAAAAAATTAAACTATGTAAAATACTGTGTTAGTGTATTGATTCAGGAAACATTTTGAGTATTGCTGCACAATAACATCGCAAGTCCAATTAATGATTTCCACCCACCTAAGATGAACAGTAAATTGTATTGATTTCAGTTGTTTTTGAACTGCTATAAATAGGAAAAACTACAAGATATTAATGTTTTGTATTTTGTTGCACGCCCACACACACTACAGTGAGTACTTATAAGCACAAAATCCAGACAAAGCTGTGGGTGGTGCCAATTCTATTAATCACTTTAGCCAAACCCAGAAACAGGAAACAAAGCTCAGTGAAACTCTCTAAAAGCCCCAACATTTTAAAACACTAGAGATTGTGAGATATAGCCATAAAAAAATAAATAAAAATAAATCACAAGTAACCATGTTTAGTTTTTAATAAATGCAAAACAGTCCATTATGTGTTTCAAGGAACAGGCAATCAAGTAAAATAATACAAACCAACCAAGATGAGGTACAGAAATGATGAAACTTGTAACAAAACAGAAACTGGTGTGGTAGAACAGGTTTATGATGTTACATTCGTTTATGTGCCGAAGTGACATTCTAGGTAAATATTTTACAATTTGAGGCATCATTGAAGACATTACATTTGAGTGCATGCATGTATTTTTGGTATTCCCAATTGGACAAACTGTTAAGACATAGCGCATACCGGACAATAATAGACATTATGACAAAGACAAAAAAGCAAACGTTCATAATAATTTCTTCAGAAAACAAAACACTGACACACGCACAGTTGAGAACAGATAGTTGCATGCCATAACTATTGTGTAACTGTATTACTCATTCAGGAATTGTAAGGCAAGTGATGAAGGGTGTTGTTTGCATTGCTGTAATTTAATGACATCTTCAGTGTTTCATAAATAAAAGACTTTTTTTTAAAGATTGTGTCAATATGGGAATTTTCATCTTAAGGCATTTCTGCTTTAGTATCATAAATCTCTACCAAATATTACTCTTACTGGACTAAAAAGCAAGGCAGACAGTGTAAATGACAAGTATAAAGCAGCAGTGGGATGCTCCAGCTTTGCCCATGTGCAAGAGGATTAAGTAACCATGTGTTGAAAGTAACAGTGTATTTTCAACCTGAATATTGACCAAGAATGTTTTTCTAAACAGTATATAATAATTATATCATCACTATTATGGGATATGTTAAAGGGTTTGGGAATGTTACAAGGCTGTAAAGCTGTTTCTTATTGCCATTTAACATCTTGTGTGCAAAATGCAGTACAACAAATATTTTGTTCTTACATGTTTCTTTTGTTCAAGGTGATGTGTAATGCATTTTTAAATTGATACTTTACTGGACATAGTTGCTGTGAAAAGATCGCTTGGAGCACAGCTAACTTACTTTTGTCATGCTGCATGTGATTACAGAGCAGAGTGTTGCAATAGTCCCTGCTATACTCAAAGCTTGTGTCTACAGTGGAGATAATAGAAACATTGACGTTACTGATTGACTACTTGTATGTGTTACTGGAAATTGTAATATGAATCGTAGACATAACAGCTTTGTTATTGCAGTTAAGATTATAAAAGCCAATAAAAGAATGAAGTAAAGATAGAAACAAGAATATGCCCTTCTGGCAGCAGACAACTTCAGCAGGTTTAAGACATCAAAAAAAAGTGCTATATGGTAATTAAAAAAAAAACAATTATCTTTCACTAACAATAAATACAGGGAATAAATAAAGCATTAACATAGTACATGTAAAAATGGAAAAGGAATGCAAAAGTGAAATTTTTTCAGTACAAATGGGAATGATGTCACTATTATAACAACTATAGCCAGAGTTGCTCAATCAGAAGGAATGCCGGTGAACTGTGGGGGATATAAGAGAATTGAAAAAGCCATGGCTTTAGTTGTGCCGACACATATTTGTTGGTGTCAGAGACAGTTTCTTAGGTGAGCAATTCAAGGTACGTCCAAGGCACTTTTCCTTTCTGATTTCCCCTCTCTCCAATTAGCCAGTCTGAATCCATCCCTGGTACCGTGTAAACTGTGATAAGCTGCAATAAACAAGACAAAACCATTTCAAAATGCAGGCAGTGGAATTAGCTTTCACTGATTTGGAAAAAGAAAGATGTCGTCTGTTAATTGCAATTCCAAGGCGAGGGAGGCTTCAGAGCTCACTCACAGCCTTCATTCCTCACTGTGCTATGGACAGAGGTGCCACAAAACATTTCAGACCACAGCACATTTTTTTCCTCATGATAAAGTTGAACCCATGTTTTACATTGTAAGTCAATGTAAGACATGCAAATACAGTGTCATGTTTATCAGAGCTACAGAACATGCAACCTGTGTTACTAGCGCCCGGCATTATAAGAGCAGAGGGAGGGCTGTAGTTGCAGCAAGGGAAAATGTGTTATAGAAAGTTTGTGCAAATTTCTAATTTTATGAGAATTCTCACAAAAAAGTGGTTAGTGCAGAATGCTGTCTGGACCCAATCTGCCTTCTGCAGGTGACATAAATATTGGTGGAGACTGTCCCAGTCATACGTAAAGTTATGCCAGTGGTTAACCTGAAAGCAACTGTGTTCTGACAAACTCATTCTCTATATTTCTGTTCTTTCATCATCCTCCCATTGCCCAAAAACACTGCTGCAAATGAATAAAGGAACTTCTGTGTTAAAAACATCATGCATCTTCTCTTCATCTCACAGGCTACTACAATTTAATCTACAACAATTATTATTGTTAATTAAGTATTCTTATATTAATCAGCACGTATTTTAATAGGTATGTAATGCTAGGTGCTGTTAACTCACCTCATCAGCTAGTAATGACAGTTCACTTGAGTCGGCAGCATCGTAGTCATACAGAACTTTGGCCTTGCGGGTTCCCGTAGCCGGCGCCTGCACTTCTTCGATCTTAAGTGTATCTGTTTCTATAGGGCTCTTCTCACCATCTTCAGCTGAACCTCCAGCTCCCATACAGTGAATGGAGTTTATGGCAAAGGCATTAGGAAGTCTGTAAACATAATCAGGCATCAATTAATACTACTCGAAAAAATGGAAAACACACTGAATAAGTGGAAATTTGGTTCCCAGAACTTTCTGTCTATCCAGACTTGATAGTGAGGATATTTCATGAAGCGAGCTAAAGCCAAAGCCTGGCTTATGTGAGCAATCCAAGCTCATCAAATCCTCAGTTCCGTTCCATCAAAGTGACTAACCAGAATTGGCACTGAGCTGCAGTAGAAACAAGCATGCAGGTATAAACCTGGTCGGGACCACGCTAACGGTCAAGATTATTTTAGCTTTGTCTCCAAGAATATCTACAGAAACAGAGAAACATTTACGCACACGTTTAACGTGTGTGTGTAAATGCATGACATGACAATTCTTGCGTTTAAAAAGTCTGTGGATGCTGTACGATAAGGGTCATTATAATTATCTCACCCATGCACAGTTTCTATCAGGAAGTATTAAAATAAATTTCCCTTTAGAATATTTTTTAATCAATAAAAATATTTTAACATAAATAAATTTTATATTTTCTATAAGTCTTGGTGTGAGGGGCAGTGCTTTTGCACACAGATGCTGATTTGGCTGCACACACTCCTTCAGCACCTCTGTCCCACTTCTTTCCCTCCTCTCTCGCTCCCTGTCAAACTGCATCCACATTAGCTCAGATGTGACTGGCCAATTCTCATTTCTTAACAGATCTACTTTCACACACAGGGATGCCACAAAAGAGAAAGGTAAGGTATCAGAAATTCTTTGCATTAACTAGGCTATGCACTACATAGTCAGCCTTCTCTCTATCCATGGAGCAACTGGGAGAGAATGGAGTAGATGCCTCTTTCCTCTTGGTTCTCTTAAAAGTTTTGTCTTCCAAATTAGACAAGATCTCTCTGCCTTCTAGCTCCCCTCCCATTTAATTTGACCATAAAAAACATCATAGATGATGAACACTTTAGATCAGGCATGTCCAAACTATGGCCCAGGGGCCAAATGCGGCCCTCAGACTTCCAGGTGCATTGGCCCAAATTACCTTGCATCAATTAAAAAAATTTTTTTTACTGCAAGTTTTTTGAAATTCTACCTTGATAAAGCCAATATTTCATATTTAGTGTTTGGTTTTAAGGATCTTGGCATGAATAAAGACTGATGGCTCATTCTAATGTGTTAAACATGCACATATTTCAGTTATTCCCTGTACTGAGCATCAGTCTACGACTCTTGATCGGCCCTCTGCTTCGTCTGTGTTTAGATATGTGGCCCTTGATGAAAAAAGTTGGGACACCCCTGCTTTAGACTAAAACCACCTAATTTAAAATTAACAACAAATCCAAAGCAAGAACACACACAGCTCTTACACACCCTTCTTCACTGGGAAATCATAAGACAGGAAAAAGATCAATCATTGTCACCATTATGAACGTTCAGTCGAAGTACTAAAGCATATCATTTCTTCAACACATAGCAACTGGATGAATCTAAACAGGAAATAATTAACCCAACAATACTTAAGTCACGGCACGTGTAACTCTTACTTTCCCAGTTCTTTTTGGAGTTCTTGCATATGGAGATGACACTGCTTATAGTAAACTGCTTGGGCCTCCACAAACTCATTCAGACAGCGCAAATGATTTACCTATAAAATACAAACAAACAAGAAAAGGTAAGGTATGTAGTCTGCACTCTTGGCAAGAAAAACTACAATCACAATTGAAACTTTTTTTTTCTCATTCTCTGTATATGGACAGGCCTCATGTGAAAAGCTCAGAATCTCCAGAATTCACTCACTGAGCTGCAGAGTCTCTACTTGCACTAGTAGAAATAAATACATCTGTACAGGCATCAGTGACACTGATGGAATATGGTGAAATGCTTTGCCCAAGAACACTAAGGCACTTTTTTTTTTGATGCTTCTTCTTACATGCGTACTGCTGATTCCCTCCAGCAGCAATCGAGTAACTTCAGCTTGTCGGTCGAACTCTGTCTGGGCCACTCTCAACTCCTGTTCAGCCTGAGAAATGGAAGCAGTTTGGGCAATTGTGATTTACAGACTTCTTCATTTGTGTTCATTTTAGTTCAAGTTTAAATTTATTTACTTCCACTCTAGTGTACATCTAGGTTTTCATAATGGCCTTTTGCAATATATTGCTAGAGTTTACAGAATATGAGGAGGCAAACACTGAAGCATATTCATTGCAGACAATATGACTTGATAGTAAGTTGAGGGTTCAAAGCCAGGCCAAGCTGAAATATTCAAAAGGCCACTCCACCATTATTCAGTCCATAGTCCAAACATATCTTTATATGAATGTACAGAGACAACTGTTGATTGGCTACTGGTGCACACCAAACCACACTGGAATGGAGCATTTGTTAAAAGTTTGTACGTGTTTTATGTAATGTTATCAGTGACCCTGGCTTGGCTATACTTAGCTGTGCATAGTGTTTGGACTGCAAAATAAATCCTGTACCATTTATTTATGGCAGTCAGTATAGAAAATATATATGGATATAATGTACCAATGTTTACAATCATCTCTCCTTTACTCACCTTCTCAACTTCTTCAGTCCAGAGCTGTCCAAGAACAAAACAAGAGAAAATGTGAGGGTTTCTGGCACAGCACACACAGAAGACACAATGTTTTTGGTTGATTTATATATGTTTGAATTGGAGCATGGCGATATGACTATAATATCATACCACAGTATTGAAAAAGCGGGACAGTATCACCTTGAACATAATCTACAAGAAAATATTCCCATAAACCTTTATTTTGTTGTTAAATCAGCATCATTATAATTTGAATAAACAATTTGCCTAGTCCACAAAATCTGAAAACATAAGAGCTGCTGCAGAAAAGTTAGGGCCTGGCTCCACTGCATGCGTATTTCGCCCTACGCACATCTAAAAACTGCAACTTTTGGATGCGTAACTTTTAGAATGCATGGAAAGTGAATGAGGGCGGCTCCACTGCACACGCTAGACGCGCGTATGGAGCAGTGAGTCTTGTACGCGTAGATTTCAGAAAATAGGATCCATCCTATTTTTTGACGCTCTACATGAGCGTAGACGCGTATCCCCATCAAAATACACAGAGAGCATGTCAGTCCTGAATGAAAATGAAGCAGGGCTTCAAATATTGTATTTGATGTCTTAAATGCGAAACCAAACATCCCCGTTAATATCAGTTTGGGTCGTCTCCTTATGCTTTTATAAACCAGTTGTGATTAAAAAACTGCAGTGTTAGCTGAGCCGTCAGTGTGTGCGTTGTCTGTGTGGCCATGGTGCTTGTTTCTTGCATCACCCGAAAGAGGAAAAAAACTTCCTCAGTGTGTTATTTAATCTATTTTTCACACTGTGTATGTGCTATTTAAGGAAAAATCTGAATTTAACGCACATTTGCCTTAATTAGATGGACAGGCAATAATACTGCTTATCTATTAGAGAGCGGTATGACAATATTAAAAATGGATATCACCCAACTTTTGAATAATCCTGTATTGTCCATTTGCACCAATCTCAAACATGTAAGGTTAATAAAAAAATAAATAAAAAAACATGTCCATGGGAACTGCTTGCTATGGTCAAACGTATGAAGAGGTCCCACTTATTTAGAACCTGTAGAATGTCAAAAATGTCAAATGTAGCTATATAATTTTTTTCTTTTTTATTCCTTCATCAGGGTGAGAACAGTTTTGTGAGCTGAAGATTTTATCTCTGGCCTTTGCTATGCTAAGATAATGAAAATATGCTGTGTCTCCAAATGAAAGCATGTCACAATTTAAGGCGATTTCCTCCATAATTATTATTATCGTTTGCCTGTAAAAATGTGTACTTTTTGTAAAAATGTTATAAAAAACTACCATTTGTACTTTTTGTATTTGTACTCCATGCATAATGAGGACATAATAATAGTAATAGTCTTCTAGTTCAAACAAATCCATTGTTAATTTACAGTTGTTATACTTATGTCATAATTTCAGAAGGTGATGCAACATGTGAATAAAACACTTCGATGAACTACTCCTTACTCATTGTTTTGTGTAAGGATAGAATGAAACATATTTCATCACCGTGTCAACCTTACTTTGGCATAGGTTCAAAGTCAACTCTTACTACTGCCGCCCCACGTGGTAACCTGTGACTCATTTACACTGGCAAGGAGGAAGAAACTGTCACTGAAAATGACTCATGTTCATGTTTATTTATATGCTAAACAGACTGCAGTAGTATCTCTGTTTTTAACTTTCTCTTATTAAAAGGTGCACTGCGCAACTTTACTGTTTTTTTAAAAAAAGCTGAATGGAGCAAATTTTTTACTTGAACAAGCAGTGGTGGGTGTACTCCCTTTACGTTGTGACTGGGGTTGCCTCTACCCAGATCTGACCTGTAACTTGGTCTGATTTTGTCTCCATGAAGGTAGAAAGGTTTAATGCCATACTGTGAAACATTCCCAATAAAGCAATAAGATTGCCATGAAGAAAAGCAATTGATAGACCCTCCACCAAAAAAGTTACACAATGCACCTTAACTTTAGGTCAGCAGATATATAAAAACACACTCTAAGAAATAAACTGGCTTTATATTGTTTTAAATTGTTGAGTTAAATGGCCCATATTAGGCTATTTTCTGATCTCTGTTATAATGTTGTTCCTTATCCTATCACGCAGGTTCCGCCTTGTGATGACATGTTGTAATACTAGTACAAATGCCCCACTATGTGTTTAAAGTACATAAACCACCACTAAAATCATCTGGATGATTTCAGCCCTGGAATTGCACATCTACTGAACTAAAGGTAAAACTTTTAATTGTTAACTGGAAAACTACTGCTTCAGGACATGACATGATGAAACAGAGCATTTTGAGCTTTGGAGATGTAGACAAACTAATGATAAATGAATGATAATGAACACCTCATCCCCCTTGAGTTCTTACCGCTGAGGCACTTGCAGACAGCACATAGTTGCGTGGTCTGGTCTCCTGGAAGTCTGGAGCCTACAACAAAACCAGGTTATTTCAGAAATGAAACAAAACAAAACAGAACATTTTCAGAAAAAGTCTCAACTTCTCTATTCCTTTCTTTTACTTAAAATCAAATCAGTGCAATGGATCCATGTTAACTCATGCACACACATCCATACGCAATCAACCAAACATTACAATTTAAGACCATTTAATCAGACCATGTATGCATTGAGAGTAGAATAGACTACCAATTTCTCTAAAAAAAAAAGTTAGCATGACTATATTTTATAAAAAAATTCTAGTGTTTTCATTTTGGTGAAGTTAGTTTTCCTTCCTGGGAAGATATGGCACACATATACTTCTATGTATGTCATATCTGTTGCCGGACACAGGCCTCCTGGAATACCAATGTATGGTATGGTATCGTAATGGGACATGCTTTCTAAATTTCTTTACAACCTCATATAAAAATATGTTACTGTTCCACCACATCAGGTAATAACTAGAAAAATATATTACTGGTATCTGTGAAATGCACTTTAACCTCATCTATTTCATGGATATTGTTTGGCCCCAACTTAAAATGATAATGTAAATGTCCAAAATATCAGCTATTTTGATGTTTTAAATTATGCTAGTTACTACATTCTATTTTTTGTACTTATTACTACATTTTCATTTAACTTCATCAAACTTCACAAGGCTCTTATCCGTCCCAGAATCAAACCCAGGGCCTTCTTGCTGTAAACGTGAGCGCTAACTGCTTTGCCATCGTGCTGCCCATTCTGTCCACAGCAGTTGAGTATTTGTCTTGTTGTCATTTTGGTGTTGTTTTTTTGTTTTGTTTTTTTTTTGCAATTTTGTCCATTTAAAAAAAATTCAACAGTATTCCTAATATGGCGCCTAGCTCCAAATTCATTCCACTTCATTTGACTGTGGAATGAACTTGTGCTGTGGGTGATGTCACACTCCTCTTCTTTATGGTATTAATTGGTGTCAGTCTATGGTATCAACGTTAGTCATAGGAACTCTCATTGACCATCTTATTATTGTAATATTGTAACAAGCTTGAAGTGAAAGTATCACAGTACAATTTACAATGTCTTTGTAAAGTGGCCTTCCTCAAAATATTGCTCATACTGGTGATTAGGTGGTGATTAAATCCTGTTTAGACTAATGTCTGTAATCACTGTGAGTCAGGCATATGTAGGTCATGCAGGTTTTTACATGTCATGCCAAAAGCTGAATAACATCAGAAAATTTGTAATGTCTGATATGTTCCTTTGGTGAGACACTGTCACTGTCTAACCACTAGTCTAGACTCTAGAGTCTACACAGGGGTGGGCAAACTTTTGGCTCGCAGGCCACATAGGGTCCTAAAATTTGCCTGAAGGGCCGGACAGAACACAGGACATGATGTGTTAAGAGCTCAGCTGCCTTATATTCGTATTTACGCTTATGTAGGAAGTGCACTACGCGCTACAACCTTGCCACGAAAGATTCAGAACACATGAAAAATTTACAGATCTGTTCCACTGCATACCACAGACGAAGTCAAATTGTGAGCAATTAGATTTTACTGAGAAACAGAACACACACCACAAATTCACATGCATACACACCTACGTGTGAGAACAACAAGACTCTTAAAACGATCCATGCATTAAGACTTATGACACAACATCTATAAAGTTTTGTTTTTGATTTTTACCAACTCAAACTGGAAGCACTGCAGTCTTATATCTTGAACACCACTACTTCACTCATGGTCCAAATAACTCCTGTAAGAACACCTTCTCATAAAGCATTGCTGCCAACATAATACGCCGCACCTCAACGTATATATAGTGCGCCATCTACTGGGAAACGCCGGAAATGCATGAAAAATAAAACATCAACAAGGTTTATTATTGTAATTTATTCCAGTTCGGCGGGCCGGATTAAAAGGTTTAAAGGGCCGCAGAGTCCCCAGGCCGTAGTTTGCCCACCACCCACCCCTCTAGAGTCTAGACTAGACGACAATGTTACAAGCAATGAGCAATATGGCAGTTACCAATATAACAGCTACAATAATAATAATGTCTATCTTAGCAGAGCTGTTGTATGTCAGTTGATGAGTTAGTCTCTCATCATTTCAAAATTGTATGCACTTTCAACGATGAAAATTCATGTCCTGTCACGATAATTATTATATCGTTCAATATATGAAAGCTGGAACAATATATTTTTGGGCTCAATATTTATCATAGGTACAATTTCTATGCAATAGTGGTGAGATTTTTGCCATTTTTATGTAATACGATATGATCTGAGCTATAGAGGGTTGAATAACTAACTTCTGTGGCTAATTTGTGGTACTGTATTTATATACAGTATATTTTTTATTTGGTTTACTGGGGTTATCCTGCTTCGTATCAGGGGCATAAAGTAGTTTCAACATTATTATCTTAGCAGGTCTCTGTAGCAGTATAATTGGTAGAATAATTGCTTCAAAATTTGTTATCATGACAGGCCTACTTACAAAGCTGGTAGAATAATCACATCACTTACTTTCATGAAATTGCAATAATGTATTTATATGGCTAAATATATGTGGAAATACAATATGCATATAATAAAATGGAAAGAATGAACACAAAGAAGGACATGTTAAGGCTGGGCAATAACATTTGTAAACTATAACGATTGCATCGTCAGCCACAATAGACAAGTTATTTCTAAATACTGGATAATTTTATTATTTAAAGGTGCATTATGTAACTTTTCTGGTAGAGGCCCACCAACTGCTTGTCTCCACAAGGATGCGTCCTGCGCGGGAGACCCGCACCCACCCACACCCATGCAGTACTGCACCACACCGGCCAATTAACCCGTGACTATATCAAAGTTAAATCCGCAACCACCCGGACCAGTTACCATTTGCCTTGTTTTTATGTGGTGGCAAATCCAGACCCTCTGTCGATGACGCATTATGGGTTCACTTAAATAGTATGAACATGGGTTGTTCAACCATAAGCACTTTGGTTCCCAGTGTAACTGATACGGAAACAGACATCAGCCTGCCTGTAAACAGCTACTGTGAGTAGGGTGATTCTCCAAAGACCTGACCTGTAACTTGGCTCAGTTATGTCATGTCACCTGCTTGGCCCCATGGAGATGACCAGTTTGGCTGTGCCTCCACCAGAAGAGTATAAAATTATAAATTTAAATTATGATTTATGTGTCCCAGCCATAACAAGACTGATATGAAGAAAATGAAATCTCTGAATATTACTCATACTTACTTCTCCTTCACACTGGAGATATGAAGGTTTAGGGTAAACAAATAGTCAGCCTGTTAGTCATATTAAGGAGACACTCTTCATTTTATTTGTCTTTGTAAATAAACATGAACACATACCGTGGCTTTGGCTTCAGCAAATTTGGCTCTTTTTAAACGGGCTTTACAGGAATCCAAGTCTAGACGTAGGTTCTCCAAAAGACGCCTCTCTTTCTGGAACAGGAAACAACAATCACCTGATCAGCAGTTGTAGTTTGGCTGACCTCTAGTGGATAACTAACCGAAGCTCACACATGTGCTGACACAGCTGCACTAGCTCCTGGTTAGTTACACATACAGTCTATGGTTACACAATAGGCTCTGTGCACAATAGCACATGGCAACCACATTGTTAGCATCACTGCTTTCTGCCCAATTGTGTATCTATGAGGTTTGTGTTGAGTTGTGCTAAAATGAATAAATATTTAATGATAAAGTCTTGAACTGTTTGAAAGTACACAGATAAAATGCATACTTGAGGGGAGAACACTTCTGTGTTTAGAGAGAGATGATTGTGACCCAATGCTAACGCTGATACTAATGCTAATTTGGAGGCATAACAAATATTAAAACAACACCACAAACTCAAGTATGTAACACATAAAAAGTTGGGTAGTCTAGACTTTAATAAATTTTGGTTGTTCATTTTATATTTTTACAATTTTAATAAAACTGACTGTTAGCTTTAAAACACAGTGAGTTAGCTAGCATAAGCCAATTATGTTTTGATCTATGTGAAGAGTCTTTGAATCTCATAAATCTTGGTATACAAGTGTTATAATAAAGAATTAAATGGAATGGTCTCTCCAAAACATAGTGCTCTGATGACCTCCTGGATGTGAACAGTTTAAAAGAATCTGTTCCCTACACCCTCTGTTTTGTATCAAGTCTGATTAAACATGAGCATGCAGTTAATTTTTTGTTGTTGTTTTTTTGTGATGAATGTGAAATGTGTGATATGTTTTTCATTTATTTTTTCCAATACGGACAGACCATGCATGCACTGAAAAATGTGTATTCTGGATCCCAGGCAATCAAATCCCATTCCTTTCCCCAATGGTCAGTGAAGGAGTAAATTAAGTTTTGTATCACCGTGACACACATTGGGGTATATTGTCAAAAGCCACAGGGCTAAACCATGGATCTATAATAAAAACTGGACAAGGCATTCCCACTCTGTCCTGGCTCGAAACCAACTAGAGGCCACTTCATAAGTACTGCAGTTCCCGGGAACTTGAGCCCAGAAAGAATTCTCCCCTAGAAGCACAATAATATTTTTGGCAATTCAAACTGCCCGTGTTTGGTTGACAGGGCATCGACAACTTTCAAAAAGGTCGGATTTTGTAGGGATTCTTTAACTATTTTTAAATTTAAAACTCCTCAAAGTGCCTAAAAGTTTGCTTTGTAAGACTTAGAATAGCCCTGCTCTGAGCCCACACTAGCTCCACTCTAGCAACTCTCACTCCGATTGGTCCAAACACTCCACACCGTGCACGTTACAGATGTTACACAGGTGGGAGGCACTAGCCTGTATTACAGAAGTAAATGGGCTGCTTTGGATACGTGACCAAGAGCATGTATCTTGTGATTCATTCCATATATTTTGGCAGTTGTGAGGTCCCATTACTTACTGAGATAGTTCGCCAGTCACCCTCAAGGAAATTTCGAAGAGGGTTCAGAAAACTTATGGAGGCCGTTTGGAGGAACTCTCTCTCTGCAGCACCCAGACGTCTCTCACATTCCCCAACTTTAATCAGCGTACTACCTATTAACAGAAATCATATAACACCACTGACTATAAGGCATAAAGCAGAACAGTTTGAAAGGTGGAAAAGTTAGTTTAAAAGGTGCACTATGTAACTTTTTGGTTTGAGGTCTGTCACTTTGCTTGCTTGTTTCTATGGATATATTACCGCTCTTCCTGGAATGTTCCACAGTATGATATTAAACAGCTCTACCTTACATTTATTCAATTACAGGTTGTTTTACTCCTCAAAAATACCTACAAAAACAGGCATTCCGACTGTCAGCAGGGCTGCCTCTCCACAGAGCTGACCTGTAACTTGGTCTGGTTTGGTCTCCATGAAGATAGAAAGGTTTAATGCCATACTGTTCCAAACAAAGCAATATCATCTCCATGGATAAGCAGATATTGGGCCCCCCCACCAGCCAGCAAAGTTACTCAATGCACCTTTAATTATCTAACTGGATTTTTTCTGTCATCAATCAGTGTTCTTGTCCAGGAGAATGATCACTTAAAAAGGTGTATTGTGTAATTTCTGTGCTTCTGCCACCTGTTTGTCTCTCCATGCTTTGCCTGGAATGGTCTATATAATATATTATTATATGGTATATATAATATATCTCTTTCCATAGATCCTTAAAAGGTGCACTGTGTAATTTTTTGGTTGGGGGTTTGTCACTTGCTTGTTTCTATGGATATGTCATTGCTCTGCCAGGAATGTTCCACAGCATAACATTAAACAGCTCTACCAAACATTTATTAAATTAAATTAGAGGTACCTAAAAAAAAACAGGCACTCTTACTGTAAGCATGGTTACCTCTCCGTAGATCTGATCTGGAACTTGATCTGGTTTAATCTTCATGAAGATAGAAACGTTTAATGCCACATTGTGAAACAGTTCAGACAAAGCAATAACATCTGCATAGAGAAAAGCATTTGATGGGCCCTCCGCCAGAAAAGTTACACAATGCACCTTTAATGCCACATCCACACACAACCTGTCAAATCACATCAAAAGCCCCGCGATGGACTCTTGAAAATTTGAGATGAGGGCATCTTTGTTGTGTGAATGCCAGCGCACAAACATATGGTGCACGCTATTACATTGACACTGCTGAAGCTGATTACATTTTCTTTTTATGGAGCAGAGATGTGGGTGCGGTCAAGCGGTAACGGAGGGAAACAGGGGCAGATTTTTTTACATTCAAATAGCTCTTATTCAGAAACTAGAGGGACTATTAAAATAAGTAAGGTATCAGAATGTAGGAATGAGTTAGCACTCCAACAGGGTAAAGTTAACCCTGCAATATTCTTTCAAGTTGTTGACAAAAAATTTTAAAACTCATGTCGGTAACGGAGGGAATGAAATATGCAGCACTTTTTGGGCAATAAATACAAACAGCGATAACTAGCTGTTCTCACTTACATATCCTTAACAAACTGGTTTGAATATTTGTTTAATATAGTTTTCTACCATATGGTACAAGATTAGGTTGAAAAACCTCTTACTTTTTGAGTAATGAGATTTTTTATTAAGAAAGGTCATGGTAACGGAGGGAAAAGTAACGGACGGAAAATTGTGCAAGCAAGTAGAAGGTGCATGATTTTGTATAATTTGTCAGCTTTTTTCTTCCGAATGCTTTAATATTACTTCAAAATGAAAGGAAACTAGTCCTTCCAAGCAAATTTTTATCATTTTAAATACATTTTTTTTGAAAAATCATGTCCCTTCATCAACAGTTCAAAGATCGAATAACACAAGATATAATGAAATACATCAATTTATTTACATGATTTGCAGGTCTTTGAAATTTGGGAAATAATTTTTGTTCCACGTTGCATACATGTTATGTTTAAAACGTATGTAACTTTAGACCCAAAAATGGTACAGAAAAAGGTAAACAGTTTCATAAACTAGAGTACATATGCTATCTGTTGAATACATTTTTATATCAGATGCATTAACTTGAATTTTTGGCCTTGCTGTATACTTCTGCTTGACCGGGCCCAGGTGTGTTCCCTGCTGCAAATGATTATCATACTCTTATTGTACGTCTACTGATTTGAGGATAAAATTAAAAGTAAAAATATTTTAAGTTATATTTTAAAAAGTTGTGGTATGACAGAAGTATGGACATTAACTTCGACTTTGTTTATAAATGGAAAATACAAAACAAGAAAACCACTGTAAATAAAAAATGCATTTAAAGGCACATAAACTATGGTCCTACGGCCTCACAGAGAGCCAGGCGCTGTAATGCCACACAGGGCCATGCAGTCAGATTTGTTTTTGTTTTTTTTCAGTGAAACTAAGGGCACTATTTAGCCTACAAATAAAATCATGCTCAGCAAAATGCTCAGCCGACAAGCCTACGTAGACAAATACAAAAAAACATGATACAAAACTGTAAACAGCAACTTCACAAACCAAATGTGATGTGCACAAGTTTCATTAGAGAGATGGATGCAGATTGTGTTATGAAACTTTTTAAAACATGTTAAAACGTGGTGATCTAAGTATATTATATGTTAGCACCCCATAAGTAAACAAACAAAGTAAACTTGAACATTCAAGGCAAAGAAAGCAATAACATCTCCATGGAGAGAAGCCGGTAGGGTACTCATATAGATCCATCGGTGTACCCTCCAACAGAAAAGTTACACACTGTATCTTTAGAAAGCAATGCAAATATTCACAGCTACACATAGAAACATGAGCTGTAATACCCAGCACAGACATGGTATTTAGTTATTTTCTAATTATTTTTAATTTTAATCACATATTATTAGGGCCCGACTGCTATGGATTTTGCGGCCGATATGATACAGATAAAATGGGCGTTGGAGGTGCCGATACCTGATAGTAAAGTCAATATATTTAGTGATGTAAAAATCTTCAATTGATTATAAAACTTAGGTCTGGCTCTCCTGGATTTTATATTGGGTTTGCTACATTTATTGTTAGTCTGCCAGTAGGTCAGCCTAATGGCATTTTTCATTCACACCTCTGTTCACAAATCATTTACAGATCAGTGCAAGTCTAGTAAAGTGTGTACAGCCACTATACTCACTCATGTACATTAGAACAATGGTAGAGAAAACAGGCTGTTTATGTGTGGTAGTACACAGCAGCTAATCGCTAACCAATGAGAAAGAACCAAAAATAGCTTCAAAAACTGACACATTTGTAACACTCACCGCTCATACAGGCACCTCTCAGATCACAAGCCTTTTAATCCTGACTCAAAACAATTGTCCATAAAAATAATATAATCCAGCATGTTGACAGCTGCTGCGTCTGTCCTCTGTCTATCGGACAGTCCTCTCTGCTCCACACTCGCACTTTGACAAAAACAAGCAGTAGTTTTGTTTCTGGCATAAACTATGCTGAAGTTCAAACAAAACGGACTCCAGGCACTCCAAAGAAGTAAAAATCGAACACAAGGAAAAATAGAGTTAAAAGGCTGAAGTTCACTTTTATTTACAATCAGTATAGTGGATCAGACACAAGAGCATTTAAAGCCAGCGCCTCAGTGTTATGCACATGGATCTATGGCTATGTACGAGTGTAAACAAGGGCATGTGGGTTATGTGACTCTGGGGGTGCATTCACTGGCAGTACGGTGTCACAGACACAGACAAATGATTCTGCAGATAAATATTGATGTGGCGCCACATACTAGGACACTTATCTGTCTGTAAATTGGATTAAATTGACATAATATAGAGAGTCTAAGCTTTATAATGAGGCATAACATTCCCATGTGGACTATCGGCCCATATTAGCCAACCGATACATTGGTCGGGCCCTACATATTATGAATCAAATTTACACCCCCACTCAGCTGGGCTCTTGTGTTTGTCCTAATCAGTGGTGGAGGGTAATGAAGTACAAAAGTAACGATACAATATTATATATAAACTATACTACAAAAAAAAAAAAAAAAAAAAAAAATTATAATAATATATATATATATATATATATATATATGTACTTTACTTAAGGACATTTTTCAGTGGATACTTTTTTATTTACTTCATTACATTTGAGAGCATATCTGTACTTTCTACTCCACTAAATTTTGAATCTGGACATAAAAGTAAAAAGTGCTTTTCTTTATGGTTTGAGACCTGCTGAAATGACAGATTATTTTTATATCACATTTAATTTGAGCTTCCATCCCAAGAAATGAATTGAATCACTTAAAATCTGCTAAATTCTTTGTCATCTTTGTCATCCTTTAATTGTTCTAAAAATCTCTGCAAATACTTTTTACTCTTTAAGTACATTTTTAAATAGGTACTATATACTTTTACTTTTTCATGTGATACTTTTATTTGAGTTACCTTTTGCCCATGTATCTGTACTTTTACTTAAGTAAAAAAAATCGAATACTTCATCCACCACTGGTCCTAATTAGTCATAGTAAAATTTGAAAGCTACTTCTTACTTTCTGCCAAGTCGTATCCAATGAGGATTAGTCATAATTATGAGCAATAATTTCAATCAAAAGGCATGGCTGTTTGTTTCTTTTCTTTTTCCATGTAAGTAAGTCATTTTTCCAAATAACAGTCCACTGTAGATGTGCTTAAGTTCTTGAGAAACATAGTTTTAATTAAAAAAAAAGTCCGGACCACCCCTGCTCCTCCAGAACCAGAGCCCAGACCCACACCCCACTCCACCAGAACCAGAGCCCAGACTTTGATTGCCAAATCTGGACTTATCCTGAAATCCTGAGCTGAAATTAGCTCCATCTCCAGTTTAAGCAGAACCTGGTTAATGCAGCCAGGGAATGAAGTTGCATTAAGTTCTGATGTACGTAACAGTAAAGCTGTAACTTGGGAGATAGAGCGAGAGACGGGGTTGAGGAGAGAGAGACAGATGTAATGAGGGAGTGCACAGCCAGAACCCACAGAAAATCAGTTCATCCTCAAAGTCCAAACCAGAGTTTATCTGTGCGTAAAAGTTGCACTGCCGCACAGCCACATGTGCAAGATAATTTGAATGAAATAACAGCCATAGGCTTTTATATGGTTTGCTCGTTTTTGAGAACAGCTTCCACAGAGGCATAGGAGGATATGGCCGGTAAAAGTCTTAACGGAACTACCAAAGTCACGTTTTAAACTGTATCAGACAGAGACAGGTGTTCTAACACCGGTGTGTGAGTGCACGTGGTGAAACTTTTGACTAAACCGCTTCTTTACGTTCTTGGAGACAAAGTTAAAATAATACTTACAGCTAAGCCTGGTTAGCTTGTTACTACAGCCACTCAGCGCCTGGGAAAAGCGTGGATTGCCCAATTCCCGATTACAAAATTTACTACTATAAGGTTTAAGCCATGTAATAATGCTACAAGGTAATTTCCATTCGTAGTCCATGGGCAGAGGCAAAGTGACAGCAAGTAGCAGCAGGTACTTCATAAAACTGCCCATGTAACATTTAAAATACAGCTAAAAAACAAACACCAATAACCAGTCACCAGAGAGAAACAGATCATCAACACTCCAAGAATTTACATTATTCCTGCTGACTCCCTTTAAGCTGAAGTGGCTTAAACATTGACGTTAAAATGTTCCAGAATGTTACACTCCGTCACAGATATAGGTGGGGAGTTTCAGGTCCCTGCTGCTTTGACAGAGAAACAGTTCTGTCCAAACATGGTGGACCTAAAGTTCACAGAACAGTGTCATCTAGAGGAGGCTCTGGTCCAGAATTTTGTTTCTTCACACAATTTCACAAACACTTTTAGGGGTATGGGTGCCTGGTTGTGAAAAATCTTCTACATAATACCTTGAGTGCTTGTTTTCAGAGTTTGTTACCAGTGGCCATGTTGTAATGCAGTAAGTAAAATATGAAAATATAATTGAATACATAAACATTCACACTTGGTTCCTTGGCTTTACATGCGTCAATGAGCCAATACACAAATACATACACCGCACTAATTCATTTAACAACAAGGCAGGTGATCACATGCCACGACTGCACTCTGAACAAATGTATGACACAAACAGCCCTCATGCTTAACATAGTCATACATGTGTCCAAACAAAGCAGTGTCTTGTCTGTAAAACAGATGAGCTGAAGAAACATTGTGCAGCATGAAACTTATATCAACCCAAAAACAAATCCAGTCTCCAGTGTGGGACCTTTACAGTGTTTAAGAGTCAAGGTGTTGTGCATAATAATAAATCCACATCTAGTCACAGTCTGCTGGGTGCACGTAAAGTGGAAGCCAAACTGATAACATGAACCAAACTCCACAGACATCCTCCTTCTCAGTCACGATAAAAGCATAATTCCCAAATGAAGTGTAGTAACTATATCCAAGTGGAGTGTGTGTGTGTAAAAATGCAGTCAAAAAGATAATTTGAACCAAACATCACCATAATTTTTCCTCGTAAGTCCTGGTACAAGCAGAATTCCCAAATGTATATCCAGTGTAGAGTGCATTTGCATAAAGATGCATCCAAATGAGACCGCATTAAGTTTAACCTAAAATGGAGCCTTGTGGCACCCCCACTGAGTTATCTACAAAGGACAACATAGTACCCTTAATTCTTATACAGTGTTTTCGTTCTTGCAAATAGGTTCCAAACCATTGCAATACAATTCTGATGTTATGGTTTACTATGTCAAACATTTTAACATAAATCTGGTCTGTATTTATAGATTTTAAAAGCTTAATAACAGCATTGACAATTAATGGTATGTCGGTATCAGCTCAAAAGAAAAAGAAGAGAAAAAATCCATATGGGACCATCCCTTGTGAGACAGAACACTCTCTAGCACAAATACTCACCATAAGGACTGCCAGCTCCAAACTCGCGGGCAGCGTCCTCCATGTACTGACCCAGGAGCTCTGCGTTAGTGACTCTGCATGGAGCCTTCCTGTCCAACTTTTCATAGAGAAATTCTTCAATCCTGGCACCTGTACAAAAGCAGATGAAGATGTAGATTACATTTAAATGTTAAAAAATACACTAACCATGGCCTAAAATTAATGAATGACTGTAAAACTTTCATGGATCCCTCTAGTAGCTTACTGTGTTAAGACAGTTCTTGCTGTGAATTAGCATCACATTATGGTCTGAAATATCAAATAAGACCGCAACTTAACACACTTTTATCACAGCTGGTTTCATATGGCACACTTTTTTCAGATTGTTTTAGTTTTACCATCTCGTTCAATGTGCAAGTGACTGTTAGGGCTTTTATCAGTCTACACGGTCTACATGGTATGCAGCTGTTATCCAGCTTTGTGAATAATAAGGGCTATTGGAGCAGATAAGTGATGCTAATAATAGTTTGCTATAGTGCAGATGAAGTATGATGGAGGTCTAATGGTTTTCCAAAGCAAACAAAAGCAGAATAAAGAGCTATTATAAGGTCCAATAGAGGCATTGTAGTAAGGGTATACTAGATGCGCTATTCTATTCTTCACCACCACACAAATTACTGACTATTGATTTGTTTTTAAAATGTCATTATTGCTCCTCTCTTCTTCCATTATATTACAATTTAGAATAAGACTGACTTTTTAATTATGCCTCCATTTTCTATTAAGGGTTGCAGAGTAATATGTCTCAGAAGCTTAGACAGGTATATTTTGGACAGTAGGAGTCATAGGACATGATGGATCTCTATGCATATGCAATGTGAATAAATAAATAAAAATACTTCCAGTTTAATTAAGTTGCTCATGTTAAAAGGGCAAGACTTTGGACGCAAGAAAAACTCTTCATTTGGCACAAGCCTGGCCATTTGGTACAGCTGAGTCACTATCAGCTTTAACCAAAATAGCACTGACAACACCGCTGGTCAACACCAAGGTCAAACTACTAATGTGGTGGGGTTGATGTAGTGCATCAATTTGTGCCTCCATTTTTAAATAAACAGAAATGTATTGTTAATATATAGATAGTTTAATGTTGTTGTAATTGCTGTACAAATTATAGCTTTTTTAACAATGTGCAAGAAGTTCACTCACACGTCTGGTTTGGTTCTGATTTGGGCTTGCTTACTGCTGATGTAGACTTGGTTTGGTCCTGGTTTAGTCCAGGTGTAGATCTGCATTTAGACCCAGTTTAGTTGCACGTGGTGAGTGTGCAAGTATAAAAATTGTACTTGTGACTGAATCTGGAAAATGTGAAGGAATGGTAACAGCAAGCCTTGAACTTTGGAAAATTAAAGTCACGTTGCTCCAAATTATTCTGTGACTAAATAGGCAAAACAAGAAAAAAACTATGCCAACACAATTGTCTTGACAGTTTGCAATGTGGCTTAATAGCACACTGCCATCCAAGCCTTTTCAAAAACTGAGCGCTCCGATAGTTCATCTTATAGAAGATCTTATTCAAAGGTTACGAGAATGCATGTTTACATTTTTGCATTCACACAGCATGGTACTTCTGTTTGGGCAAATTTGCTAAACTTGTTCAAATGAGGAAAAAGTTCAGCACAGCAGTAGCACAGTGAAACACAGAGGTACAATACTTACCAGTGTGGTCGACTGTAGCATGGGGAATCAGAAAGTCACATGTTAGAGGGCCCTGTTAGTAATGCTTTCAATTACTACGTGAGCTGTACTTTTTTGGTACATTTTCCATTACTAGGATTTTCGCTAATATCCTCGAGTCTATTACCATGTGTCAGAGAAGTCAAGCATTTGTCCCCCCCCAAAAAAGTTCCAATTCCAAAAGCTAAAATAGTTACAGCCTATTATTCTTATTTCTTGAATTGTAAACATTTTTGGACAAATACCAATCAGAATTTTCAATATTTTTTCCATAAACAGTTGTTTTTCAGTTTTATGTATTTTAGCATATCTCTAGTGAGGCATTTGAGGCAGTTCTGAAATATTGATGATCACCTATGACATAGTAAATTTATTCAGTAAATTTGGTTTTGATTTTAATATCTTAATGAGTGATGATCTTGTTAACGTGTGCCCTCTACAAAATATATTAGGGCTTTTAAGATGGCCTATCACTAATCATTTGGCAGTTAAAGGAGATAAACTGATCTGTGTTCATACTTGGGTTTGGTTGCAGCAGGATTTCAGTCTGTCTGTAGATCTTCTCGGTCCAATTTTTGGTGCAGTCGGCGCGGCTCATCAGGTTTTCAAAGTGAGCATCCAACTCGGTCCTCTCCGCCTGGCCCAGCTTCTCCTCTGTGTACTGTGCAGGAGAGGTTAGCAAATCAGTGAGATGGGGGAATTAAATATTAATATTTAGGGGCTATTAGAATATTTACTTTATTTTAATTTGTCTGGTGGGCAATATTGAAAAAAAAATCTAATGAAAATGTTGATATTTTTGGAATGATTACAATAATAGCGTCATATTTTTACAATCCATCAAGCAAGTGCTAAAAATATGCATTAGGGATGCAGTTCTGATATCGATACTTTGGCCTTAAGTATCCGATATTAACAGATATCAGTTTCCAGGGATGATAAATTACACTTATATCCTTAAAACACAGTGAAATTATTACACAAGAGATCCAGTTGTGTTATGCAAATGTTTATTATCCTTCAAATGACTACTGAAGAACTTAAAATGAATAAAAGTTTAAACATTATGAGACGTTCTGGGCCTGTAAATAGTCTTAGGCCCAACCAGGATATTAATTTATATTATGGAACCGATACACGGCCCATAAAATTTTTCATTATCAGCACTGATATTCAATACCAGAATCACCACCGGTGCATCCCTAATAAGTTGTTGGTATATAAAAGTGAAAACCTTTCATACCTTTGGGAAATGAGATGACACTAAACCAGTACCCAAGGAGCTTTTGCGAGGTTGCCAGGTTGTGCACTTTGCAGCACAAACATGTGCTCATCCTCATCCAGAGTTTAGGATATCTGTTATTATCTAAACACCAAGTAATTGTTGGGTAGAAAATAACAGTGACAGAGAGATTTCTTAGAATTCTTAGTGTATGTATAATATTTTGTATTAGTACAGAGTATAATATTCTATACTAAATAATATATGTTAGTACATAGCATTGTATTCAGCCAGTTAAATTCTCACTTATTATATCAGATAATTTTTGTTACAACCATATTACAACCCGATCAAGTCACCCCGCTGGAGACAAAACTGACATTTGCTTGGCATGCATTATTCAGTAGTGGATTTATTAAATATTCATAAAACAACATATTCCATTTGAGTTTGGCTAGAAGTGTGGAGCCTAACATATGACGATAGATGTTAACAGAGAGATAACATTAAAAAAAAATGTCATAAGGGCTGACTTAACACTGGTTTGACAGGCTCCATTGACTGCAGCCTAGTTTCAAAACAAGGAGGAAGATCGTATCCTCTTAAAAAGAAACAGCAAATAATCTTGTTGCTGAAACGCACAGAACGAAACTAATAATTGTTGTTTCATATAGCATTCGGGCATTTAGCGTAAACGCAAAATTTCGTGCTTGGTTCCAGCCAAATGTAGCTACAATTGATCAACTAGCTGCAGCTGCTAATGCGAAAAGCTAATGACATCACATGAGCTCCCCATCTAATATTTAATCACAAACGCAGCCAATTTTGGACTATTTTCTCTTGTCCAATGCAGTGAATGCCATACTTGATCACTACGGCTTTGTTTTGGTATAGAGAAAATAGTAAATAAAACGTATTAACACTAAGTACCGCAGTAGGAGCAAACCTGCTATTTTAAATGAATGTAAAACGCACATTTCTGATCGGCTAAGAATTGATTTTACCTGGACCGCTCGTGTGAAAAATAGTCCAGCCCCAGAGGCCAGTTTTTTCACGTTAAAGTCCATTTTGTAGAGTCTGTTGCTGGTAATGTTCACGAAGGGCTGCAGACTCCTCCTGACTCCTGCTGACTGACGCAAGGCACGCACAAATCACGTGAACTGCGGCGAAACGGTCCACTTTGCTATTAAATAACAACGTATTTCTTTTGCATTTTCTTAGAAACATATATGTATTTTTGTTTAATAAATTAATCTATATGATATTTTAGTCACTTTTTTACTCGCGTTTTCGTGGTCATTTACTTTCTTTTTTTTATTTACGTCTGTGGATATCACGACATGTTCCGGAGTATAGTAAACAAACAATAAGAAAGCAGTACATTTTTTTATGTGTTTATAATTAATTTATTACATAATTTCTCTGGGATCCGTGCGTCGAGTGAAAATGGGCATAGACTCCACATCTGCACGTTCAACAATGACGCAAGCACGTACAGGACGTCAAGTTGTCGAAGCAGCAAGCTGGCAGCCTCGTGTGTGTTGGGTTTGTACAAATATTCCGTAGATTTGAAGTTATTCAACAAGATCAGTATTACGTTTACTCATTTGTCATATACATAAACATCTGCTATTTGTAAAAGCAGCTTTCTAACGAGTTTGCATGAATGCGGCGATGTAAACATTGCATACTAGCTAGCTATAAACAGATTATTACCAAAGCTAACAGGATGAATGAGTACGGAAAGTTCTGTTTATCACTATGATCGAACTTGCTGATCACTTCCATTATTAATGACAATATTGTTTTGCAGCTTTGATTTTGCGGTAGCGGTATGCAGAGCAGGTGGCCATGGCTGCGTGGAAGTCTCGGACCCGCAGTCTACAGGTGTTTGACACTGAGCTGAGCGCGGACACGGTAGAGTGGTGTCCCGTCTCCTCTGATCACAATATCCTCGTATGCGGGACATATCAGTTACAAAAAGGGGTAAGTATGACTGAGTAGGGCCTATCCATCCTGATCAGTTACTTAGATTTTAAATCAAATTATGGTATTTTTATAGGCTTAATGCTGCAGCTCTGCTAAATGTGTTGCGAAGTCTGCTCATAGGGCATTTTGAAGTGATTGGCTTCATATACAATTATAAGGGTAGTATTTTCCATGCATACTTTATACTACATACATTATACTTTTACTGAAACACCAATTTGCAGTAGTCTTTCCACCTTAACATAAAAGCTTCTAAGCTTCTTGTAGAAAGAAGAACACAATTATTGGAGACCAAATCAATATAGCATTCCAGGAACCTTTCTGATTGATGCAACAGATGGATTAGGCTATTATTATATTATATTTCTGACCGTTCTGTTTGTCTATGTATGGAAAAATGGCTACAACAGCTGTATTCTGCTGCAGACTGGAGAAGAGGATGCTACTCCAAGTCGGACTGGGCGCTTGTATCTCTTTCAGTTTCATAGAGAGGGACCAATGACCCCACCTTTGACAGAGCTCCAGCGCATGGACACAGCTGCTATTTTAGATCTAAAATGGTATGAAACACACTGTAAAATTTCGAACCCAATTTCGATGCTAGGGAATACACTTAATATTCAGTACTGATTCCGATGAAAATAAAACACTCTTTCCTTGGCAATAGAATGCGATTTTCAACATTAAATAATAATACTTTCTTTTATATTACCATGTGGTAATATAAACGTAAACATAATATTGATCTCGTTTATATTACCATGTGGTAATATAAAAGTGGTATATCTGTGCAATCGCTCAGTCGTCCCAAGTATGTTACATAGTGATCCGTGACTGCATACTAGTGTATATGCTCTTATACTTGTTCTGATACGGCTCAAAATCATTCTAAAGCTATTCAAGAAAGGTTAATTTCTGTCTGGTTGATGTGACCTTTTTAGTATTGATATTTGTTCAAATGAGTATCTAGCTTCAATATTAATTTTAATAATGATAAATATCTGATTTTCAATACTTTAAATAACCCTCCTGTACATATATCTTTATCACATCATAATGAGTAAAAGTCAGTTTCTGCTGTTGATGTTGCAGGTGTCATGTACCTGTATTGGAGAGACCAGTGCTCGGACTTGCTGCAGCCACTGGAGATCTGCAGCTTTACACTCTGAAAGAAACTCAGGTGCGGAGTGTGGCATCAGAGGAATCAATACCAGATTTATTTTTAAATGCACATATTAGAAGTACGCATTTGTCTCATTAAGTAAGGCAATAAAAACACTGTTCTCAAGCAGGGAAGTTGATGGGGGGGTAATATTCAGAACACCATTCTAGCATGGTTAAAAACTCATCAAAGTTGATTCTTTTAATATGTCCCCTTTAACGGGACACTCAGCTCAATTTGTTTTCAGTAGGAAGGTGGCCGGAGACTGCACACTCTGAGCAGTGTAGTGGTGGGAGCAGATCGGCTGGTGCTGTCTTTAGACTGGTCCACAGGGAGATTAGATGGGTAAGTTTTTTACACTATCAATGTGTAATGTAAAATCTATTACTAAATATTTCAGTATTTCAAGTTATTTTGCACTAAATGTACTTAATTTCTAATCCTTGTTGCCCACTTCTTACCATGATTTGTAGTTATCTTTGAGTAGTTATGTTCTGAATGTTTTTATATTGTGTTGGTTTTATTGGAAAGCACTTTGGTCACTTTGACTGTTGTAAAGGGCTCTATAAATAAAGTTTGATTGATTGGTTATCGGTATATAACTGTATTTTGGACAGGTCATGTTATAAAAAAAAAAAGTCAATCATTCTCCTGGTTAGATTAAGGACAAATGAAAGCAAGATTCTCCAAATATCTTTTTGTCTCTGTCTGTAGCAGTGACATCCGTGTGGTGTGTAGTGACTCTGCAGGCTGCATTAGCGTGGCATCGCTGGAAGAGGGCGCTGTAACCATTCAGTCTCAGTGGAAAGCTCATGACTTCGAGGCCTGGATCTCAGCTTTCTCTTACTGGGATACACAACTTATTTATACTGGTATTACACCAAAAGCTTTTTCAGATCCACATGTTTTTATTTCTTTTTTGGACAGCCATTTCATGAATACGAAACTGATGATAAAGCTGCATGTCTAATTTAATGTGAAATTCCAGGTGGTGATGACTGTAAACTCAAGGGATGGGATCTCAGAATGGATCCTTCCTGTCCCACTTTCACCAGTAAACGGTAAAGACACAGATAACAGGCTGAATGTCAAATTTCATTTGATGCTCATTTTTATTATTTCATGTGTTTTAAAGGCATGCAATGGGAGTGTGCAGTATTCACAGTAGTCCACATCGTGAGCATCTCCTCGCCACAGGCAGGTGAGAATCTGAGATATAGGGATGTGATGTACAGGGATGGGACAATATCTCGCGTCACAAGATCACACATGACAAAATTGAGATGGTGCACATGTGAGGAAAATTATCTTGTAAGATTTTAATCCATGTATTTAAATTTGGATTGGACAAAAAAAAGTAAGTCAGTCTTTATTTATATAGCTCTTTTCACAGACATATGTCACAAAGATGCTTTACAGAGCATTATTCATTCACTCATACCCGGTGGTGGTAAACAACTATTGTAGCCACAGCTGCCCTGGGGCAAACTGATGGAAGTGCAGCTGCATGCATAGTAAGCGTGCTTTCATTTTCATTTTCAATTATAAAGGCTCACTGTTTGGTTTGGTAGAAGTTTAGTAGAAGCCTGAGAGTGAGCTGTAGAGTGTGTGTGTTGTACCTTCAGGATCGGAGCCAGGAAAATAGAGACCCCAGTGAGGACGAAGACCAGAAGACCTGTCACCCTCTGCTCTCTGATTTAGACACACAAACAAACAAAAAAAAACGTGGTCAAGTTTAAATGTTCTGTGTAACTTTTCTGGGGAAGGGTCCATCAAGTGCTTTTCTCCATGAAGATGTTAATGTTTTATCTGGAATGTTTCGCAGTATGGTATTGAACTTTTCTATCATCATGTATATCAAACTAGACCAAGTTACGGGTCAGATCTGTGGAGAGGCAACTTTTCACTCACAGTCTGAATGCATGATTTTCTTGGTATTTTTGAGCTATGAAACCACCTGTAATTGAATAAATGTAAGTTGTAGTGCTTATTTATTTACTGTGGAACATTCCAGGCAGAGCTGTGACATCTCCATAGAAACAAGCATCTGACAGACCCCTCCCCAACCAAAAAGTTACATACTGTACCTTTAAACTAAGTATATTTTCTGCTCAAGCTTTTTACGTTCAAGTATTTTTTGAAATGATCATCTCTCAAAATATGTGTCTGATTTTGCCTTATCCATCCTTCCATATTTGCTGGGGTCTATCTCGTCAGTTATAGTTTTATGTCAGCATTGGACAAATTCAACAAATTCAAAACATGGCATGAAATTTGGGCCAATCCATGTAGTTTCCATGCAGGCAGGATCATTAGATCATTATTAATGTGTTATTCTGAATAAATACTAATTGACACCAAAGTAACCACTTACAAGTATGCAAACTGTCAGTTAGTATACCCTAAAACAAAATGGACAACAAAAGCAAAATGGACTCTCGTGAGCATTAAACCATGTTATAATGTTGTTACCTCCTCAAATGCATTTCTGTAGTTGTGTTTCATTCACACATGTTTTATAACCCTTTATTGTTAGTTGGTCTACGTGCTCTGTTCCACCTTGTGATGTCATGAAGTGGCAGCTTTCAAGTTCACAGCTTTGTTTTACCTTTTCCTTTAGTAGAGATTGGAAAAAATCCAAATGATTCTAGTGAAGGTGTGTGGAGTTTAAGTTTAGTTTTCTGTTTGAAAGAATTATTCAGCCTGAATAGGTAGCAAATGAAACAAAACTCCAGGCATGTTTTTGATAAGAAAACGGCACTATACACACCAGAAAATATTGTAATATGCTCCCTTAAAATGTACCACAACTAGAAAAGATTGATTACCACTGATCATATAAAAAGAGGCATTATTTTTGGAAGTGAGAGTACCTGACTCCGAGAAACTGTGGCTGTTCTCCGGGTGCGCTGGACTCACTCTCCATCTTCAGTGAATCGATGTGAGCGATGGAAATGACGGTCGCAGCCACGTACCAGGGCAGACCCATGAAGGAGCAGGCTGCCATCAGGACCCCCACCCACAAGAGGTCCAGGTGGTACCCACAACCTTTCTGATGAGACAGCAGAGAGAGAGGGGCATCATAAATTACACACAGATTTGAGAATTAGTATACACAACCTAAAATATGTATCCACTGTAGGGTTGTAGACGATTAATGACATTTTTCTGTCAATATATCTGACCCAAACTGCACTCAAAATATTAGTTCCTACAAAAGAATAATTTATCTAGAAAAATACAAGGAAACTGAGTACTTATATGAAAATATGCCGATTAAATGATTCACTGATTGTGGTTGACTGCTCTTGTGGCTGACTGGCCTGCACACCGAGCAGTTTTTTTAACCTAAAATTTGTGCCTTACATTTTTAACTTAACATTTTGGAATTTTGACTTAACAGAAGTGCAGCATTAGTGGGAGAGCAAATGGACACGCTTGTAACAGCATGAAAATGGTGGTAAAAATAAACATGACTGATAAAAGCTTATCAGAAGCATACAAAAAAACATACTGCATACTTATTGTAAGGCCAACACAAACAGACAATGATATGATATAAAAGTAATTGAATCTTTCTTTAATTTCACTCAGATCTGCAATTTTTCATGACTCTGATTACATTTGCCAGTCTTACTTTGAGTTTGTTCTCTTTGCGGTTCACAATGACAGCGCTGATCTGTTGGTCCATGAAGATGAGGATGGTGACGAGGAGCGCTGGAACAGCACTCGCCAAATACACCCACCAGGGGTTTTTACCGAACGGCATCACAATCCAGCCACGATCAGGGCGGGTGGGCTGGTCAAACACAGGAAGCACAGGAAGGTACAATGTCAGCAACAGATGACTGACAAACTGGTTATGAACACTACAAAAATCTAGTCAAATTCAGACTTGAATTTTGAAAGTTTGATCATGATTTGTCTTGACAGGTTAAATTATCTACAAATAGAACAAGAGTTTTTGTACTTAAAAATATGAAAATACACCTTGCTACACTTACACACTATACTGCATACAAATACATAATTCCACTGGTATATACTTTGACTTGTCAAGATGAATCTACTCAAATAAAGTAAAATGTTCTTAATTTAAGTCATTGTACCTTACTTAGTTATGACCTTTTGCAGTGAAGAGTTTATTGAGAAGAGGAAAAGGATTGCCTGATGTGGCAGTGTAGCTAGACTGTATATTTAAATGGATATAGCTAACCTAAATAAGAAATGAACATGGGCATGATTCGGCTCCACTGACTCCAATTCACTTTCTATTAAAAAATGTCACTGCTGCTGTCAGACTCATCATTCTGACTTTAAAATGTTCATTTCAAAGTTCTTTCTCCGAGTTTGCCCCTGCTAACAGGTTTGAATGGGCATGCACCCACGCTCCTGACTGGCTCTTTGATTATGCACCCAGATTTCCAAATATGGTTCATAGTTGCAGATTAGCCATTATAACTACAACGGTAGCCTCGAATGGCTTCATTTGATTTCAACCAAATCATCACACTCCCTAAGTCCACTGAAAATATCCAGGCTATGGGTGTAGCACATGGCTCAATGGCAGTAAGGAAGCGAGTCCAGAAAAGTAACTAGAAGAAAATGAACAATAATAATGCTAATAATAATAAAATTTTAATATTTAGTTTTTTTTTTTAAATACAAAAGTAATTCAATTTATAGAGGTGTGTTGTATAAGTAAGTATCCAATATTCTTCATGTAAAAAAGTAAAATTTGTGTTGTCTCAAAACATATGTATCTTGTAGAAAATGAAAATGTGCTGTCTGTGTCGAAACAAATTATTTTTATTGTCTATGAACCAGGAAGTTGTGCTCTTGTGCAGTTAGCGTACTAGCTGTAGTTACCATTACCGTGACAGCAAAACATTGCTCTCACCTCTGAAAGTTGTGAAAAGAGCTCATAAACTCATCACAGTGAATAATAAGAATGCTTAAGACAGTAAAAATGACTTAGACTGCGTTCAGACTGCAGGGCTTAATGCTCAATTCGGATTTTTTTGTGAAATCCGATGTTTTTGCGAGGTTGTTCACATTTCCAATTAAATGTGACTTGTATGTGATCTCCAGTGTTCATTAACAATTTTCGCCTACCTCAGCGCAGAATAGTGACATTTGCGGCTTGTTGATAACATATAGATCAGATGAATGCGCTTTGGCCGTTCAGACTGAAGTCGCATGTCAAAAGATCGGATATGTATCGGTTTTAGGACCACATATCCAAGTGGCCTGGGTCGCATTTGAAAAAATCGGATCTGTGTTGTTCATTAAAAGATCAGATACAGGTCACATAGGGACCAAAAAATCGGATTTGGGTCACTTCAGGCTGCAGTCTGAACGTAGCCTTAGAATGTCTTTAAGAGATGATTGGTTGAGAGGCAAAGGTAGTTAGCTGTGATTGGCTGACGGTGACAGTAGTGTTTGTAGTACTGATAATCACCTTAAACTCTGTGGGAACGATGAGTTTGGGAGTTTTGAGCCCCACCAGCATGTCCAGTCCCACAAACGTCATAATGGACATAAAGATGGAGAAGTCACTGATCAGTTTCCTCAGCTGTGGAGAGGCAGAAATAAAAGTTGCATTGTGTAACTTTTCTGATGCTTGTTTTCCTTGGTATTTTTGAACTGTAAAACCACCTGTAATTTAATAAATGTGAGGTAGAGCTGTTATAAATCATACTGTGAAAAATTCCAGGCAGAGCAATGACATTTCCACTGACACAAGCAGGTGACAGACCCCCAACCAAATAATTACATAATGCACCTTTAACACACATTATTTTGGGGGTCGGGCAATGCAATACAAGAATTTGAATTCTTACTTCTCAAAGTACAATAAAGTTATCAAGAAAAAGTATACATAATATAAAGTAAAAACTCCTAAAAGTTAAGTTGTAGTAAATCAAATATAGCATTTCATAGTCTGACCATTTTTTTATTTACTACTTGAATTTATTAAGCTTAACCTAAAGTTTCACTGGGCAACTCTTGTCACTACAATCAAAACCTGAACTGCATCCATTTATTTAATTACATTTTTGGCCAGACTTAGCTTAGCAAAAGTTTACAATTTAAGACTAGAACACTAGACGTGATGCTTTGAATGCAAATGGAAATTGGAATCTATACAATATTAGATGACACTGTGATTTGTTCAGGAGTGGTTCAATGTAGAGAAAGTTTCAGAGGACAAAGGTCATCTGGATGGGAGACGACTTGAAAAAAACAACAACCTGTGTCCAGGAAAACTTTTCTATATTTTTTAGATATTTTGATAGTATCTGACACAAATCTCTTCCTATTTTTGCTATTTATTTATATTTTTCTCTTTGTTATAATATATTGTGACATTTCCCTTGTGGATTAATAAAGTTTGTCTAAGTCTAAGTCGCCTTAATATGCATCTAGTCATCTTAATTTTCTATCAATGTTCTGTTTCAAGTACAAAGATGAATATTGGGGATTTCAGAAAAACTGTAGGCCTAAATCAAAATATTCATTAAATTTAAGGATGGAGTAAATGAGATTGTTTTGGCCAAAAATTCTGTAACAAAAGGAACATTTGCCATTTATATGAGAGAGATTATTTAAATAACTAAAGTAATACAGCTCGGAGCTGGATCATTATCATTTTTGAATTGTTTAATAGACAAAAACCTTAAGAAGAAAAACAATTGTCATGGATAAGTCTAGTTATTACTTTGAAGGTCCCTACATTTTGATTTTGATAAATTAAAATGCAGTGACATTTTTTTAACATCTGACCTTTGCATGGTGCATTCATTTGAACAATCAAAACTTACAATGAAATACCTATTAATTTCATGCATATTTAACATTTAAAACACATTTACTGAAGGCATGTTTTTAAAGCACTCCAGACGAGGAGTGCAAGCGAGTGTCCAAGCTTTGTTTCTTCAATGGCCGTATATCAAAACACAGACAGCCAATCAAGGGGCCATAGACCGGTGGTAAATACAGTCAACAATTCAAATCTGTGCATCGATAACAAGTTAAAATGAGACACATGCTTAGATATTCAATAGGACACACTCATTTTTTGATATTGGCTTTAGCAAACTCAAGCTGGATTTTCAGAAATTGCAGTGAAAGCATCTCCATGGAGACAAGAAGGTGTTGTACTCCCCAGAAAAGTTACTTAGTGTAAGTGTACCAGTTTAAAGCCAAAGCAGCTGTAATGGTGGGGATACCTTGGTGGGGAAGTAACGGCTGAACTTGAACTTTTTCAGGGTGACAGTCATGGAGTAGGTCCCGAAGAAGAGGATGAAGGACATGAGAGCCAAATCTGGGACATATTTACACGATTTCCCAACCAGAGTCCCTCCGTACGTCAGGCAGTCCTTTTTGCTGAGCTGGGTCCAGTCCACGCCTGTCAAATTCAACTGTGAAAACACAAAGATCCCAGACAAACGACAACAAAAACACAGCAACAATTTTGGGTTTTGTCCAGGAAGTAAATGAATGAGAAATAAATAAATATGAATTGGATACAAAAACATACCCCAGACAGAGAGGAGGTGTTATCTGGCACTGGGACTGAACACGGGAGAGCATTGCAGCCACTGGAGAGAAACAAAACAGAGCAAAAATAAAAATGAAAATACTGCTACTGGCATTTGGGCATACAAGATGAATCGCAATATGTATTTGAACAGTCACAATTAGCATAAAACTCTTCATAATGTCAATGCAAACAACAATAAAAGTACAGTGAAAATCTATTATTACAAACTTGTTCTGAAATGACAAAGTATTTCACACAGATTTTGATAAAGTGTTGTCAATTTGTTAAAGTATTAAATGTAGCAATCTTGATTTTAAAAAGTATTCATATCAAGAGTAGTAATACAAATCAGTTTCTTTGGTTTTGGTTTTCCTATGAATTTTGTATATTTGTGTATTGTTTGCTGAAAGCTGAAGCTTGAACTCAAAACCTTTAGTCAGGATGGTAAAAATATGGTAATAATAACTAAAATCATATGAAAAGTACTTTCATTCTTCATTCCTTTTCAGTCCTTGTTAAAAATGTAGTGGAGTAAAAAGTATAAATACCTGCTCTCAAAGGTAGTGAAGTAAAAGTAAAAGTACCTACTGTAAAATGTAAATAACAGATACCTAAAAAATCTACTGTACTTAAAGATGTGAATGCTCCTGAATCAGAATTTGAATGGACTCCAGATTTTAAAATGATATCTCTTTTTGTTAGCCTCATAGCTGAAGTGCCTTGTTCATTTTTCAAGGTTTTTGAGAAAATACCCAAAAAAACTGGTTTGTGGTTTGGGCTTTTCAAAAAAATATTTCAAAACAACATTTATACTATGAGGCTGGCAATATCTAACATAATTCTTATGAGGAAAATAGCCCATGTTGGCCACGTCACTGTTAGTATTTACTGTATATATACTGTCTATGTTGAGGTAATAGTCATGCAAAAAACATCTCTGCAGACATAACGCCAAAAGAAGCAACAGCGGTAGCTTGGTTTCATTATTTGCACTTACTTGTAAAAGACAGCAGCCACATTGTTAGAGCATGGCAAATACAGACAAGACACAAATGAGTTACAGAAATCATTGTCAACTAAAAAAAAAACATTGAACATTAAAGGTGCACTGTGTAACTTTTCTGCTAGGGGACCCACCAGTTACTTGTCTCCATGGAGATGTTATTGATTTACCTGCAATATTCCAAAGTATGGCATTCAACTTTTAGTCTCCATAGAAACAAGTAAAAGACACCACCAGGCCAATTTACAGGTGAGATCTGTGAAGAGGTGACCCCACTCACTAGCCAGGCTAGCACCACCTAGTGCCTCCGCTCAATAACAGCGATTGGTTAAATAAAAAAAGTACCCACCTAACATTGAGCGAACAAATTCTAATGGTGCGAGGTCAGACGGTTTCTATGAAGTGAAACTGGCTGATGAATCAGGCTACCCACTCATAGTAAGAATCCTTGTTTTTAACTTTTGAGCAATGAAAACACCTATAATAATATGCATACATAAAATAATATGAATAAATTAATCTTATATAAGTTTAATACTATATTGTGGAACATTACAGCTAAAGCAATAGCATCTCCATGGCAGCAGACTCCCAATCTGAAAAGTTACGTTGTGTACCTTTAAAGGACACATATTATGCTTTCTTTTGAATGCTTGAATTTCAATATAGCAGCATAGCATTCAACTTTGAATATAATTTACTCTTGTATTATATATAGCATAAGGTACAGCTGCATAATTCACTCATTATTGCACATCATTTAGAGCCAAAGAGCTGGCAGGAGGGATTTTCTTGATTCTATGTTTGATGGATTATTGTCTCCAAGGTCTACACACCATCTGCATGTTGTTTTGAACACTGCCATATATATGAGTGGATAAACTAATAATGCAATTCTTTATATCTTTTTATCTGTGTGTAATATAGAGCATCATCATTTCACCCACATCTCTGCTCCCAGAAACCAATATGAATTATGACACTATATGCATTAGCATGCAGAGGAGATAAGGCCTGTCAAAATGACATGTGTTAGAATTCTCTTTCTGTAACTGCTCAACTCATAATGTGCAAAAGAAAGAGGCAAGCAAAGAGCATAAAAGGCAAACATTGAATTCTTTGAAATGCTAATGGATAAGTGATTGTGAATATTTAAAGGTCTTTTGTTGCATATAGCATATATAAAAATGTTGAGATCCACTATGTAATTTTTAATTTAAAAAAGTAAATTGTAATTTAGTTACACAATAGGGATGCCAATTATTTATTTTTTCAACCCAGTGCATGCTTCAAACCATTAAAAAATTACCAACTTAAGTGACTAATACTATTTTTACAATCTTTGACTAGTTGACCAATTGCTCGATTAAATGTTTTATTACGTAATATTAATAATCATTCAAAACTAAAACATCCCTGTTATCTTAAAGCTCATTTGCTTAAGAGAGCTGTACCTGATTTACTGTGATTACCTGATGAACCTGGTTTTAAAAACATGAAAAACACAACTATTTCACTGCACGGTTTGCAGTGGTCCAGTTTTTCCGTTAAGATAAAGCAAACAACAACAACTGGCATAATAGTGTGCACTTCCTGATGATCAAACAATAAAATGCTTTCTAATCAGATGCAAACAGCATGCAGAGGACTTATGTGAACCTCAAGAGATGTTTATACAATATATCTGCACTGGAGTAAGACAAACTTGGCTCAAATACATGGGAAAAAAATCGGGTCATTCCACAAGAACCTCTTGGACACCCCAAAGGTCAGAGGTCAGAACTCACTCGGGTTAGGCGCCACACACTCGCACTTGTAGGTCGTCACGTAGTCTGGTTTGAAGTCTGTATTGATGGGGTAGTATTTGAATGCTCCCACCATCTTTTTAATGGCATCAGAGATAAAGATGAAGGAGATGAGACTGGAGAAGCCCTCCTCGGTGAAACGTGTCATGTATTTGATGATGTAGCTGGCGTCAAACGCCACCAACAAAAAGCATTGCAAACAGGAGTGAATCCCGATCCACAGACGCAGCTCCATGTAGTCTATGCTGTTCTTCCTGTGGGGAGTAGAGAAGATCATAGAACACAGTCTCGAATATATAATGAACACAATTTGGGAAAACACAGAAACAAATGGGATAATGAACCTCCAGAGAAGTCATGCAATAGCATATTTTAGATTGGTTTTCTTGGTCATAGTAGTATTGGAGCTTTCAGTTATAACTCTCAAAAAAACCCAAAACATTATAATGAATAATAATGAATACATTTCCTACATCAATGGTAAAATCCTCCACAATCTTCCATTGTCCATTAGTTAAACTTTGCCAGTGGCTCTAAGGGAGAGCCAAGTTTGTGTCTGAAACTCACTTGCTGAATTCGAAGAGCAGTTTTTCAAAGATGAGGATTGGCCCAGTGGAGCTAAGGATGATTAAAGGCTGTCCTCCAAACATACAGAAGACAGAGCCGGCCAAAGCAGTGCCCAGGAAGCTCTCCATCACACCCTGTAATGAAGAAACGACAGCAAAACGCAGCATTCAATGCACAACGAATCAGCATAAATACAAGCTACAAGTAAGCGTGTGAAAATTAGTTTAGAGAAGAGAAAAAACTGTCAAGGGCCTGCATTTCAACTTAATAGTAGCTCAATAGGAGCTCGGCCGGCAGTAGTTCAGTTGGTTGTTGTTGTTTGTCCACATGTGAAGGCTGGCGGTTCAAATCCCACTTTCCACATAAACATCACTGGTTAAGCCGTCATCCACTGACCCACAGGTTGGCATTGTGATTTCAGCTCCCACAGATGAAAGCTCTCTTTGTGTCCTTGGGCAAGACAGTTACCCCATCTCGCCTGCATACACTGCGGTGTGAATCTGTGTGTGAATGGGTGAGTGCTTCCTTGTTGTAAAGAGCTTAGAGTGCCCTGAAGGTGGAAAAGCACTGTACAAAAATGTGACCATTTACCATATAGGAGATCTTATCTCCAGGGCAAATGTATAGTTGTACTGGGATTTGGGAATAAACTATTACATCAGCTAACGTAATAGTATAGCAAGAATAAATTATGTCAGAATACTGACCAGCATTTCCATGGTTTACAGTTTAGTTTTGTTGTATTTGTTTTGTTTGTTTTTTAATTAAAATGATAACAAGTATGCAAGGCAAGGCAAGTTTATTTGTGTAGCACAATTCGTACAAGTAATTCAAAGTGCTTTACAGAATTAACAGTGGTAGGTGTGACATGTGGTCAGAAATATTATTCATTTTCATGATTTTTTTGTTTGTTTTGGAACTCATGCACACTCTAACTTTTTTGAATGGTCTGTCAGGTCTGTCACTTGCTTGTATCTATGGATATGTAATGGCCCTGCTTGGAATATCACACAGTATGACTTTAAAGAGCTCTACATTACATTTATTTAATTACAAGTGGTTTTATAGGACAAAAAGACATATAAAAACAGGCATTCTGACTGTGAGTGCAGTTGTCTCTCCACAGATCTGACCTGTAACCCCATCTGGTTTGGTCTCCATAAAGATAGAAAGGTTTAATGCCATACCGTGAAACATTCCAGACAAAACAATAACATCTCCATGAAGAAAAGCATTTGATAGACCCTCCACCAGAAAAAAGTACACAATGCACTTTTAAGATTAATGCAATACTGTGGAACAACTGTGCTGCATTGGTCGAATACAAAGTAAATGTTGTGGGTGTGACGTGGTCAGAGTAAACTTTTTAAAGTTTTATTCAATCCTAAATCTAAAAAGGTATAGATTCCATAGTGACATCCATTATCACACATATTTCTAAAATCCAACATGCCTGTCTTTCTTATGTGACAGTGGAAGACAAATGTGCACTTGTGTATCTGGACTCGACTGGGGAGTGAAGGACTGCCAGTCAAAGCCCTTATCTCAGACGCCTTCTGTGAACCAGGGCAAAAATACTGAGACACAGTGAGAGAAACTGAAAAATACTCAGCAGGATGCCCTCACTTTTGGAGAAATAACTCCCCAAGACAATTTCTAGGAAGAACTATTTTTTGGCACAAAATTAGCTGTGATAAAACTTTAGGGTTTTAGTTCATTTAAATGTATTAAATTTGTGAATGAAAGATCAAGTCATTTTAATCGGTCAATGATCCACCTGGATCTTTTTAGTAAAAGATCCAGTAAAAGTTAAAACTTTGGAGGTAAGAATTTGACATACTGACAGATTAAGCCATCAATATTAGGAAAAAAAAAATTTTTTTTTGGCCACCAATTCTAACACAACTTTGAAAAAAACCCTTGTAGCAAAACCATACTTGAATCTAGAGTATGTAATCAACCATATTAGACATTTTTACTCTACATGTACATGTTTTAGACAATTCTCACTAAGCACCTATAATGACGAAGTTCCTTAGATTCACAGTATATAAAATAGGACAACGTTGTTTATGCATGAGAAGCCAAACTCAGTTCTGTGTGTGTGTATGTGAGCTTGTGTTTCATCTTATTCTGAACGAAGCATTAATCAAGAGATATGGGCCAGATCACTTGCCACTTGTGTATGATTAACAGGCTGCACAGAGATAGAGATAGTGAATATGTTTAACCTAAATGGATTAAAATGACACACTAATGACATTGCCCTTCCTGCACAGACGGCAGTTCAATCTCTATGAACTCTGCTTTGTGCTAGTTTTACAATATGATGATGATGATGATGATGATTTAATGCAATGGTAAAAACAGGGAAGTAGTGGCTTGCCTTCTCCAAGTGGGAGGAGAGTCCTTGCCCCAAGTGACGGAGTTCAAGTATGTCGGGGTCTTGTTCACGAGTGAGGGAAGGATGGAGCGTGATGTGGCCGCTGTTTTGGACTGTTGTGGTGAAGAAGGAGTTGAAAGGCAAAGATCTCAATTTAACAGTCAATCTCTGTTACGTCCCTCACCTATGGTCATGAACTTTGGGTAATGACCAAAAGGAAAATATACAAGTGGTCAAAATGAGTTTCCTTTGCTGGTTGGCTGAGAGTTCCCAGGGTGAAGAGCACCATCCATGTGGAGAGGGGCCAGCTGGGGTGATTCGGGCATCTGTTCTGGAGGGACTATGTCTTTGGGCTGCCCTGGGAACGCCTTGAGGTCCCAGTGTCTAGGGTGAGGGAAGTCTGGGAATCTCTAGCTAGACTGCGGGCCCAATGACCCAGCCCCAGGTAAGCGGAAGTAAATGAATGGGTGGTAAAAAACAGTACTAGAAGTTGTAGCCAATAGTAAGGCAAAATGAACACTTGAGTTGCATTTTTCTTAATCAGATTTCATGAAATTAGAAAAATAAGTATTGAAAAAAGTGAGAAATACCTTGAAACCAAACAAATAAGACTTCAAGACTTCAAATTAAAACTCTTTTAACTCATAGGGAAGCATGTGAATCTCAAATTACCTACTGATCAGATCACTAAGTGTGAGCACAGAGAGCAGAGATGGAAAGAGAGTGTTGAGAGAAATGGAAGTGAGACATATTTCTGATGCACATCACTGACATCACCCGAGCTCAATACATGAAGAAGGACTAAGACCAGAATAAGAACAAGGTCAAGAAGAAGTCCGAGAGGATCCTCTGCAGTTCGGCCTCTCCCCCACAAGGTTCTGGAATAAACTTTAAATAAACCATTTGAAGCATTGCGCTCTTTTGTGTTTTACTATATAAAACTGCAAACTAACTGGACAGAGGCCACATATTATAATCAAAAGGTTGGCAGTTCATAATGTTGTTGTGTCCTTGGGCAAGATAATCCACACCCACCTTCCTTGTATGAATGTACTGTGTCTCAAATAATACAGTGTCATTAGTACAACTGCATAATTATGTCTCAGCAGAGCCACCGAAACGCATTGATTTTGAAAGGACGTTCTTAGAGGATAAAGCCGTCACATTTTGGAGCACATGCAACAGAAACACTTTATTTGGTCTAATATTACAGGTCAGGGACTAGAATAGGGTCAAAGAAGGAAATAAATCACTTTTAATTGAACTAGAGGATGCTAAGAAAGTTACTAAAGAAGTTCTATGAGATTATAATCAACAATGTGAAGAAAACAGACAAGACATACAATTTTACGTAATATTTGTCATACAAGATTAACTGAATTGCTTTATTTTCTCTTTTTTACATTATGCTTTCATTTCAATTCTACAGTTCATCTATAATGCATTGCTTATGGGACAGCAAAAGTACCAGCCTATCCCAAGATCAATACCTCTAACCTTTTCACTGTGAGTCCTGAATGCTAACAACTCTGCAACCACTGCTTACAGTACATCTTTATCCTGTACAAATTTGCTTTACTTCACCCTTACCTGGTAGTTGTCAGTGGCATCTCCCAGAAGACCTCCGAACGTGATGGCGTTGGTGATACAGCCCAAGTAAATAAAGAGGACTGCAGAGATAGATTGGATGTGGAAACCTTCGTAGAAATCACTTGGGAACCAGGGCAGTTTACGCTTTATATCCAAGTAGAGGCCCCCACAGAAACTAAAGAGTCAGAATAAACAGGAGATTAGCTGGTTTCTTAGCTGTGGTGGAAGGTAACAAAGTATAAATGTAAAAGTACAATACATAAGTACACATTTTAGGTATCTGTACTATACTCAAGTACATTTTACAGTGGATACTTTTTATTTTACTTCACTACATTTGAGCACATCCATCCTTGCTTTCTGCTCCACTATATTTTAAATTTGGACTGAAAAGAAAAAAGTATTTTTTAATAGTACAAGACCTACTTACTTTACTACATTTAATTTGAGTTTTCATCCCAACCTTGACCAACACACAAAAAAACTAAAACAACTATACAAATTTAATCACTTAACATTTGCTGAATTCTTTATCAAAATCACTACATTTCATCCTTTAATTGTTCTAAAAATCTCTGCAAAAACTTTTACTTTTTACTCTTAAAGTACATTTTTAAACAGGTACTTTAATACTTAAATTGATTGTTTCATGTGATACTTTTACTTCAGTAACTTCTTGCCCTTGTATCTGTGAATTTACTTGAGTACTTCGTCCACCACCGTTGGTTTGTATGAGCAAAGCCTGTTGGCATTTGTGAAAGTTGAAGAATCTTGAGGTGGTAAGTAAGTAGCAGTTTCTTCCTAAAGAGAACATTTTATTTGGGGATGCACTGTATTGCGTGTGGATGTGAATGTGTGTTTGAACGTGGGAATGTGTGAAATATGTTTAAAGATCAAGCTGTACATCATCACAGACTCAAAACGTGTCTGCTCGGACTAGCTTTTAACACTCACTAATGCAGTCAACAGCACTTTGAACAATTAGTCTTATTTCACTGACTGATATTTTGTATGTTTTTTATATTGTGTTGATTTTAATGTGAAGCATTTTGTTTGGTTACCAATGAGAATTGTAAAGGGTTTGATTGATTGATTGTAAGATAATACCTGTGTCGTGATCAGTCATTTCAAATATTTTATTTAGTCATTTACAAAGCCGCACCTGGAGCATTGTCATTATTCAGTCGGTGTGTCAGTAAACTGATCAGTAACTATCAGTTTCCATAGTAATAGTAGATTGTATATGACAAAACTAGACTTTTTAAGGTAGACCAGTGATGGAAGAAGTACTAAATTTTGCTACTTAAGTAAAAGTACAGATACTGAGGCATAAACATAGCCAAGTAAATCTATCACATGAAAAAAATCTACTTCAGTAAAGGTATTAGAGTACTTTTTAAAAAATGTACTTAAAGAGTAAAAAGTATTTTGTGCAGATTTATAGGTCTTCTAAGGCTTCAGATGTATATTGATATTAATAAAGATTTGTGCTGAACTTTGAACAGAACCAATTAAATTATATATTGTTTCCAAGCTGTTTTTATTTGTATATTTCAAATTACAAACGTGTGAAATATAAACCCTCAGACATTTCAACAGGTCTCAGACAATAATAAAAAATACTGACAATAATAAAAAATATTGTCAGTCCAGTCCTTTTCAGTCCAAAAATGTAGTGGAATAGAAAGTATGGATACCTCTCAAATTTAGTGAAGTAAAAGTAAAAAAAAGTATCCACTGTAAAATGTACTTACAGATACCAATTTTTTTTATTTAAGTAGTTCTTATTTTACTTTGTTGCATTCCACCACTGATCTAGACATGAGTAAATGATGACACACAAAAGAGACTGAAGTGACTAATAAAGCTGATCTTGGGAAACCATTCGATGCCGAGTCAAAGCGATGGCCAGATGGAGCATAAATCAGCTTGTTCTGGTTGTAAACAATTCGTGACATGGCAAACTGACTCAGTACAGTTTTCCTATTTGCAGATTAGACTATCAGCCGTGAGACCAGACGGCAAAGACTCATCCACAGCCCAAGTGCTCAGTGGAGGACATAAGTTGGCCCCAGAAGTCTTATTTCTGCTCCCTGCCAAAGAAAGTTGCTGTGAGAACTTTGCCAGGTGCTGCTCCTGCCTGTTCCTGTCATACCGTCCGGTGAAGGCCAGCTCCTCCCCGAGCTCGTGCTGCTCTGGCATCTCCTCATCCGCAGACAGACGCCCCCCTCCTCCTGCCGTCCCGTTCATTTGGCCCAGTTCATTTAAGGAGAACACCGACTTCCTGCAGGAAACATCAAAGTGTCCAGTTTTAGGTAATAATCAAACAAGTTGCATTACATAATACATAATAATAATATGCATTTAAATAATAATGCATGGAGCAGACTGACAGAAGCACCATCGGTCCCTCCTACCAACACTCAGGCACACACCACTTTCAGTATCTTGCCTGAGAACACAATGACAGTTTTGGCGACACTGCGGCACCTGGTATTCCCAACAGTCTCCCTTCCAAGTATTAACCTTGCTTGTGGTCTCGCTTAGTGTCTGAGATATGATGAGATTAGGCTTTGACAAGGAGATTTGAATCTTTACAAGCTGAAAAACTGAAATAACCTTGACTCATTCCAAGAACATATAGTCCTAGAATGACAGACAGACAGATACTTTATTCATCCAGAGGGAAATTCAAGTTTTGCTGCAGCAACTATTGCAGATGATGTTGCTTTTACATTAACAATTTTTGTCTTTTTTATTAAGGTTTATTTTTGTATAGCACTGTGGTTGTTTTTAAAGAATGTTGAAATGAAGTTGAAAAAGGTCTAATTTGGTCAGTCAAGAATACATGCTCTTGTCAATATTGGCTTCCTAGCACCAAATTAAATCTGACATTTTAGTGCCATATGAACCATCTGGGATCTGAGGACCTCAAAGACTGGCCTTCTGCTGGTGCCCAGAATAAGGACTAAACAGGGGGAGTCAGCCATTTGGTTTTATGCAGCTTCCTGACTTCTTCCCAACAATGTGAGACAGGTCTCTACTCTCTATGTTCAAATCCAGGTTCTAAATGTTCTGTTTAGTTGAGCATATGAGAGAATTTCCAAATTTAGATATTCAAATGTAACAGTTTAAATTCAATTATACCACAGTCAGCGAGAATTCCAATGGCGAGTTCCCGGCATTAATATTGTATGACGCACAAGTCCGGTAAGAGCCAAATCACTGTTCTATATCACTGCTCTGCGGCCATCGCCATGACATCACCATAGCAACAGGTTAAACAAATGCTACATTTACAGACAGGGCTTTTCACATTCACAGGTGAGATATTTCAGTTTGTAGCCGTTGTAAGCTGCATTAAACAACTTGGAGCCGTGTGTTATGCAGTTTTAGCACACTGCTCCTCCTTGTTTAGTTCTTACATATCACTGCTCTGCTGCTATCGCCATGACATTACCATAGCAAACAGGTAAACAGATGCTCAACTGTTCTGAGAAGAATGTAAGGACTAGCTTCATTTAAAACACTGAAATAATTAATATTCTACAATTAAAATGTTATTTCCTTATTGCTGTTTAACGCTTACTAAAACCACAATATAAAAAAGTAACATATTTCACATTCCTGATAGAGCTTTAGTTTCTATTTAAAAGCAGACCCGATTCATCCTTATATGAACACTTGAACGCAAAACTACAGACCTGAATGATTAATAATAAAGCAGTGAATGTTGGACCTTTTGTCAGCTGAGGGGACCTTCTTGGGTGGTTCGATGCGTATTTTGGGGTCCCATTCTCCAGGAGGAAGCACAATCACTTCATCCAAAAACTCATCTATTCCAGCAATCAGGTCCTCGCGGTCTCTGGCCTTGTACGCCACATCACTGAACAGCTGAGAGGAAAGAGACAGACGGTGAATCAGAGGTGGGGATGGAGATTCACGATATGGTTAAAGCAGTGTAAAAGCTTGTAGGGAACAATATCGGCTAATGTGAACAAATAAAAAAACATAATATGTCTTAAAGGTGCATCGTGTAACTTTTCTGATTGGGGGTCTGTCACCTTCTTGTTTCCATGGATATGTCTGTGGTCTGCCTGGAATGTTCCACAGTATGACATTAAACAGGTCTACCTTACATTTATTAAATTACAGCTCAAAAATACCAGAAAACCTGAAATTCTGACTGTGAGCGGGGTTACTGCCCTACAGATCTGACCTGTAACATGGTCTGGTTTGGTCTCCATGAAGATAGAAATGTTTAATGCCATACTGTGAAACATTCCAGACAAAGCAATAACATCACCATGGAGAAAAGAGTTTGAGAGAGCCTCCATCAGAAAAGTTACACAATGCACTTTCAATGTAAAAAAAAAAAAGTGTTTTAACCAATGTAAAAAGAGTAGATTTTAGATTTAATTTAATAGTATTTTCATAGTTATGCAATGATGGCACCTGTCCAATAATTTTGGCCCATTTTAAAATGTAATACAGAAAATGTATTGCAACATTCAACCAAATTATTCAATAAATCACTTTTTTCATTCCATTAGCCTAACAACCGAACAATAACAATAAATCAGCTTTTGCTAATAAGCAATTAGGATCTAATTATGCCGGAGGAACCTGGGAGTAAAGTTTGCAGTGTTGCACACAGATAAAATCAAAGAGACAAACTAATTGGCAGAGTTTGTGCTGTGGGCCTGTGTGTGCTTTATAAATGTCTCCAGACCAGACTCTACCAGGGGCTTTAGATTAAACTTTTGAAAAGATGAATCTGGGCTGGTATCTACGCACCGAAGGAGAAAGAAGACCTTTCCCCACAGCCATAGAAAATAAAGACATTGATTTTGGCCCACACAAAACTCTTCTGGAGCAGATCAAATGCAAAAAGTACATTATTCTGGGCTAATATTGGACAGAGAATCAAAGTTATCAGTGATTACAGTAATCAGTAATTGGAAACTGATCTGAAAATGCAGAGATTATGATTATTCGACGTACTCCAGAAAGCATTTTAAACTTATCCTCTCTATTTTTCTTTTCTTTCTTTCTTTAATTTGTTTTGTTTTAATTTTCATAATTTTCAGAAACACAGTATAAATAAAAGAGGAGGAAAAAATAAATAAAAACAAGTCTCTCTATTTTCTAACAAGACTGTATGGGAAGATCAACAAATGCCTACAAAATAACATTTAATTAAACGTATATAACATTGTGTTCAAATCTTTCTAATTCACTTGAACTATTGAAATGCCAAGCTCATTATTAAGGTTGCGCATTGTCTGATGATACAATACATACCATGATATGCCTGGCACGATTCATATCTCCCAGTAGTAAAACAATGAATGATATATTGCAATATATCAATAATTACTTTTAATAATATAGTCAACTACACCTTCACAAGAACAAAATTGTAAGTTATAAGTTATTATATTTTCTACATCATGAAAACAATGAGTGTAACTAATTAAGTTTTGAAATGTATATATGTATGTATTATTTAACTGCTCAAAATATAATAATAAACACTTAATGTCTCACCTGCTTTTATTATCATGCCTATATTTTCATATTTTCTTACATGCGCTCTTAGTTGTATTCTTTGTACAGCATCTTTGAGTGTTAAAAAAGCATTATATAAATAAAATGTATTATTATTTTAAAAATCTATTGGGATGCATTTTAAACTGTGCAACTGTGCAATGAATATGTATCACTGAATCAATTTTTTCTTACATCCTTACTCATTATAGGTGAAGATTTTATTTAGAGGAACACATTTTGTCTTCTTTTGCAGGGTTGTGTGTTTGTTGGTATGATAGAAGCTCTCATTACAAGTCCAAGCAGGTTATGTAATGCCATAGGTTGGTCATTATCCTGAAACCTTATGTCCAACATTACCTTAACAACCAGAATTTTCTTGGACAGATTGTATTTTAAATAGCAATATGTCTCTTTTTTTCACATTTAGGTATTTCTTACATCATTAAGGTTAGGTGCATTGTGTAACGTTTCTGGTGCTTTTCTCCCTGGAGATGTTATTGCTTTGTCTGGAATGTTTCACAGTAAGGCATTAAACCTTTATCTTCATGGAGACCAAACCAGACCAAGTTACAGGTCAGATCTGTGGAGAGACGACCCCACTCACAGTCAGAATGCCTGTTTTTCGAGGTATTTTGCGCTATAAAACAGTCTACTATTTAATAAATGTAAGGTAGAGCTGTTTAAAATCATACTGTGGAACATTCCAGGCAGAACAATGACATATCCGTAGAAACAAGCAGGTGTCTGACCCTTGACCAAATCATTACACCTTTCACATGCACTTTCTCAAGCAAAAAAGTAAAACAAAAAACTCTTTTATGACCAGTGAGAGTGAGACTTCGGAAAAAACTATAGCGAGCATCAAGGCTTACGATACTTAAATTTTAAACTCAATTCGATACTAAGGAATAGACTTGATATTCGATCCCAGTTTGATAATTTAATGATAATTTAAAACACTTTCTTTAGACAACAGAATGTAATTTCTAACATGAAATCAAAGTACTTTCCCTTAAATTACTATGTAATCTTATATAGTTGTAATCCCTCAGTGGATGATATATTGCGATTTATCAATAATTACTTTTAATAATATAATCAACTACACCTTCACGAGAACAAAATTGTAAGAAATATAAGTTAGTTTATTTTCTACATCATGAGAACAGTGAATGTAACTAATGAATTTTTGAGAAATGTATTAATTAACTGCTCAAAACCCATCTATTATAAACGCTTTTAATGTCTCACCTGCTTTTATTATCAGACCTATATTTTTATATTTTCTGTGTTGTGCTCTTAGTTGTATTCTTTGTACAGCATCTCTGTGAGAGTGAGACTTTGGAAAAAACTGTCCTAAGCATCGAGATACTAAAATACTAAAACACGATACTAAAATTTCAAACTCGATTCGATACTAAAGAATACACTTGATACCAACTTGATACCACAATGATCATTTAAAACTCTTTCTTTAGACAACAGTGTCATTTCTAACATAAATCAAAGTACTCTCCCTTAAATTACTATATATTCTTATATATTTCTAATCCCTCAATCTTCCAGGTATGTTCCATAGTGGTTCATATTGTAGGTGAACTAGTCTATGTGGTATAGCAAAAGGAAAATGCGGTTTTATACTTGTTTTGAAACAGCTATTCAGAAAAGCTATTCACAAAAGTTTAATTCTAATACCTGCTCAAATCAGTATTTAGTTTGGATACTTGTATTAGTATCTATTAGTATCAGGTTTTCAATACCTACCTGTTACCCTGTCACTACTATTTCTTGCCAGCTAGCATTCAACACAGAGGGGTTTTTATCTATTCAGTGTTATATAAAAAATAATAAATGAAAGCACTTACATCATCCACCATTAGGGTTGCTATAGCCCGACCAATCTCATTATAAGACTTGGCCTTTCCTTGAGGTCCCAAAAGGATGAACAGGAACCTAGAGAAAGAAAGAAAATAAACTTTGTGACCTCTTGATAAAGCATATGTTTTGTAAAATGATGTTATAGTCTGAGTTCATTCACCTGGTGGGCACTGGAACCTCCGTTAGTCCCCCCAGTGTAGTCGCTTGGGCCAAACGGACAAAAGCCACGAAAGGGTTTGGTGAGGAAATCCACTTCTCCCACTAAAACATTTGAGGCCTCTGCGTCTCTGGGGATCTTCTTCATGAACTTGTTTTTCAGCTGCAAATAAACAAAGGAGCAGAGTGGTTGAATAGTGTGGTGCTACATTAGGCAAAATTAACTCCTGTGAGCTTTAAGACATGTTATAATGCTGTTACCTCCTCAAAAACATACCTGGAGTTGAATTTTCATTCACACATGTTTGAGTAACCCTGGATTTTTTGTCTATTTACATCTGCAAAGCGCAAAATGCTCTGTTGCACCTTGTGATGTCATGTAGTGATAGTTTTCATCTCAACTAATGAGCATAAGACATATAATTTAATCATGGATATAAATTACAACATAGCTGGTTAGCTTTTGTCATGCCATTTAACTCTTGATATTTTCATAATTTTGAACAGTAAATGTACTTTCAAAGCCTGACAGGCTTCAAAGTGGGCGAGACTATTGCTGGTTTTCAGATGACATCACAGAGTTCTATAGGCTAATAATATTTAATACAGGTGGGGTTTGGGGTGGGAGAGCTAAAATTTACATTATTAAAATGCAGATTTCTGTTGTAATACAGTGCGTTTTAGAGTCTAGTCACTGATAAAAATAATCAACTTCAACATTTGTAATTAACATTGTGGATATTTCATAGGAAAGTGCAATGTAATCAATGGGAAAATCAGTCTCTTGCCGCCATCGGAAAGCATGACAGCAACACATTCTAGAAATTGAAAACCACTGACTGAGCTCCATAGTGTAGTCATTAAACTAGAGTGTAAAATGTTAATGTCCATCTTGAACATATGCAGTGTTTTGATGATTAGGACCATGGACAGTTCCCCATGAAAATGCTTTTTACAATGGTCAGTTACTTTGAAGACAAAAATGGGGATCTCCTCTAAATTAAACAGCTCAACAATTACAGTAGCACTCTTCCACATTATTTTATTGTATTTTCTGTGTCTTTAAAATAACATACACACAATACAAATAGTAAAATACAGTAAAAATATAAAACTAGATCATGTAAAAGGCATACATGAAGTAAATTTATTACAAATAATATCAACTTTGACTAAATATACTGTAAATACAAAATATACAGATTCTATTATGACCAGAACTAACATAAGCATAATGTACTTAATAGCAGTGGTGGATGAAGTACTCAATTCTATTACTTAAGTAAAAGTACAGATACAAATGTAAAAAGTTACTCAAGTGAAGTAAAAGTATAACATGAAAATCTTAATTCATAAGGAGCAGAAGTACAAGTACTGAAGTACATACTTTATATACTTTAATAGTATAAAGTAAAAGTATTTTGTAGAGATTTTTAGAACTATTTAAGTATGAAATGTATTAATTTTTGAAAAAGAATTTAACAGATTTAAATGATTCAACTGATTTCTTAATTTTTCTAGCCACTTTTGTATATTTCATTTGCTCAATGTTGGGATGTTAACTCAAACTGAATGTGTCTCTACCATTTCAGTAGGTCTCAAACCATAAAGAAAAGTACTTTTTAACCATCTCACCACTGCTTAATAGCAACCAAAACTTTTCTCATCTCGGGTCGGGAAGTTCATGATTATGTAGAACGTGGCCTTTCAGCAGCTGTAATTGTATGTCTGCCATTTTGAATCCCATTTGAATCATTACTCACAGGATTACCCTCTAATTACACATCACAATGCAGAATGTTGGATTTATTGTGCGGATAAAGGAGGGGTGTCATGCTTAAACCACCTTTGTAATGATCACGCAAAGGTGAGGCAGGAAACTAGACAATAACATCATCATAATAAAAAAAATAAACACTGGCTATAGCACATTTCCCATTGGCCCATCCCTGATCTGTTCCTCTGCATGTGAGGCGCAGTACACGAGGCCTGTTCTAAATGAGACCCATGTTTGCCCCGTGCCAATTCAATATTGACACAAACAAATACTGTGGGCGCATACCGCTTATCCGCTGATACATGTGACCTACAGTAAACTGTAAACCAGCTTCACCAAAGCTAGGAAAAAAGTCCTCAGCCTCAAATCACATAAAAACAATCAAGCAAGTGAAATATTATTTTTCTGTTGCCAAAATGTGTGGTATTTAAAAGGCACACTATGTAACTGTTCTGGTGGAGGAGATCCTACCTGCTTACAAAAGCATCAAAAACATAGCAATAAATGAGCAAGTCTGCTAGAAGTTTAATGAACAGCATAATTTGGAAAACTCCAAAATAGGATCACAGCTTCTACTTAGCCACCAGTCTGTTCTGTATTGACTCCCTGTGGGCTGTCTATATTCGATTAAACTGGATCATGTGACTGAGTCCAACACAAACTGGATGAAAGTTTCTATACTGCACTAAGTACAAAGTAAATACACTGAGACTGAGAGGAAGCCAGAGAGCCAAATCACATCTAAATCGAGATTTGCACCAACATGCATGTTTCTCATATTGGGACAGATGTCACATTAAAAATTAATATCTACAAAGGGACACATTGTTGTCTTGTACTTAAAAATTATACTTTTATTTTCATGGTTATCATAATAGGAGGATTTGTTGATGGCTACATTTATGGTACTCCAGTTTATGGTGTGTTTAATAAAAAACAGGCCAATTTTTTATTATTATTAAGCATATAAAAAGTTGAATTCATTATTTTTTTCTGTATTATCGACTTAAATAATAAAAAGAGATACAAACTTGCACCATTAAAACTTTTGAAATGAATCTGAAACAAAATGAAGCAAGAAATGTGAAACCCCTTATCATTCTGCTGATCTTCCCACAATGCCTGACTAAAATGACCCCTAATTAGAACTCAAGTTGTTTCTGATCCTTCAGAGAGAAATGTCTGGGCTCTTTGTGAAGTAGTCTGTAGTTTGGGCCTCTGTCTGATCTACTCTAATTGTAAATTATGGCAAGCTACCCACAGAGGAAAATAAGATTTCAAATACTGTCATTTTTTATTTTTTAAATTTAATTATTGATTGATTTGTTAATGTAAGGTAAGCTCTAAATATGTGCAATTTTCTATTTTTTTCCAGATAAAGAATGATGTATATTATGTCAAATTCATAGTCATTTCATTCTTCCCACTCCTTTTTGGACATGCAAACTTACAGCTCTGTGGCTTTTATATGTTTATCTATCAATTTGTTTGAGACTCGCGACTGTTCTGTTTTATAATTTGTATGTTTAAAATAAATTAATTCATTCGGCTGAAAAGTTTCAGATTGACGACTGTAAACGTAAGGTTTTTCCTACGTATTCACCTGCAGTGGCTCCAAGTATATGTACTGAATTGAATAAAACTCCCTGGATGCTGTGTCGTCTCGGCCAACTATATAAATTCCACCAAGGAGCCTGCTGGTAGCTGCATGTGTCAGTGAGATTAAGGCCTGTTTATTACAATGCATTTCCAGTTGAGTGAGTTATGCATGTGCACAGTTCTGGCTCAGCTCTCACCTCCTCCAGCGAGTACAATGAAAGATGGATGGCACTTAGAGACAGGCACTCAAACACAAAACCTCAAATCAAACAAGCAGCATCACAACATGACAAGAGGTAATCCACACAGTAATGGGAAAAACAATGCACAGGGGCTCTCACGACAGGCCCCGTTACATATAGGAAGTGAACTGCAAAAACTAAAATCTCAACAAGATTACTTGAATTAAGAACATTTTAGCAAGATTTGAGTAAATTACACTTGAGAAGTAAAATTATGACTTAAGACTTTTTGTAGTTAAAATATGAAAATACATCAGCTACACTTAAAACAAGATAAATAACAACGATAAACAACAACTTTTTTGGCACTACAACAAAATCGACTGTTGCTTGAATGAAAAAAGACACACTTATTCCACCGGCAGACAATTTTACTTGTCCAGTTGAATCTACTCAAATAAACGAAAATGTTCTTAATTTAGGTACTTTTAATGTAGCTAGAGATTGTTTTTTGCCATGTAATAAAGATTTATTGAAAATCTTGCACTTGAAACATGTAAAATACTATCTGTATACTGTAAACAATAAGTGTGCAACACTATAAATCACATCAGTAAAATGTTACTAACCAAGGAGGACAATTTCCCATTTAGATTAGTTGTTATCTGAATTTATATTTGGATCTAGATCTAGACAAGGAACATTTTATCATTTATTAATATTTGTAAATAGATCCATGATGTCTCCATCACACCAAAAATCTGTACATTAAAGTGGCATTGTGTCACTTTTCTGGTGGATGGTCCGTCCGTTTGTTTCTGATATATGACCACTCTGCCTGGAAAGTTCTGCAGTATATTAATCAGCTCTACCTTACATTTATTCAATTATAGATGGTTTTATTGCTCAAAAATACCTTAAAAACCAATGGGGGTTGCCTCTCCATAGATCTGGCCTGTAACGTGGTCTGGTTTGGTCTCCGTGAAGAAAGAATGGTTTAATACCATATACCATACTGTGAAACAGTCCAGACAAAGCTATAACATTTCCATGGAGAAAAGCATTGTATGGACCCTTCACAAAAGTTACACAATGCACCTTTAAAATCCTATATTCTTCTTATGTGCCTATAGAGCATTGTGATCTAATCTAAAACCCAACCACATGCTTGTTTTGTTGATGTTTACCTGATCTGTGCTTGGCGTATCTGAAATGTCATTCATGCTGCGACTCTGGGCATGCCCTGGAAACATAAAAAGGTCACTGTATTACGTCGGTTACTGACAATTACATTCTTTAATATTGTGGGTATTAAAGTGAGCATGACAGGTTTTTATGTCAAATTTGTACTTATAAATTTGGTGGGATAATAACTGTTGTAAATATAAATTATAAATTAAGAAAAAAATTGCAAAGAAACGTTGAAAAATATGCTGAAAATGACAGGAAGTAGAGAGTCCCACACTGATAACATCAAAGTAGGGAGAATTCACAGTTTACAAAGAAGAAACTATTTTTTTTTATACTTTAAACATTATTTCAACAAAATAATGGTGTTTTCTTATATTTTGTCTTATATTTTATATAATATTCTGTCAGTGTACTTTGTGGTTGTTAGGTAACAGTTATGGCATTCCTTAGCGTGATGTCACCATATCCAAACAGAAAGTAACGTTTTAAACCTAGAAAAATGTCCAAACTGGGGGGAAAAAATTACTTTTTTTTAGTAAATTCTTCAGTGTAATGATGTTAATTGTGTTCCAGCAGAATGAGTAGCCTAACCTGTCATGGGCACTTTAATCTGTGCTACATTTCACTACTGATATGTTAGTAATGCACCAGTCTGCTTCAGGGATATTAACTGTATGTGTTTACAGTTCAAGATGAGGACATATAATCAGTGAAATACAATGAATTATTATTATTTTGTCACTGTTAAAGGTGCACTGTGTAACTTTTTGTTTGGAGGTCCATCACCTGCTTGTTTCTATGGATCAAAGCTTTGCCTGGAATGTTCCACAGAGTTGAACAATGTTAAACAACTCTACTTTACATTTATTAAATTACATGTGGGTTTTATATATAAAACCACCTAGAAAAACAGGTATTATGACTGTGAGCGGAGTCGCCTCTCCACAGATCTGACCTGTGACCTCTTCATGACGATAGAAAGTTTAATGCCATACTGTGAAACATTCCAGACTAAGCAATAACATCCCTACGGAGAAAAGCATTTGACGGACCTACCATCAGGAAAGTTACACAATGCAACAATATTGTGAGCACTTTAATAATTACCCTGTAGTTGTAGGCCTGGAACTTCAAAAGATGATGGCAGTTGAAGTTAAAAGTGCACATGATTTTTATGATTGACTGAATTTAATGAGATTAAAACAATTGTAAATATAAATGATAGTTTTACACCAATCAAGAAGCAATTTGCGAAGAAAAGTTGAAAAATGTGTTGAAAATTATAGGACATAAACGCACTGATGACATCATGCTCTAAACGCACTGATGACATCACGTTTTGAATTTGAATTTGTGCATCTGAAATGGACAATTTACATAAAAAAAAAAGTTGTTTTTTTTCTAATATTTAAAAGAAAATTCAACAAAACAAATGTGTTTTCTTATATTTTTGTCAGATATTAATTTCTGTGTACATTTGAGGTGTTTTGCTTAGCTAACAGTTATGGAATTCCCTAGTCCTGATTTCCAACCAGGAAGTCAAATTTTAACCTAAAAAAATGACCAAATTGGGAAAGCAAGTGTGAATGTTTTAGTAAAAGTCTTAAATATAATGATCATAGCTATATTTTAGTAAACTGAGTAGTCTAACTGGAATAGGCACTTTAAACAATGTCTGATCCTGGGAAGTATGAAGTAGAAAAAACTGAGTGAAAATGCTTCAGCTTTTTGTATGAGTTAGTTTGTGCTTGTCCTTGTGGAAATTTACCACTGTCTATGGAGCGAGAAATCATTTAAACATTGTATATGAACTATGTGCAGAACATGGTGTTCAGCCACAATGTGTGAATAGTCCCGTCCTTGGTGAGGATAACATAACATTGCATATTTCTGTAAAAATGACTGGAGAAAGATTTCATCGGGGTTGTGTCAGGGTGAGATTCCACGGTCCACACATGTAACCTTATGTACTAACATTTCAATATAACTGAATTCAAACACTTCTGTTGAGTCTTTCTTATTCTTGTTCCATAGAGCAATAAACACCACTGCAAAAACAAAACTAAATAGTCAATTAAATGAGTCAATTTCACTTGGCAAGTAAAATTATCTGCCAATGGAACAAGACGTTTTGTAGTTAAAATATGAAAATACTTCTTGCTCCTCTTAATAAGAAAAATAACAACTTTTTGCACTTAAAATAAGAAACAAAATCTAATGTTCAAGAATGAAGAAAAATTGGTTATTAAATTATTTCATTGGTAGATAATTTCAATTGTCAAGTTGAATCTACTCAAATAAAGGAAAATGTTCTTAATTTAAGTCATTTTAACTTGCCTAGATATGACTTTTTTCAGTGTAAAATGGATGGCACACATTTTTTTTCTACTCCTAAGTAAGTATCCTTCTATAGTCCTGTACCACTTTTCAGCACCAGCATTTCATTTTATCATTATTATTTTTAATTCTTAGTGTATTTAAATTATCATATAATTATAGCATTGATAACATGTTGTTATGAAGCACTGTTGAAATGCTGACTGGCTGTGTCATCACTCACGCAGTCGGCCGTAGTTGGCTGGCTGCTGCTTTGTCCGGAGGTCTTCAGTGGATCTGTTGAAGCTGGGGGCGGGGCCAGGTCCTGCTCCCGCCCCCCCTGCACCCCTGGGTCCCACTGGCCGACCTATTTTATTGATTTATTGTTTATTTGAATAGGGAGAAATAAACAAATATCGATTAACAGTTCAGTAATCTGATGCAGGTATCATAGAGTTTATAGTTGAGGCTAATTCACAACACCAGTCCACAGAAGGGCTTTTACCAACAAAAACAATCTCACAGGGCAAAGGTCAAAGGTCAGGCGTTATAATGCATCTGTAAGATGTGCCTGGGGGAATGTTATAGAGGTAATAAACTCATCAAACATTAATAGGACTGTAGGGTATGAAACTCCAGGAGGTATTTATTTATTTACCAACCAAACGTATGCATAATATGACTCCCACTGATTATACAGTATTATCAGGGTGCTTTTTAAACAGACATCAGCAATGTGTGATATCATTTCAAGGTATCAAAGACCAAATTTAAGCACAAAACAAAAATAATAACATATAAAAATGTTAAATACGATAGAATTTCTCAAGTTATTTTTATTATTATTTGTTTAATGATACTGACCACATTATATACAATTTGTTATGATGAAATATGATGAAAACATGTTTGGGTTGAATTAATTTAACTCTTAGAAGTGGAGAAATTGTTCACATTTATTCATTAAACCTTAAAATGTTGGAAAGGTTTAGTGTGCTGCTCTTTCATAAGCCACTTAAATTTTAAATTGAGGAAATTCACATTAAGAATTGGCACAATATGAATTCATATATTATTCACATGCAATAGTTGAGGGAAAGATCAGAAAAAGCAAAAGATATGGTTTAACTGAGGATAAGGATAAATTAAGTATTAAGAATTTTGAGTTACATCCCTTAAAGGTGCATTGTATAACTTTTCGGGTGGAGGGTCAGTCAAATGCTTTTCTCCATAAAAATGTTATTGCTTTGTCTGTAATGTTCCACAGTATGGTATTTTCTATCTTCATGGAGACCAAACCAGACCAAGTTACAGGTCAAATCTGTGGAGAGGCGAACCCGCTCATAGTCAGAATGCCTGTTTTTCTAGGTATTTTTGAGCTATAAAACCACCAAAAATGTAATAAATGTGAGTTAGCGCTGTTTAAAGTCAGACTGTGGAACATTCGAGGTAGAGCAATGACATATCCATAGAAACCTACCAAACTACCAAAAAGTTACACAGTCCACCTTTAAATGTACAGTATAGTGGTAACAGTAGTAGCTGTAGCAGTCGTAGTAGCAGTCCAGTAGTTAATATAGTGAAAGGTTACAGGCAGCAGTGGCAATAAAACCTTATGTATTATTCAGAGTAGGTCATCTGGGGGAGGCACTCACTTCCATTGGACGAGCCAGATTTGCCGATGTCGACCAGAGAGCGGTGGATGGGCTTCTTGGTTTGGTGACGATGTTTCCGCAGCAAAACAAAACTGATTTTGTCCCGTAAATCTGGAGTGATCATGCCCTCCACGATCTGTCTCTCAATGATGTCATCTGGAAACAGAAGAAATATATATCTTTAAAAAATTATGCAAGGGTTTGAGGATTAAAATGAATGGCCCTGTCACACCCTGACGATTTAGCCACCAGAATTTCCCTACAACGCTAGTACATGCTGAACTATCAATGTTTCTTTTTAATTTTTGGCATATATAGCGTGTTTGTAAAAAATTGGATGTATACATAACATATTAGTACCTTATATAGAACGTTTGATTACTTCAAATCAAACGTAAAAAGTCTACCGCTCGATGATTCATAATTGCACTAGACATTACAGTAGCCACATTAATCAGCGTCATGCCAAAGATAACTCAGAAGATCACTGCCAAAAAGTCTCCTGGTCATGGCCATGGGTGTGGACCCTCTCGTGGAGATGATGCAGGTTCCAACGCCTAACGGGCATCGTCAGTGGCATCAGTACCTGCGTCTGACGGTGTCCTCATTTTTATATACCAATTTCCCTACACGGTAGCTATAAGTTAGAAACACGTTCAGTAAGTTCTATGGTCGTCGGAACATGTCAAATATGTCTGCATACCTCAAAGTTCGATATAAGTTACACATAGGTTCAAAGCACGTTACTCATAAGTCATGGGTATGCTAGACATTATCTCAACGTATTTGGACTTATGAGTAACTTACAATTAATGTGTGTGAACGTGTTTTAATGTACCTACAACTTATGGCCTATGTATGCAGGACATATAAGCATACGTTGACATACATTGAAAAATTTTCAGCATGCTTAAAATTTTTCGACGACATTGCCGTATGTTGGCGTATGCCAGTGTGCTTCAGTGTGCTCATAACTTATACAAAACTTACCTATAACTTTTCTGTCACACGTCGGCATACGCTGGCTAAATAGTCAATGTGTGACAGCCCCTTAAAGGTGCACGATTTAACTTTTTGGTTGTAGGTCCATCACCTGCTTGTTTCTGTGGATCTGTCATTGTTGTGCCTGGAATGTTCCACAGTATGACATTAAACAGCTCTACCTTATATTTATTCAATTACAGGTGGTTTTATAGCTCAAAAATACCTAGCAAAACAGGAATTCTGACTGTGAGCGGGGTTGCCACTCCACAGATCTGACCTGTAACTCGGTCTGGTTTGGTCTCCATGAAGATAGAAAATACCATACTGTGGAACATTCCAGACAAAGCAATAACATTTCCATGGACAAAAGCACTTGCCGGACCCCCACATCAGAAGAGTTTTATTTTAGTTATACACCTTTAAGCTATAACACATGTGATTGCTATTGATAACTTGATTGATCGATGACCTTTGACTAATGCAAGTCCACTTTCCGTCACTATTGCTAAGCATAGGGTGTTAATGACGCAACGTTCAACAACACAAACACTAAAAAGCATTACTGATGCAGCCATATTTCCACAGTGACACAAAACGAGCACTACATTGTTCAAAACCATGCTGTCATTTGTTTTCGAGTCCCCAGATTCAAACACTTAATTGAACTCTTCACTGATTAAGGAAGTGCAGCTAATTGGGACACAATAGATAAATAAAACTGTAATTCGCAATCTGCAGGTGTGTTAACTGGAGTGTGGATACTCTTCAAAATGGCTTCTAAAATATCAGCACCGGTCGGAAGTCCAGGTTTTTATTTATTTATTTAGGTCTTATCTAGAATAGAGACATTCAAGTGGAAAATTAAGGGAATTGCTTCAGTGGCAACAGGGGGCTAGGTCTGGATGGTCAATGGTTATTTTGATTTTTTTAATCTTGGAAAACCTGCATAACACTGCATCATACGCATCGGTATTTCAGATGTCTTCTTTGCTATTTCATTGCTAAATGTAAAGGTGCATTGTGTAACTTTTCTGCTGGAGGATTCATTAAATGCTTTTAGATATTATTGCTTTGTCTGGACTGTTTCACTGTATGGCATTAAACCTTTCTATCTTCATGGAAACCAAACCACACCAAGCCACAGGCCAGATCTGACCCCACTCACAGTCAAAATGCTTGATTTTTTTTGTTTAGTATTTTAGTTATTTTTGAGCTATAAAACCACCTGTAAGTTACTAAATGTAAGGCAGAGCAGTTAAAGGTGCGCTGAAATATCACCATAGAAACAAGCAGGAGATGCCACCAGACTAAGGTCCTGGTCAGATCTGTGTAGAGGTAGAGGATGGCCCACTGACTGTAGGTGCGCATGTTCTTAGAGTAATAAAAACACCCATAATTGAATGAATGGAAAATGGATAATGTGTCATACTTTGGAACATTTCAGGCAGAACAATGACAAGCAGATAACGGACCCTCCATCTGAAAAGTTACACAATGCATCACTAAATAAAGCAGGGTCTCTCACCAATTATCTGCGGTAATGAATATCCGTCCAGGTCGAGTAAGATAGTTCCGGTTTGAAGACATGTCCTGAGCTCAAACAGACTGTGTAGAGACAGTGTGGACACATGTGGTTTACTCCATCGCTCTCCTCCCTCCTCCACCTTCTCCTCGAACTTCACCCATCTGAAAGAAAGCACACACACAAATATGTGTGAATTTACACTATTGCACTATTCAAAGGTGCACTGTGTAACTTTTCTGGTGGAGGGTCTGGCATCTCCTTGTCTACATCAAAATGTTTCATATTATGGCATTAAGCTTATCTGTCTCCATAAAGACAATTATGTCACCTGGTCATGTTACAGGTCAGATCTGTGGAGAGGTGAGCCTACTCAGTACAAATGCATATGTTTCAAAGTATTTCTGAGCAATAAAAAACACCTATAAATGAATCAGTACAACATATAAATTATGTTAATGCCATACTGTGGAACATTACAAGCAAAGCTATTAAATCTCAATTAGACAAATAAATGGCTAACCCGTTACCAGAAAAGTTACACAATGCATTAGACAGGTGTTTTGTTTCATTCGCTCATTCACATTTGGTGGATATCCAAGTTTTCACCTTTTTCAATATATAAAGTATTCTTTTTAGTCTTGTCTCTAGTTCACTTGTTTTCTTTACATCCACATTATATTACTTTTACCATAACATTATTTTAATTTATACAAAATAACACTAAATTGGCTAATCCAAATAGCTCAGACAAAGCACATACTGAAAGACTAGGGGACGCATACTGAGCAGGTGGTCAAGGGGTTCACAGAATGACAGTGTGTGAGTGACAGTACTACACAATAACAGTACAATATGAGCTCATGTGTGTGTTTTTGTGTGCCATGGCTTTGTTTGTCAGTCAAAACCTCCTCATAGGAATCTACTGTGTCTTTGTTTATAGCTGTTTGAAAGGTAGGTTTTAGCCCTAACTGATGACACTGTCAACTTTCACTCCAGGGATATGGATCTAAAAGTAATTATCTTTTGTCATGTCTACAGATGCGTCTTCCCTCGAGTGCGTCTGGCCTTTCACTAAACTGAATGTTCTCAGCTCCATGTGAAAAATGACAGAATACAAACTGCTGAATTATGTGGTGAAAAAACATTTGGGATGAATACTTTTTTTTTTTTTTTTTTTTTTTACTTTTAAAGATTCCTTTATAAAAACAACCAGAGGGGTAAACAGACTTTCTTGAAAGTTGTTTTTTATGTAGTTTATTATTTTTAAAGTATTTTATTGAAAATTGGGACAAACTAAATTGTAAAGTCAATATCTTATAAAGTATACTCATTTTGAAATTATATTTGACCAGAGCTATTTCAAACCTCTAGGTTAGTTTAAATGACCCTGATAAAAATACTTGCATTGTGTAACTTTTCTGGTTGAGGGTCTGTCTTTGCTTTTCTCCATGGCGCTGTTATTGCTATGTCTGGAGTGTTTCACAATATGACATTAAATGTTTCTAGCTTCATGGAGACCAAACTGGGCCAAGTTACTGGTCAGATCTGTGGAGAGGCAACCCTGCTCACAGTCAGAATGCCTGTTTTTCAAGTTTTTTTTGAGCTATAAAACCAACTATAGTTTAATACATGTAAAGTAGAGCAGTTTAATATCATACTGTGGAACATTCCACAATGAGTGGAGTGTGCAATATTTTAGTGTCTGGCCCCCTGTGACCCTAGCCCTTGGGACAACGGATGGAAATTAGCCTTAGGCTACAATCCGGTGTGTTTACATTCATGTTGTCATGTTTGTTCATTAACATGCTCTGTCCCAATCAAATAAATAAATAAATAAATAAATTCCAGACAGAGTAGTGACATATCCATAGAAACAAGCAGGTGACAGACTCCCAACCAAAAATTTACATAGTGGCCCTTAGAGCACTAGTTGTCAAATACACCCATGCCTGATCCACAATAAGGATTCAAAAGATGTATACTGCTACATAATTGTGTATAGGTTCCTATAATGAGTGTTTTAAGAGTGTTGTGTGGAGTGCGTCATGGCCTTCACCTGGCAGACTCCTTCCACTCCAGCTCGTCTCCCTCTCGCTGTAGAGTGTCCATTTCAGTGAAGAGTGTTGGTGTGGGGAAGTCATCGTCCTCACTCAGAATATATCGCAGCCTCTCTGCAGCTGGAGACACCGCTACAAGGGTAAAGCACAATTAGATTTAGACTTAGACAGAACTTTATTGATATAACTAATAAAAGCTATCTCCAAGAGATCGTAAGGAAAACAGTGCAAAAATGATATGATGATTTACAGAACATGGGGTTATCTGTTATCATAAGGGTGAGTTGTTGTAAATCTGTATGGAGTGGCGCTGTAGGAGCCTGTTTGAGAATGAGCTCAGTGGGTGAGCAAGAGTGTCCATGATGGAGAGCAGTTTGTCCAGTGTCCTCCTGTCCCTCACGTTGACAAATATCTCCAGCTAACAGCTGATCATGTGACTGGCTTTACCAACCAGTTTGTTAATCTGCCCAGTGCCCCTTTTTACCGGTGTTCACTGTTAATGAGATTCTGATAAGGATGGACTGAGAGTATTGGCGCTCAGTGAGAAGGGTTTGATTCTTGGAAAAGTTAAGTACTCCAGTTTGCTTACATAATGTAAATGCAGGCTAGACAATTAGTGATTCACATATATACTCACAGTGGCGCAAGACTAATCCTTCACTGATGCATGCAGTTCTGTTGTACAATGTGTCAAAACTAATCTACATCAGAAATAAAATGGGCTCTAACCCGGATCAAACCAGGACAAGTGTGAAGGCTCCCTCAATATCAGTTAAAGGGTCCGTACAACACTATTTTCTGATCTGTTATGTAGTTTCCTCATCACAAACATCCCTGGAGTTTTGATTTGTTTCATTCACACATGTTTAAGACACAAACATGCATATTTAGGCTGAGTTCTTCTCTCAAACAGAAAACACCTTGTGATGCCATGTGGTAATACATAAAGTGCTGTAGTGTGTTTGTAAACTCCATACTATAATCACTAGAATCATTTGGATAATTTCAGCCCTGGACAAGCCAATCTCTACTGAATGAAAGGTAAAAGTTGTTAACCTGAAAACTACTGGTGACATCACAAGGTGGAACAGAAAAGAATGTAGACAGACTAATAATACATTCTAACATTCACGAATGAAACAAAATACAACTGTGAACAAGAGCTATTAGCTCACAGGTGTCAGTTTTACATAATATAGGACCTTTAAGATTTAGTCTTAGTCTTCATTTACACTTTTGTGAAGTCCTGATGGCTGTTCCCCAAAAACAGCTAACTCCATAAATTTGCATGTCTGTTTTTTGTCATTTTGTCATTTAAAAATGTCACTTGTGTTGGGTCCTCCCACTTGCTTGTCTCCATGGAGATGTTATTGCCTTTCCTGGAATGTTCCACAGTTACTGAACGTATCTTCTTCTTTTAATGTAAAAGACTTTGGGGAATACTTTATCTGAACAGTCACTAAACTTTCTGAAATACTCCCAGGATCTAACAGGGATCTTAAACCACATAAAATAAATGACAAGTTTATGCATCATTTATGCATCAAAAATGCACCCGTTCTATGTATATATCTGTTGATTATTTTTTCATATCTTATTACTGCATTCCACAGTCATTAGTGGCCTGCATAAATACATAGGCTACAGGATGTGAGCCTTTTATACGGTGGAAAGTCAAACTAATTCAGAAAATCTATAAACTTGCACATTCATCTGTAAAAAGGGAAGTGATTTTCAATGTAAATGTGTCCCTGGCATTTAGCTGTTTTGTTTTCACAGGAATTTATTGAATAGGTGAATGGCTGAATGGGTGAATGGATGAATGGGTAGGCATTTTTAAATTTTTTTTTTAATTAACAAAAATATTCAGGTAAATACGTATATACTGTAACTTGTTTTGGTTTGGTCTCCATGAAGATAGAAAGGTTTAATGCCATACTGTGAACCTTTCCATACGAACCAACAACATGTCTGTGGAAAAAGCCTTTGTCGGACCCTCCACCAGAAAAGTGACACAATGCATAATGCTTTAATAAAACCTAACAATTGCAGCAACTGTTTGTGTTGTAGCCAATAAATTACAGGAAAAACATAAAACATATACTGGACCTGAAAAGCATGAAAGGTGTTATTACATAGCTTTTTCACAGCCTTATGTTTATAATAAAGACACATATGAACTCAGATTTGAAAAGTGGAAAATTAAAAGTCCAACCTGAGGCCAACTGCGTGAATGGTTATAAAATAATCAGTACTTATCTCATCTTATCTTGCTCATTGAATAGCATATTAATGTAAACACCTGAGGGCAGCCATCACTTTAAACATAAAAATATTCACCACGGCTCCACATGATTGGCAGTGAGAATTTTCGTGTTATGAAGTGTCAGACTTTACATGAGTACTCAACTCACCTTATGCTGTGGGCACCCTCATCATCATTCAGGCTTTATTATTTTGTATGGGGCTGCTGATCTTAACAGAAAATAAGTTCAATATGGACTACAAAGCCGCTTTAAAGCCCCTTTGAGAATCAATGCAGTGTTGACGTGTTGGTGCACACAAACACTGAACATTTTACATAAGCCAACTTAAAGCCATATTTTAGCTGCAAAACTTTTACCAATGATAAGATAAGATAATCCTTTATTGTCTCCCATGGGAGAAATTTGTTTTGGGACGAGGGATCACATACTTGCAAGAGAATACAGCAAAATAAACTATACAAACAACCACGAGTGATGCACCAGCAGAACAGTCTTATATTCTATTTATAATTGCACATTCACTAGGCATATGTGCAATGGTATGAAATGTACGGGATTCCAACTTAAGCAAAAGTGCTACCAAAAAGAAATTGAGCTTTAAACTTTAGACGTATTTACGGCAAAGTGGGCGGGGTGGTCAATAAGGAATCCTGATAGAACTTAAAAATTTGAAAGGAAATGGGTGGGATTAGTTCCCTTTTAAATGTGAGCATGTAACTTAGGTTTAAAAATAAACATAAATTAATATAACAATACAGACTATTAATAAGTGTCATTTACATTTGTTCCTGCATTTGAGCAAAGTAGATATATTGTATAAGTAGCTCTTATATATATAATTTTATTTATAGATTTTCATAAATAATAATACAACACTTTGAAATGAGAAAGACACACGATGACTGCTTGACCTGAGAGCTACGAACTTCCTCTGTGCGTATAAGAGGCAACCTAAGCATGTCACAATTAGATGTGACTGAATCTCAATCTTGATTCAAATAACATCACACAACCTCCCCTAACTATAAGTATATTCATTTGTATTCATTGCTGCATTTCCAGTCAAAATAAACAAGTTCTCTCTGCACAAAGGCCAGTTGTCATCCATACTTTCAGAGAAAAACTTCAGTAAAAAAAGGGAGAAACTTGCAAGTTGCAACATAACAAAATCTGACACTTTATTATTGTTTGGGGATTTGGCACATAGGTTGCTCGTGCACCTGACTCCCAGAAACATGTCGGCTTTGAGCTCCCATCTGTACATCAATATCTCACGTGGCACAAGTTTTCTCTAGTTTTCTCCACTGTCTAAGCATGTCATTTTATTTTCCACCTTCAAGGCACTCAGTGTTTTTACATCAAAGAACCACTCATCCGTTCACACACACATTCATACACCAGTGTACGCAGACAATGATATTTATGTCAAGAGCGAGATTCGATTCTGTATATGTGTAAATTTGAAGTTGGCTTTTTTCTTTTTCCTGTTCCTACACTCATCTCCTGTATGTCATTACACACTGCTTCCTAACTCTAAACCAATCAAGCCAGTCATATACGCGCTCTCTCCACTTTAAGCATCATCCATTTTCACCGTAGCAGAACTATAAACCCCCTCAACTCCCCCATCTCCTTTTTTCTCAACTACCACTGTGTAGGACTCGTGGAGACTATTTTTACCAAACACATTCACTATTCTCTCCTTTCATTGCAAGCTTTATTGTACCTCAGTCAGTTGTTTCATGCAGGTTAAGTGTCTGCTGTTGCAATTCACAGATAATAACTTCAGGGAGATTTCTTGATTCGTATAACCACTTCTCACACAGAAAATATTATGATCTTTTTTAACCTGCAATGTCCCACTGAGATAAACACTGTCTTGTACAAGTCCGGGCCCCAAAAGTGGAAGAAACCAAAAAGACTGGTAGAACAACTATGCCAGACTTTGCCTTTCTAAATTATACATTTAATTTATACTCATTTATCTGCTAATTTCCTCCCACCTGTATGGAGATACCATTGTTTTGCCAGAACATTGAGCCACACAATAAAACACCTGTAATTTAGTTTAATGCCACAGTGTGGAACAGTTCAGGCAAAGTAACATCTCTGTGAAGATAAATAAGCTGGTAGCGGAACTCTCAATTACAAATGACGTCTTTAAAAGAAAAATTTTATTCTGGTAAAGGAACAAATGAGTTCATTGCATTTGTATTGTTGTATTACAGAGGAGGGAGGTAGCATTTTATATCAGCTGCATATTATTACATAACACAACCAGTTAAACTGTGCTTTGGGTGCCTGGTTCAAAGATGTATGGATGTACCAGTACCCGCTGGGGGGCTTCCATACATGCAGCTAGCAAACATCACATGTCCATTGTGTTAATTACTTTACCAGGGTGTGTCTTTTAACGCTGCTGTGGGTCGAAGGTATTGATCAGCTGCATTGACAGCTGCCAACAGATTCCACTTTTTCTGAATGAATAACCTACAGCACAATCAATAATTTTTAAGCAGAAAAAAGTCCCAGCATGCAACACGTGTCAATATTGATCAATACTATTACTCAGGAAACAACTAAACATATATATTTAGTTCTAGACAGTTTCTTCTTTTTTGTTTTTACATGAAAAATGTCTGAAGCATTTATCCACATTTTCCCAAATTAAAAAAGTAATACTTTAAAAATATATATTATTATTCATCATAACCCAACATTTTCAGTTATGGTCATTTTGCTTTATTAACATTTACAGCAAAATAAATAATCTAAAACCAGTGAGAGGAAAATTACCAGCATGCAATAAATGTCAATACTGATCTACAGGATAGCCAAACAAATTCATACTGGTTTTGATCTGCATATACGATTTAAGGAAGACATATTGTGTAGGTGTCTGCTATATACGGTAGTTATAATCTCTGACGCCCGTGGATCATTATGTTATAATTTGCACATTTTACATTGCAGTATTCTTCTAAAACAACTTAATAAAAGAAACGAGTCTGCTGACTTCTCTTGAAAATTGACATTCTGATCTGCAATATGGCAACAGAAAATAAGTGATTAAAGATTGCTCAAACATGCTCAAATCACTTCAAATCATAGACTGTATAAAGAAGTGGACTAAGTGAGTGTGATGTCATCCATCACAGCGTTTGACTCAAACAAAGCTCAAGATTCTAATGGTTACAGGGGCAAATTTGGAGCCATGCTCTATATTATGAATAGGAATTGTTTTACAGGACAAAAAAGCAAAATAAAAACAGCAGGATCATAGAAAGCAGGTTAATATGAACAGTTTCAGAGCAAAAGGCTCACTCCAGCAGTTAGAGAGATAGGGGCGGTAATATTCCAATGTAAGTCAATGGGAGCCAGGGTCAGAACCGTCCTATTTGGAACCCAGTGGATAGTGCGTTAGCCATGTTGGGTCTATGCTCCAAATACAACTTCAGTAGTGTGGTGAGGGGAAACAACTATAACATGGTTAAAAGCTGTGAAAAGTTGATTTTGCATAATAGGTCTGCTTTAATGGTTTCCAATCAGTTTCTTCTATTATTATTTTTCCTTGCAAACAATCGCGATTTTGAGGGCCTAAACATCGACAAAAAGTCCCCATATTGGTATGGGACCAAAAAGATTTCATAAAATGGGCATAGTGACAATGCCCAAAGTGACTCGACTCAACAGCACCGCTTGGAATGCGCAAAAATCAAAAAGTCTCTGGGCAACCAAAAAGCATATTTTGGCATAGGCTGACAAAATTCGAATCATCCAATCTGATCATCCATCAGGAAGAATTCATTTTGGGTACTTTTCTTTATTTTCTTATTGTTTAATCTTAATTTGATCTCAAATAATAAACCACTACATAATACATAAATGTGAGATTTTGTATTTGCTCTTCTAACTACCAAAAAATAATTGTATAGAAAAGAAGCAACTAATTTTTTGAGAAGTAGGATGGACTAATAGAATTTATAAATAGCTCCATGCAATTGTATGCTACATAATGTTATCCAGAGTCATAATTAAGGATCTGACAAAAAGGCTAATAACAGTTGCAGCAGACAGGCTCTATTCTAACCTTTTCAGACCTGCACTTAACTCAGCGCTATGTAGGAGTTAGAGCAAAGTTTTACCACATCAATGCATTCACAAATTCACAGCTAAAACAAGGGGGACAAATGGGAGGAGAAAACATAATGATTCAACACTAACCACTGTAAATAACAGCTGCAAACAAATGAAGGCTCCTAAATTAGCTTGCTCTGGGCTAAAACGTAAAAATAAACCTGGAGTTACATTGTTAGAGTGAAACATTGTCTTCGGATGATGAGTGGAGCCTATTATATTCATTGAATTCTGTAATTATTATATTGATGGAGCTAATCAAACACAACACGTTTGACACAAACATTTACCAAGGCAAAAAGGAGCTCCAAGGAAGGTCATTTTAAGGAAATTTGATTAGTTTTATGCTTAGCAGTTTGTGGAAAACTATTTAAAATTGTGTAGGGATAAATTATTAACAGGTTGCTTTAATCACAAAAACTGCAAGCCATCTGATAATAAAAAGAACAGAAAATGGCTGTTTAATCGTCCAAATGATGGAACGGAGGTGATTTATCTGTCAAATGTCATTCAAATTCTTTTTTTTTTTGGCTGGATAACCTTCACCAAGAGATTTAGAGATTTCCTGTATTGTCAAAATATCTGATACTTAGACATGGGACAGACTGAGCTCATCATGCATGCTTTTATCTCATTACCCCTGGAAGCTGAATAAACACAAATTTTACCCAGACTTATTTATTCTTATAGGTCTATTTAGGCCTACTGAATGATAAAATAACAAGGAAAATTATGACCATGACAGTGTTGCTGAGATAAAAGTTCCAGTTATTGTCTTATGTGTATGACTTACTGCGGCTCATGTCTGCCAGGCTGTGGTCGTTGGAGTCTGTAAGCCCCTCCTCCAGGTCTACGTCTCTATAGCGATCTTCGGGCTGTGGTCTGTGGGCGTGTCTTCGGTCACGCTCCATGTCGGACGAGCCCTCCCGACTGGACCTCCTTCTCCTGCGCTTCCTCCTGTACCCACGAGGGACTGGCACACCGATGTAGATGGACTGGTGGTCTGGGAACAAAGTATAATTAGTGCTTCATGTTGTTATAGCTATTATTTATGGAGGTTTTAACTATTTAACCATTTGCAGTCTCTTCTTTGCACAAACTGGCATCCATACATGTATTACCCTACTTTTTTCCTGGTAGTTCTAACCTAACCCATTGTTCATTAAAGGTTCTATATTACACAAAATAAACTATTGTGGTTGTGTTTTGTTTCATTCATACATGTTTGAGTAGCCCTGGTTTATTAGTATGTCTACATCTCCAAAGCTCAAAATGCTCTGTTCCACCTTGTGATGTCATGTAGTGGTAGTCAGCAGCTACATTTTACCTTTAGATCAGTAGATATTGGCAATTCCAGGGCTGAAATGATCCAAATGATTCTAGTGAAGGTATATGGAGTTTAAAAACATACTGCAAGACTCATATTACCACATGACATCACAAGGTGGAACAGAGTGTTTTCTGTTTAAGAGAAGAACAATGCAGAGTTTGAATGTTAAACAATGAGAACAAAGACAAAACACAACTCCAGATATGTCTGAGAAGGGAAAACATTATAACATACATCAGAAAATAGTGTAAGGGCCCTTTAAAATGCCTGGAAAAGCATATGTAAGTAAGTTTATTTTTATATAGCGCTTTTCACAAACACATGTCACAAAGACGCTTTACAGATCATTATTCATTCACTCCATACCCGGTGGTGATAAGCTACTATTGTAGCCACAGCTGCCATGGGGCAGACTGACAGAATCTGTGCCATCAGCCCCTCTGACCACCACCAACACTCACGCACATGCCACTTTCACACTAGGCAATATGAGTGAAGTGCCTTGCCTAAGGACACAATAACAGTTTTTGTGACTAGTGCCACCTGTGACGCACTGTGCCACCTGTTTTTCCCAGCAGTCTCCAATCCAAGTACTAACCAGGCCCGGCCTTGCTTAGCTTCTGAAATCTGATGGGATCAGGCTTTGACAAACCGGTATGGCCACATACTGGCTTGGTGGTCTGAAGTAGTGTTCAAACTTTCAAGGAAACTATTGGACTATTTTGTATTTATAGCAGCTTACTAGAACCAACCTTGTAGCTGCTCGGAGAGGGTCAGAGTGGGCCCTTTGTATATTTGTGGCTCTTGGAGGCTATTGTAAACACCGGCGCTGAGATCCAGAATGTGTTTTGAATTTTTATTAACAAACATAAAGCTATCACGGTGCTGCAGAGAGGATGGATAAATGAGACGAGATTGATAAACTGACAAAATGAATAGATGGGTATGTAATGGTGGTTAACAAAAATAACAGCTACCCAGCCCTGACCTTTAACATTTGCACCTGAGCAACACACTCATACAGCCAAACACACAGTGCACCTATTCACCAGGCTTGTCTCCTGACAGTTATTAAAAGTTAGTATTGCTATGTTCAGGAAATGAATACTGAAAGCAATTTTATGTGTTAATAACATAAAATAAAAATGATTCAGAAAATCTGATTTGTCAATATGACTGCTCAAATGTGCCCAAATCACTTTAAATCACATATGACTGCAATCACTTTTTTGCCATATCGCAATTGAAAAGATGGGTCAAATATAAATGGCAATAATAAATTTTAAATAAGTAGCAAAAATAGCAAGAGACTGGTGTCAAATAAGGCATAATTATATAAATGTGTATGTACAAGTAAAAATGAAATAAAAATAGAAATAAGTAACTTCATCCTATTTCTATTCCTCCGCCTGCACTTTCTGAACAAGTCCAAATCAAGTCCATTCAAAGTGAGTTAGTCCAATTGCTTATATATTATGTATGATATAATGCTGAGATTCATCATTTCTATTCCACACCATAAAGCAGGATGATCTAAGCGTGATCATCTGCTCGCAATTAAGACGAAGCTATAAAACTAATTGGGGATAAAACTCCCTCAGGAATAACCAGGCAACAGGGAAGCTCAAAACCAATATGGTCCGCTTGGAAAAACAGAAGCCACTTAAAACAGCTGCAGATAAGTGCCAAGCAGACACAGCATCTGATATTAAAATGCACCTACCACACAAATGCGTTTTACAACAATTTCCCATCATAATTTAGATCTCATTAAGAGGACGCATCCAGGCACACTCACCAAACACGGGGGCAAATTAGTCTAAATTGTGTGTGGGAAGAAGGCTTTTTCTTGACAAGAATAAATGATTTAGCTTTACATGTAATTCACACAAACGCAATATGACAGTGCTTCAGTTTATAATGTGAGGTAGATGTATGTGTGAAATTTTGTTCTTTGCATTTGACCCGTCTTTCAGGTTGAGCTGGGGCTAGCCGTCAGGAGCAGTACATGTCTATGTGTGATACAAAACCCAGCGGACCCTCCTCTGTAGATGGTGGTAACACGGTGAGGAGTTCTTTTCTGAAGGATTAGTCCACTGTGAATGTTTGGTGTTGATGGAGGCCACAGGGAAATCAAGCAAACTTCACACTAAAGTTGTGGGGTCAAACCAGGAGTTCTTGTTGTTGTGCAAGTGTTGACTTATTTGCTACTGTGTTTATTTAATAATTAATAACTACTTCTATAGAGAACCTGCATGTGACGTCACGGCCTTGCCCTGATCCACAATAGTTTGCCATTGTAAAGTTAGCACTTTTTCGAGTGGTTCCTGTCATTTTCACATGAAGACACATGCCAGAAAAGTGTTGCTCACAGAAATAAAGACACAGGGGTTCAGCTGTATAGGCTCCCAGTAGAAGCTGACAGACGAGACAAGTGGATAGCTGCCATAAATCGGAGGAATTTATGACTCAACCAAAGACAAGCCGACTAAAGGACGTCAATTGTGGCTGCTGTCAAAGCACTGCAGGGTTTGTAGCAAGCACTTTGTCGGAGGTCAGTCATCATCAATTACAACTGAATTAACACATAACAAGGTTACTCTAGCTAAGGTGATGTAAGATTTAAGAAAGTCAATTAACTTTGCGGTTATCAAAGATATTTTCTTTGTCGGAAGACACCACACCAGGGGGTCATAAACCCAACCTGAGGTCAGATATTTGTAGGAGTCTAGACTTTTTGACCTTCAAACACAATCCAGTGTACTGAGAGCGAAAGTTGATTAAGTAGTTGTAAATGTCTGCATATTGTAAATCCGGCAATGTAGCACATTGTTTTAATGGTGTAAAGAGAGCACCTGGAACGCAATATGGGTTTAAAATGTTGAACCTGTTTAATTTTGCCTCGTACTTTAATTTATTTCTTGCATCCAAGTGAGAAGTGTGGTCCATGTGTTGAAATTCTATATTACTACAATGTGAACTACCGTCGTTGGGGCCGTCAATATGGCGGCCAAAACAAAAATGGTCACATGACTGTAGGTTCTCTATAGCTTGTACTGTCCATGATCTATGACTCCCTTAAAGGAGACATATCATGCCATTAACCCTTCTCATTCACCGGCTGATGCACGTCTACTGTAAAGTAGAGTAAAGTAAAGTTCATTCGCCATTGATAAATGTAGTAAATGCACCAATCTAGCATTTTCAGTTCAGATACAATATCAATACTTTGACTTTAGTATCTGCCGATACCTGATATTAACTGATACCAGTGAAGAGATGAAAAATTACAGTTATTTCCTCAAAACACAACCAACTTATTACATTAGAGATCTAATAGCATTATGCAACTGTCCTTCAAATGACGACTGAAGAACTTGATATGAATAAAAGTTCAAACATTATGAGATGTTCTGGGCCAAAATTTGTCCATCTTATTACATCCAATGAAAGGCTCTACCAGGATATCGACTTAACCAATATTATGGAATTGATACCTAATCCAGCAAAGTTTTCTAGTATACCAGTGTCAGTATTGGTGCGTCCCTAAAATGTAGCATTCACTAACAGTGAATTGTAGCAGCATGGTCCTGTACTTTTGACATGTTGTAAAGGGGCAGGCAGAAATTGTCACTCCTATTTTCAACTGTGAAGTCAGAGGACTTGTTTTGTTTTAGATCTTTATTGCGATATTATAAACTTAAAATTACATTTGGAGCACTGTACTCTGTCTATATGAATTGCATCTAAAGGCCCACTTACCCTCCTCTTCCTCATAACGCAACTGTGAGACGCCCATGCCTCGGTCTCCATGGTCCATCCTGCAAAACACAGACACAGAAGTGACAGCTTTTTAAAGGTTTGAATGTGTTGCTGAAAAGGGGCAGAATCTGAGTGGGAGTTTTCTCACATGCTGGAAATGGGAACAGTGATAATAGAGTTTCACATGTTTCAATGGGATATAAGTGAGGGAGAAAATGAGCTGTGGGGCATCTTTTATCAAAGTCTAGAGTAGTGACAATGAAATACAGGAAAATAATCTAATTTACACATTTGAGGCAATTGTTATGTTTGCTTTGAGGGCGTATCTATACTACTCTCCCATGTGTCATGACCCCATATATGTTTTTATACACTCATCTATTTAAAAATATAATGCAGTAATGCTGTATGAGCCAAGGTACAGTTAACTGGATACTTTATTGTTATTATTACAGAGCAAATCAAATAATATACAGTTACACAAATCAAAATAAATACAGTTACTCCTACATTCTTAGTTTTTTGGCCCACATAGAGAAATGGGAGATGAGACTGGGGTTATAAATATATTAAATGTTCAATAATTTATTCAATTATTGTGACATATAATCATGTTTAATAGTAAAATCAATAATCCTGCCATCCTTAGCCATATTAAAACCATGTTATCACTATGACTTTTATAATTATGGTTGACATGATTGCCCACATTCATTAGTCATCCATGTTGGCCTGTGTGCTGGTACGCTGTGATGGCACCAGCCTGCTGTGCACTGACCTGCATGAGGGCCACAAATCAATGGGACAATAATGATGAGGGGCAGCTCAGTGGAATGTGTATAATTAAAACTAATGTGAGGGAAACCTATAGCACGTGGCAAACAATGACACACCAGAGACTATGGGCTGCACAGTTTCAGAAAAAAAATTATCACGTCATTATTCTAATATAATTTTTCATATTTATTTTTCTAACTGGGATTTACATATAAAAAGTGAGATTACAAACACACAAAACAGAAATAAATATGAACCGCTAAACTAATTCAAGAATTACAAGCATTTTGAACAGGATTTGCTGTTGTTTACAGTCGATGTTTAGAGTTATGCTGATATTAACCAATATCAGTGTCAGGACAGCAAATAGCACTCATTTCCTTAAAACACAATGAGCTTATTAAACACGAGATTCAGTTGTGTTATGCAACTGGTATAAGTTCAAGTAACTACTGAGCAGCTTCATATGAATAAAAGTTCAAACATTTGGAGACGTACGTTATATAGATTCTTTTTACAGAACAAGAGTTTGTTTTTCATACCTGACAGTTTCGACTGCTCACTAGTGGTTTTCCTCAGAGTGGTCACGTGATCTTGCTGTGACATGTCTGGTCAGCTGATTTATACAGTAAAAAGAACCTAATAACATAAAATATCAAATGTTCTAGGCCAAAATAAGCCTCTAATTAATCTTATTACCTCCAATTAAAGGTATTGGTTTAATCGATAAGGAACCAGTACCAACTTCAACAAATTTATCAGTATCTGCGCCAATATTCAATACCAGTATCCGTATCGATGCATCCCTAGTAGACATTACATGCCTACTCAAATGGCTATTTTGATTCAGTTGATTCAATACATTGTGGAGCTCAACGAGAGACTCTAGCAGACTGAGAAATCAATACAAGGTAAAAAAAACTTGTGCTAAAATGAAATGAATTTGGGATTGGGAAAAATTGTGATACTATTCTATTATGAAAGCATTTTACTGCATTAGCTATATACTTGATTTTGATTACTTTTAACACGTTTGTATTTCTCCTTAAGTGATATATCAAAAGTATTAGGACAATGGTAGGTGACAGAAAAGCAAACCAGTACTGCAACCTGGTAATATTTTTTTGCAGGATACCTTTCCTGTTACAACAGACCATATTAAGACAATTAGAGTTTAGTGTCTTGCCCAGGGACACAATGAAAGCAACAAGGTTTAAATTATCTAATACACATATGCTGTCAAAACACTGCCACCACTGTAGTGCTTATCAATTTCAAGCAATCAAAACAGCCAAATACTTAAATACCTGGAATTTCTACAGCACAAATGTAATGTAATTTAAGTTATCACATATATATTGTGACTTGATCTTATTACCCATGTTAAAAGCTCTGTTTAGCACAAAAAGGCATTTGATGTTGCAAGCATGACTGCCCATGTACAAGTGACCAATCGACCATTAATCAATAAATCCATCCATGCTTCTACATACCAGCAACACTGCCCCTAACTACCCCCAGGCAGCATCTATGGACTGTGGCAGCTCTAAGCAAGTGAGCAATGGAATCAAAATATGGTGTCACAACAATAACATTTGATAAGATACATGATTAGAAAGCATTGTCACATAAACATACATTTACAGTCATTTTTTCCACTAAGTAAAATCTACTTTTTCTGTGCTCAGTGAAGTGAAACAAATGCATTCTCCTTCCGACATTGTCAAAGTCTTCAACGAAAAGCTGCATGGAGTGTTTTCTGACTAATTTTCCAATTAAACTGTGTGGCAGATTTTTCAAAACTAAATCTATCCCTCATAGAACAAGAGCAAAATATTAAATGACCCAATGTCTCCAATGTATTTGTGCCAAATTGACCCCATTACAGATATACTGGATAAGCAGCTCTTGAGGTCAAGTCAGCTGTGTGCTCTCTGCGTATAATTAGAAGTCATTTTACTATCTAATAATAAGGCAGTGCACATTAGCATGCTAGTTGGTGGTGCTCTAGTGTCATGGGAAAACTCCACCCCACTCTGTTGTGAAAAAAACTGGGCAGTGAATAATTAGGAAACTTGGAATTTATAAAGGTAAGTGAGGAATAACTTTGGACCAAATTAACTTTTTTCTTGAGGTATTCGGCACAATGATAAAAGTTTGGATTTGCCTATTAAAAAACTAAACAGCATTGGGCTGAGTGATTATAGCTGTTGCAAAAAGTAGTAACAGCAACCATTTCTATTGAATATACGGTATAGTAGCTTTTCTTTCTGGAGACACCTGGGATCCATGTATGCAAAATTGGGACATGTACAAAGATTAACTATTTTGCATGGATAAACTTTAGTCCTTATTCATTAATTCACAAATAATACAAGCAATACTGCATTACCTATTGATTATACTGCTCTCTTATTTACTCTCAAATTTGATTTTGTTGGAACTCCAGCTCAACCTTTTTGTTCCCAGCTCCAGAACTTCAGCTAGTTCCAACTTGACTCAAGCCCACTTTATTAGTGCACAAAGCTGTTGATTTCATTTGTAAAAATGTTAATGGGACAAATGAGCTTATTAAGACAGCAAATTTAATTAGAAAAACTAAAGACATAGACAAGACACAAACTCACAATTTCATAATCTTTTAAAGTTACAATTAAAAGCCCATTTGCTTATCATTTCATCTAACATCAATGTCCTCATGGGATAAAATTATTATTATATTATTTGTATAGATTAGCAGGCACGTCGACAGAAATTTGGGCAGGACAAGAAGACTTACATTGGCTCACATAGGTAGAGGTTCCAATTCTGGGCCCTTAAGACCCTGGGGCCTGGACAACAGACCACTTTGCCCCTAGTATTATCCATTATAATACATTTTGATAAAACAAAACACTTTATTGAAAATAGTATATTCACAAGTCCATATTTTTGCCTCTTATTGTGTTATTTTGATGTTTAGTGAGGTTTTATTTATTTATACATTTATAGGGTTCAAGTCCAGATCTAATAGGTCGTGCAGTCATTTACAGTCAGAACAATTTGTAAATATAAAGTTCAATGCTAATTCATTAATTATTTATTTTACCCTTCATCTTCAGTGTTACAGGTTTTACTGTTTGAATTATTTCTATTTTATTTTTATTCAGTTGATAACATTTTCAGCAGTATTTGAAACTAAATTATCTTACACAGAGGTGTTACTTGATACTATATAAGCACCACTGACCCACCTCTACTCCTTCCCTTGAGCAAGGCGTTGGCTGGTACCAAAGCGTATCAGAGCTGAGAGTGAGGCTTTCTGTTGGTGTAATTAGCCCTGCTGTCACTTCAGTGCCCTTCACACTCACTACACAGATGCAGGCTGCAGGCTGGAGCCCGATCGATCCTGTGTCCCGCCCACAGACCCTGACCCCCCCCACCCAGACCCCTCCTCCCTGCAATAGCACGTGCACACAGGAAATGTCCTCATGTGACTGGGATACAAATGTGGACATGACAAGGCTGGGGTAACTAACTAACTAGACAACTTACACTTACCGTAACTTGGACAAACTTTATTGAGCCATAAGGGTAAATTTGGACAGAGTAGCTTCACAAATCACAATATAAAATAACAACAAAGAGGAAAAAACATATAAATGTTAATAACAAACTCTAAATAAGTAGCAGAAATAGCAAGAGACTGGTGTCAAATAAGGCAAAATTATATAAATGTATAAAAAGTAAAAATTCAATAAAATCTAGAAATAAAGTAATTAAATATATTTAAACTATATACAAGAGGTCCTAAGTTAAAACAGTGCAATGATGATATGTTAATATACAGGCCTGTTGACAGAAATTTGGGGGCCCGGGGCAAGAAACATGGGCCCCCTCTAATATTAATTAATAGGAAGAGGGTCCAATTCTGGGCCCCTAAAACCCGGGACAATGGACCCCTTTGCCCCCCTCTGTCTTCATATAACTAAAACTAAATATAGCTTTTTCTCCCTTTATGGCTATCATCTGGCAGTAAAGCAGTAAATATGTCAATTTGGTTTTGTATATGAGATGCTAGCGACCCACTGTTGCCTCCCATTCCATTTATATGGGCTTGGGACTGGCACAAGATCCTGACAGTAGGAAGCACCAATCTAGTCAAACTGGTGATTTTGTCCTAGCCCATAAAAGAAACCACATGACTCTTTGTTAATTTCATATGTGCGCTACTCACAAAAGAAAAAAATACTATATACTATATATAGCTATATCTATTCTGTATACGTGTTTTAATGAAAGGCATTATGTAAGAGTTTGCTCTGATAACAAAGACATTCTCAATGAAAATGTTTAAACAGCACTCAAATATAATTGCTATATATTGTATTCCAAATTCATTCTGCCAGATGCACATGAATAAATCATATTTTAAAAATAGCTAAAATTATAATGAGCAACACTGGCATTGCAAACTCTAGAGTCTTTTTTATAATTATAAAGTTGCATCATAATCCTTCTGTAAATCTATGACAGCTGTAGGAGACAAAAAATCTAGATCTGAAGGTAAAGTAAACCAAAAAGAAGCCACGACTAACCAGTACAAACTAACCACATCATAGACACTTTCCCTGAGACTCAGTGCTCGCCATCAGATCCTCACATGGCTGGTTGATTAGCTTAATGATATAATGGCATAATTAGAGGTTACTGAGATATGATTGTGTCCTGCAGTCTTCACTGGGTACAATTGGGAAAGGGCAGTGTAGTTTAATCATTTCTCAAAGGGTTTGCCACAAAATTGGGTTACCACTTACTGCGTGTATTAGAAGTAAAAGTAAAAGATTATGAATAATTTTGGTATTAATATGTGCTGTCAAGTATGCTATCAAGAGAGCAAAACATTTGAGAAAAGGCTAAGCAGTGAAGTTTTTCTATTAAAATTTCAACCATTTATGACATGTAGAGCGGGAAAAAATAGCAAATATGAGTATGAAGGGCTAACTGCTTTCACATTTGCACACACATCAAAAGTGGGACTTAATGGAACTAAAAACAGGACTAGACCAGAACTAAACCATGATCAAACCAGGTCTACACCAGGACTAAACTTGTTAAAAATCTGCAAATTATACACAAACAGACAATTGAACAATTTGCTGGGTTTAAGGTTTGAACATATTTTAAACTCTGAGCTAAACCTGGAATAGACCAGCATTAAACTAGACCCAAACCAGGACTAAACTGGGCTCAAACCAGGACCAAACCTGGATCAAACCAGGTCTTCATCAGAACAAAATATACAAGTACAGCGAATGGAGCAATTTGCCAGGTTTAGGTTTTAAACATTTTACACTAAACCCAAAGCTAAACCTGGACTAGACCAGGATTAATCCAGGACCAGACCATGTCTACATTGCGACTAAACTGGGCTCAAACCAGGAGCAAACCATGTGAAAAGTCCATTACTGCAGTCAAGTGAATACAAGTTTTTCAAATATTTTTGGTCTAAGTTGATGTTATAACTTTGGAATGTTGCACAGTGTGGTATTAAACTTTTCTAACTTCATGAAGACCAAACAAGACCAAGTTATAGGTCAGATCTGTGGAGAGACAACCCCACTCACAGAGAGAATGGCTGTTTTTCTAGGTATTTTTGAGCTATAAAAGCATCTGTAATTGAATTAATTTAAGGTAAAGCTGTTTAATGTCGTACCATGGAATATTCCAGGTAGAGCAATGACATCTGTGCACCTTTAAATCAGCAAACTAAAGAACAGAACATACACAACAGTACAATATGCAAGGTTTAACTTGACCGTTTTTCAAAGCACACATTTAAAAACCCATTTTAGAGTGAGTTCACATCAGCAGAAAGCAGCCTACCTGGATTAGTTTGCGGTTGGAGAAAGTAACCCAGAAAATGGCCTGTGCTTGGTGTAGCGTTGCCTCCACAAAAACATGCCAGAAGAGCTTTGCCACGCCAGAATCACGTCCAAATCCTGCAAAGAGAGCAACTCATCTGTATATTTCTGCTTGTCTACTCAACTCTCCCTCACCAGCGGTTCAATATGGGCCAATGTAGGACTCGGCACAGGGCTCCAGGCAGGAAGTTGTGTCAGAGCAGATAGAAAATCCCTCAATAGAACTCACAAGCTTGTCGATACACTGTACAGCCCTGTGGAAAAACAGAGGAAGTTATGGTGGGTTTATGATGCGTACAGGAAAGACTTGTTCTATAGTTTAAATCAATAGGCATTCAGAGAGGGTTACACCACAATGTATAGTAGGCATGAGTGAAAAGGGGCACTGCATATTGAGTATTGAATGTATTTAACACTAATGGAATGGAATGAAGGCAGTTTAAAGCCATACTTTGGAACTTTGTGGAACTATTGTTTACATGAGTTAATTTAAAGGTGCACTGTGTCATTTTGTTGGAGGTCAGTCACCTGCTCGTTATATGTATTGTATATATGTTATTGCTCTGCCTGGAATGTTGTACAGTTGACAGTAGCAGTTCTACCTTACATTTATTCAATTGCAGGTGATTTTATGGCTCAAAATACCTAGGAATACAAGCATTCTGACTGTGAGTGTGTGGGGTTACCTCTCCACAGATCTGACCTGTAACTTGGTCTAGTTTGGTCTCCATGAAGTTGGAAAGGTTTAATACCGTACTGTGAAATATTCCAGACAAAGCAATAACATCTCCATGGAGAAAAGCATTTCATGGACCCTCCACCAGAAAAGTTACACAAAGCACCTTTAAGTGTAACCCTCTGAAATTGTTCAAGTGAATCTCCATAAACTGAATTGAAAAGAAAATTTTAAATTTTATCTAAAATTACAAAAATAAATTGTGTTTACATTTCTTTTTCTTTCTTTTTTGTCTAAACCAGGTATAAATCAGGTGTATACCAGGAGTAAACCAGGTATAATGGTATAGGTGTTGGTGGGTCAGGTGTAAACTTGATGTCATCGTCGTAACCATGACACAACTAGGTTGATAGATGTCCAAGTGAGGTTTTCCCTTAAGGCCGCCACACACTATAGAAGAATGTGCATGATTTAGGCTGTGATTTGCTTCTCACTGAGCTCAGGGAGGCGTGACTCGACTGTGTCTGCGTGTGTGATTTTGAAGCCGCTGTGCTCCTCGTGTGTGGTGTCAGAACCACTAACCATCAGCAATGCCACGGTAACAGCCAATAAAAGTGACGGACAGAGAATATATGAGAAGACACAAATAATGAGAAGACTTTATTATTCATCTCTTGTAAATACGTACATTTATCCTGCAGCATCTCATCCACATAATCCAGAGAATTGGTCTTCCGCAAATAATGACATCCAGTTTGAGAGTTTAAGAGTAAAAAAGACGAGACTAGTTCCACACATGTATTTGTTTACAGCCACACAGCACACAGATCGAGGTGAAGCTGCAGATTAGTGATAGTGACTCTATTTCCCGTGTACAAGGGCCTGACCGATATGAATATTGTTGTGGCCGATATGATACCGATAAAATGGGAGTTGGATCTGCCGATAGCCGATATAATCACCATATATTTAGTCATGTAAAAATTCACTGTAAATCTTGAATTGTTTAAAAAACTTAGGTTTGGCTCTAGTGGTTTTTGAATTGGGTTTATTTAGGCAACATTTATTGTTATTCTGCCTCTTTGCGTCATATTTACAGACAGTAGGTCACCCTAATGGCACCCTATATTTGCATAAGATTCTACCTACTAGTGATGGGTATTCCAGTTCTTTTTAGAGAACCGGCTCACCATAAGTAGCTGGCTCTTTCGGCTCCCAAGTGGCTCTTCAGATTGTTTTGTTGTAAGCAGAACTAAACCAGAACTGTGGGGAGTGTCGGGACTCGGTCTCTATTTCTCTCCCTCTCTCGAGCCCAAGATTAGTCCTGGCTTATTTATTTTATGCTAAACTACAACCAAATATGCAAGTTTTTTTCTATCCTATGCACACGCATATTTCTAAAAGTTTTATTTTCAGCTGCTGCCGCTGTCAAACTACCAGAAGTCTGCATGTGGTGTGAAGAGAAAAAAAGTGAGAGAAAGAGAAAACACGGCTCCCAATAAGGAGCAGGCTCCCGTTGTTCGCTTCAAAGAGCCGGTTCTAAGAGTCATTTCACTCGCGACCGACCCATAACTCCTAGCTAGTAAAGAAACTACCGCTATTAGCCTTTAGCCGTAAATACGTGCAAGCCACGGTAACTAATTATATGCATAAATGTGGATCATTCGCACATCTCTTCCCAGCTCATTTACATATCAGTGCAGGTCCAGTAACAAATATATGGTCAATATAGTCACTTTACATTAGGCCAATAGAAAACAGTCTGTTTATGTGTGGGAGCTACAGCAGCTAATCGCTAACCAATAACAAATAACCAAAACTAGCTTCAAAGTCGACATATTTCCAACACTCACCGCTCACACAGGCTCCTCCCACATCACAAGTCTGCATTAAAAAATGTCCTTTTAATCCAGACTCAAACCGATTGTCCGTAAAAAGAATATAATCTCAGTGTTGCGCACCGCTGCGGGTGTAAAGAAACGCACGCGAGTGACGTGACGGTGGTGTGTTCAGGGACAGTACGGACATACACAGACAAATGACTCCGCAGATAAATACTGATGCGGAGTCACAAATTAGGACTGTAAATGTGGATTAAATGAACATAATGCAGAGAGTCTAAGCTTTATAACAAGGTATAACATGCCTAAATATTGGCCCATATCAGCAAACATACTGGGGGATAGCTGATATGCCTCCAGGTGTCCACATCGGCCGATAATATCGGCCAACCTATATATCGGCCGGGCTCTACTGTGTACTTTATATCCAACCTTCTGTGCATTAAAAATCATATATCTGAAGTATTGCGTCACATTTCACAAATGATAACACAGTTTGTCTTGCATCTAAACTAGAAGTGCAGTGCTCTGATCTTTTGAACACTTAAAAGAGTCTTAAAGTGAGTCATTTTACTCTGGTCTGCAGACATATCCCACTGCAGTCTTTGCTATTGGAGATTTAAAATTTCTTAAGATTCTCCACCTGTCTGTGGTGTGCACTTTTTGTTGCACATTTAAAAATCATTTAAGACAGAAAAATCCTGTAGTGTGTGACAGCCTTTGGTACTATATCCTGGGGGAACACCATTGTATTGTCCAATCATATTTGATGGGGGCTCCGAAAATTAACAGGTTATTGTTAAAATTAAGTTTTTTGTTGTTAAATGGTGAGTTCTTGGGTCTAATCACTAGGAATGATCAGCTTCAATATGTGTGGATTTACATATTGGATATTTGATAGCAAAGTACAATGTAATCAACAGGGCAATCTGGCTCTTTCCCTCATCTGGGAATATAACATTATCAGAGAGAATACAAAATGTTTGTCATGTCAAGTGTAACGAACCTATTTTAGTCTAGAAAAGCACTGAAAAATTTATTAATTCTAATTCTTGAAGCACTATTTCAGTCCCCCTAACATCATGACTGTTAATGACAATGTGAATTTGCACCTAGCCTTGTTTAAACTCCTCACCTCCATGATTGGAGTAATCATTAGTGAACATCTAAAAATAACAGCAAGGGACATCTAAAAATAAACTATGAGTGGTTTTGTCAATACCTAATGAAACAATAGAATGTTCATTGACCTTACACACCCTACACTGCCCTGTTCACAGACCTCCATTGGGCCCAGGGGGAAATCTCACCTCATGACTTTTATAATGAAGTAAAAATGTTGGCACTGCAGTATGCTTTATCAGTGGTGGAAAAAGTATTCAATTTTGTTACTTAAAGTTGCATTGTGTAACTGTTCTGTTGGAGGATCTGTCAAATACTTTTCTTCATGGAGATCTTATTGCTTTGTCTGAAATGTTTCAGACAATGGCATTAAACCTTTCTATCTAAATGGAGATACCAAACCAGACCAAGTTACAGGTTTAGTGTTTATGAATGTGAAAATGTCTCAAGTGAATTTTAATGCCGCAATGAATATCCTTACGGTACTTACATGCCTTTGTTGGCTTGAAGTGACTAAAATCTAAGGCTGTACTATCCTAGAACTGTTTAGACTCCTTATAATCTCTCTGGTTTACTGTGTGTTGCAACCAGGCCAAGCGTCTACAGGGGATACAAAAGGGTGCATTGTATTTTTATTTTAAATAACTTGCACATTGTAAGCAAGTTAAACAATGGAGGTGTGTAGGGGATGAAACAGAATAGGCAGGGACGAAGGTGTCAAAAAATATAATTGAACAAAAACTTAAAATAATTTAATAAAAAAGTATGGCCCAACTGGTATAACTTAACTAACTTAAAAAGAATGTTACGGCCCAGGCCTTTAGCTCTGTGCACTTGTGTTATCATTTTGTTAAATTTGTATATGAGGCTCAAATTTCCTGTCTTTCACATGCAACCCGTCCTGTGTGAGCCCTCGCTCCTGATTGGAGGACTGGTTTCCCGCCTGTACCTGTTTGGTTGCTGCTTGCTGGTTTGTGATTGGTGGGGGCACCTCTTCACCTGGCCAATCCTGTCTCCTCTGCAGCCACCTCCTCCTATAAGAAGATCAGCCAAACCTGTTGGAGGCTGCTGACCTCTGTGGCCAGTCTGCCATTTTGTGTCTGTGTCTCACTTTTTTGTTGTTAGTCTAACTTTGTGTGTGAGACACTAGGTAGTTTAGTTCTGTTTTGTGTCTTTTTAGTTGTCAGTTGATTCTGTTGGCAGGTTTATTTGACTTTTGTTTTGGGAACATCTGTGGTTTTGTTTTGTGTATGTGTCCCTTAATTTGTCATAATTTTTTTTATTGACTTATGTGAGTCATTATTATTTTGTTGTCTTAGTTTAGGTTATTTTGTGCACATATTTTAGACCACTTTTGTTATTTAACCTTTACATTTCTGTTAATTAAATTACTTCCTTTTTTTTTTTTACCATTTTGGTTTTTGTTACCTCCCTGACCTTAGCAGAGTCATGTCGTAACAAACAAAACAGAACTAAACTAGAAAAGCACTCAGAGAGCACAGACCTCCGCCAAGGACTACCCCCATTTTTTATATAAATTGCGATAAAATCAGTCTTCTGGATCAGATCCGGATCAGCCTTTGGAATATGAAAGAGGATCCCATTGTCCATCCCTGAGTCAAATTTCATGGGGTTTGGTCAATAATTAACCGAGATATTGAGAAACAAAATTTTTGGCCCCATTTACCACAATGTTAACTAAAATTTCAAAGTGATCCAGAATCCAGGATTTCTTCCGGATCAACCCCCAAAATGAAATCAGTTCTTCCTTTTCACATTTCCAACAAATCCTGAAAATTTCATCAAAATCGGTCCATAACTTTTTTCAGTTATGTTGCTAACAGAAAAACAAACAAACAAACAAACAGACAAACAAACAAACAAACAGACAAACGCTGGCAAAAACATAACCTCCTTGGCGGAGGTAACTAACCTAACCCACCAGACAAAGGAAGAGGGGTGTTTAAATAGTGGAGGACTAGCTAAAACTGAACACAGTAGGGAGGAATTACACTCAAGGATAAACTAAAACTACTGGTACTAACTCAGTCAAAGTAACAATAAGGCAAATCATTATAATTATACAGAAAATAGCTGTAATTAATAAAGTAACTTTAAACAAACTAGGCAAACTAAGCAAAAACTAAACTAGATAGTGCTCCCCCCTTGGCTTAGTGAAGGTGGTTTCTGCCAAGGCTTGCCGTCTCCTCATCGGTCCCAAGGTCTGGCAACTCAAAAAGAACAAGTGTAAGCAAATAATTATAAGCTAATAATTATTATATAACAATATGAATATATTAATAATTATAAAATATATTAACTAAGCTGTGTGCACCCAAATTATAAAATATATGTCTAAATAAATGTATTAAATTAAACTATATGTATTTTAACTAAAAACATAAAATGAAAATGAAAGAAAAGCAGTAGTACTGTGGCAGAGGTATCCAAAGAGTATTGTCTTTGCACCCCTTTGAAACGCATCAGTTTTGGTCTGGACCCGTTGGCTACAACAGCTCACAAATTGCTTGGCTGAAAAATATTGCTTTTTTTATAATATTTTTGTAATAATGATTTGACAATAAGAGGACTTGTGGTTTTGGTTGCAGTCTCACTCATATTAGTTACTTAATACGTTTTACCAGAATAAAACTAAAGAGTCTAAAGTCATTTTATTCCATAACAGAACAGTGTACACTTGAAAATAAATTACTTCTGGTTCACTCGTGACAGAGGCTCAGGAGGTAAAGAGGGATGCCAAATCATGAAAATTTTCCTTTTGACTCCTTCAAATGCCCTTGAGCAAAACACTACACCGCATCCCCTGAGCTTGCCAACAATGGTGTGTAAATTCTACCTTAAAAGTTACTTCTGTGAAAAAATAAACATGATAGGTCTCATTTAGATATTTTGAATCTATTTTGAATGACTTCCCCAAAGGACTACTTGAGGGGGTGCTTAACAAGTTCAAGCTTATCCTGAAATCCTAAAATGAAACTAGCTCCATCTGCAGTTTAAGCCTCAAGTCGTACCATAACAGAAATAAGTCTGAGTCTGACCAAAGCTAATTCAGGCCTGAAGTTTAAGCTGCGCTTTGTGTGAGCTCCCAGACACAATGGAACAATGACATCTTGGAAAATGGGCCAAAAATATTGATGTTTTTTCTGATCAGACTAAACGAGAGAGCATCTGGAGGGGGTCTCGCCCAGGGAGCAAATCAGGATAGGCCCATTCCGAAATGTGCAGTAGTACGTGTGGAGCTTAAGTTCCTCTGTGCTTAAAAGTAAAGCTGTAACATACCTCTTCACGTGTACCCTAACAAGAAATGATTAAATCCGAGCCAAGGTGTTTGTAGTTTGACAGGGAACGAGAGAGGGAATGAAGAGAGAGAGAGAGAGAGAGAAAGAGAGAGAGAGAGAGAGAGAGAGAGAGAGAGAGAGAGAGAGAGAGAGAGAGAGAGAGAGAGAGAGACAGCTCTCTGATGAAGGAGCAAAAAAACAGAATCCACTGTCATCCTCAGAGTCCAAACCAGAGTCTGTGCGTAAAAGCTGCACTGCCCCTCACAACAGACACATGTGCAACATCATTTGAATGAAATAATGGCCATAGGCTTTTATACGGTTTGTGCTTTTTTGATGAGAGCAGCATCCATACATGTGTGTCCCGTGCATAGGAATGTATGGACTGTAAAAGTCTCAAGCGACACATGATTATAAAAGTCACTTTTTCAACTGTATCAGACAGAGACAGGTATTCGAACAGGTGTGTTGATGCACAGGCTAAAACTGTTGAATGAACTGTCTCTTTAGAAATTCTTGGAGACAAAGCTAAAATAATACTGACAGTTAGACGGGTTCTGACCAGGTTTGTGCCCTGGTGCTTGTTACTGCGGCAACTCAGGTCACCTCTGGTGATCACTTTGGCTGAACGGAACTGAGGCTTTGATAAACCTGGATTGCCCACATGAGCCAGGCTTTTGCTTTAGCTCAGTTCATGGGATATCCCCCAGGTCCAGGAAACATCTCTTATTCCATTTAACATATACATATATATATATTTTTTAAATATGGCACTGTTGATACATTTTTTATATTGTAAATTGTAAATGTTGAAATTAGATCAAATAACACAAACTTACCTAGTAAAATACAGAAAAAAAAGCATCATATGAGATAAGAGTATGAAAGTATATAATGGAAATAAAATGTATATTTTTTTCTTAATTTATACCAAGAAAACCTTATGAGAATACCAGACTGTTTTTTATGAAACATATAAAACAGGTGTAGTTATCAGGTGGTGCTACCATTAGGCGAGAGTAGGTGGCTGCTGGAGGGGCCCACAGACTTGGAGGGGCTCCCAATCAATTAGTCCTCAGGGTAGGGGTGGGCGATATCTCGATATTTTAAATATATCGATATGAATTCTGACATATCGTATATATCGATATAATGCTTATATTCAATTCTGATTTCGCCGCTTCGCTTGTTTACCTTCTCTCTCGTCGGCCGCGCGCCCCCGCCTCCCTGATTTTGTTGCTCGTGTCTCCTTCATTCGTCACTATCACCGTGAACGCCGAAAGTGGTGCCAGTGAAAAGCTTCAAGCACCACGAACCTTTTCCATCATTTACAGACAAAACCATCAGCAGCTCATCCTCATATTCCACCGAGTCGCCTCCTTTAGCCCGAAAGAAGCTGAACGAGCTGAGCTGCATGAGAAGTGCGCTGTTTATGCAAATGAGCCATGCGCTTAAGTTTCGTTTCTGTAAAATGTAAACACACGTGCGCAGAACTGCATTGATGCAGAAGATTTTAATTAATCTGTTGCAGTGTAACTTGTACAATTGTGTTTGGAAACGTTTGGTTTGATCTGCAGTGGATTGTGGGAAACCTCACAGCTCCTTACTGCTGGAACATGGATCTGTTAAAATAAGGAACATCCTGAGCTTCCTCTGCTAAATGAGCTCATGGTTATGATTATGGTCTGGATAACAGAGTTAAAGCAAAGATGAGCTTGTGTTGAGTTGTTTTATTTATGAATGAAAAGAAGGAAATATGTATTATTTCTTTTATTTTACAGTTACATTTTTATTTATGTAATTAGGGTTTTTGTAATCTTAAATGTTCCTATATGAACTGCCGACCTCTTACACTTCAGTTAAAAAAAAAAGACCTTGTGGAATTTGACATATTTGTTTTTACAGTTTTCAGTTTTAGGGGGTTATTTTTTCTTGAACATATATCGAGATATATATCGTATATCGAGATATATTTTTTGATCCATATCGCCCAGCCCTACCTCAGGGTCACAAATGGCCCAGGCCTCAAACCCATTTGATATTCTCTCAGTATACAAACAAAAAAACAAAACAAAAAACTTTTAAACAAGAAAACACTAGTAGTATGTAATAGTAGTAATAGTAAGTGTGAAATCCATTTTATCTGTCTAAGCATGTACTAATGCACAAATAAACAAATAAATGCTTTGCCACTTGAATTATTATGGGCAACAATTACTTTTTTCTGGAACAGTTGCAAGGTTATTTTGAGAGAATAAACAAACATGTAAAAATGTCCCTTATGCTGCAATAATCTCCACCTTTCTACTAGCAATATGGGTCTTGTTTTTTCTATACACTTCATAGAAAATGATCAAAACAGACAGTGACTGCTCTCTTTTTAGCGTAGCCTACAGCAGTTCTGTGGTGGACCTCATGTTGCACAAGAGATGCTATAATTTGAGCTATTTTGCAACAATCTTGAAAATAGCCTATTATTATCATCCCTCTGTCTCTGATCCTAATGAATAGTGGCTCAATGTGTCTCTATAGTGCTTGTCTGATCATAATAGTAGCCTGTCTATGTGCGCACATCCTGTACTCAGGCCAACATGTTGACGTAGCTTCGCCTCTTTCGGTGATTATTTCTCATCTGAGCATTGGTCATTGGGAGCAGAGAGAGGGGGGAGTGAAGGAGGGGATGTGACTTCCCATACTCAAGTGCTCGTTTGTACATTTGCATTTACACACCCGTGAGTGAAGGTAGTTTGTGTGGAATAAATCGCCAAATGTGACCAGGTTGTGTGTGTGTTTGTGTTGTGGACACCTTTTTCTGCAGTGATATTCTACCAGTCTGTGGTAGCCAGCGCTCTGTACTTGGCTGTGGTCTGCAGGGGAAGCAGCGCCTGTAAAGAGGACACATGACGGAGTAGAGCAGTCAGCCGCGTGGGAGGCGAGGGGGCCGATACACACGCGCACACACACTGATGTTTTACTTACCCGGGAATTTACCGCTATCTCCGAGGTTTCTAAAAATCTTCATCGCAACAAACAGTCGGGGGTGCACACTTGACTGCTGCGCAAATGTTCTTTTCTCTATAGCCCTTCCTCCAGTTTCAAACTTTCCTCCATGTCCACCTCCCCTCAGCGTGTGTCCTTCGGCCAACCCGAGCTTCATTATCTTCTGCGTTATATTACGTCACGTAGGGCGCGCATGTGTGACGTCACGAAGAAGTTCAGGTGATTTTTCCGTTTTTTGAAATTGAATATTATTTTCTTATTCGGATATTTTTGTTTCTGGTAATACTTATGATTTTTTGGTATTTTTCTTTGTTAATTGGTCTGGGGGAGGAGCCTCGTTCTTTAAAAGGGGGCTCGCATCTGCAGAGAGGCAGTGTGTTTTTAGGAGGAGAGCTGTGTGCACCGCAGGCACCAGGACCTATTTAATGACTACCACAACCTAACCCGTGACAGCTGGAGGCAGTGCTGGGATATGGCTGGTCGTAAGAAGCACAAAGGACTGTTTAAGGAGGATACCACAGAGATTTCCAGGATTGCTGAGTCCGAGGCAGCAGGAGATGATGTGGAGCCAGGTGAGGTAGAGCTTGAAGCCTCTGCATTGCCTACAACCCACACAGAAGCCTGTGGGGGAGCTGGTGGCTATAATGAGGGATTTCCTGGATGGACAGCAGAGGAGAGAAGAAGGGTTGCTAACAGAGTTGAGTGATTTTAGAGCCGCCCTTCCGGCAGCTCAACCCTCTCCAAGTGCCAGAGTTTCATGGCCTGGGGCCTACTGTCAGCAAATCAGCTAGTAGTCCTCAGATAGGACTACCAAATCCTGGAGATACAAGAGTGGTTCTAAGCCCTGGCCGTAGAGAGATGGACATGCCAGACATGTCGTCCTTCAGCAATCCTGAGCCAGAAGGAGGAGTAAGACCTGAGTGGAGGCACTTTACTGACCCAAAAATACCTAAGCGGCAAGGACATTGAGAATTACCTGCTTAGGTTTGCACGGTCGAGGGAAGAGGACGACCCTGATGTTGCTATCATCACCAAAGTGGAGGGTACCCCTCACTTGGCCCACCTCTCTGCTACTGAGCTCCAGCAACTCTTCAATGAAATGCTGTCTCTGTCCTCCGCCAAACCAGAAAGGACTGTTGTGATTGAGCACACTATCCAACTGAAGGACTCAAACCCTTTTCGCCAAAGGCCCTATCGCTTTCAACAAAAGCTGGTGGAGCATCTGCAAGGGCCATGTTGAAACTAAGAGTTATTGAGGCGTCTAACTCCAAATAGTGCAGCCCTTGATAGAGTACAAGAAGGATGGGACTCTGAAGATCTGCATTGACTTGCAAAAACTGAATGCCATTTCTGAGTTTGATGCCTACCCTATCCCCTGCATAAATAAATTGTGCTGGAACGGATTGGGTCTGCCAGATATATCACAACCCTTGGCCTGAGCAAGGGATACTGGCAGCTGCCTCTAGACCCCAGCAGTCGACCCTGCATGGCCTTCTGCACTCCCGCAGGCTTGTTTTAGTTTACAGTCATGCCGTTTGGCCTATGTGGGGCACTGACCACATTACAAGGGATGATGGACAACATCCTTGAGGGGTGTGAAGAGGGCAGCGTGGCATATTTGGACGATGTCGTAATCTACAGCTGCACGTTGAAGGAGCATCTCGCAGATCTGAGGAAGGTCCTGGGAAAAATCCAGAGAGCAGGACCCACTCTCAATTCAAAGAAGTGTGAGTGGGCCGGGGAGGAGGTGCAATACTTGGGCTACCAACTTGGCCGTGGAGAAGTGCAATCCTTAAGTGGATAAGGTGGAGGCAATCCGAAACTGTCCAAGCCCCCGAACTGAGAAGGAAGTAAGGTCTTTCCTGGGGCTTGTGGGGTGGTACCGACGTTTTGTTCCCCAGTTTGTCAACATTGTCTCTCCACTTGCTGCCGTGACTGCCAAGGACCTAAAGAACCCTGTGGGTTGGACCAAGCAGTGTGAGGCTGCTTTCCTAACCTTAAAGCAGTGTCTGTGTTCTTCTCCTGTCTTCAGAAGCCCCGACTTCACCAAACGTTTCTTGGTCCAGGTTGATGCCTCTGCAGTCGCGTGGGTGCTGTATTGACCCAAGGAGATCCAGGCAAGGAACAGCCCATCCTCTACCTGAGCAGGAAGTGACTGCCTCGAGAAGCCAGATACTCGGTGGTGGAGAAGGAGGGATTTGCGATCAAGTGAGCCTTGGAGAGTCTCAGATACTATCTCCTAGGAAGAGAGGGACAGGAGGACACTGGACTAACTGCTCTCCATCATAGACACCCTGTTCACCCACTGCACCAGACTATAGAGGGACAGAGGAGCTCATTCTCCAACAGGCTCCTACAGCTGCACTCAAACAGTGAGAGATACAGGACTACATTCAAACCATACTCCATACAACTGTACAACTCACCCTCATGTAAAAGATAACCCTATATGCTGTCAATCATCATATCATCTTTGCACTGTTTTTCCTTATGACTTTTTGTATATAATTGAGATATATTTATTTCTATTTTGTCATTTTTACTTGCACATATACATTTATATAATTATGCCTTTTTTGACATCAGTCTCTTGCTATTTTTGCAGCTTATTTAGAATGTAAATTTGTAAACTGAATAAGACTGAATGAGGAATGTTCCACAGTATGACATTAAACAGCTCTAACTTACATTTATTCAATTACAGTTGGTTTGTATTGTTCAAAAAATCCTAGAAAAACAGGGGCATTCTGACTGTGAGCGGGGTTGCCTCTCCTCAGATCTGACCTGTAACTTGATCTGATTTGGTCTCCATGAATATAGAAAGGTTAAACACCATACTGTGAAACATTCCAGACAAAGCAATAATATCCCCTTGGACAGAAGCATTTGACAGACCATCCACCAAAAGTTACACTATGCATCTTTAAATATCTCTTTAGCTCCTTCATTTTGTTTGCTATTGAGTTTGCTTCAAATAAAAATGAAAAAAACATAGATTTTATGTCCAGGTGAAATTATGTTTGCGTTCAATTTTTTTTTACAAATGGGACTGTGACGCCTGCATCCGTAAAAACAAAGTCAGCTTTATTGACAGTAGTAGAGTAGTGCTGATAAAGGCAGGAGCCGGGGGAAGCTCGTACTGTGCAGAACTCAGGTATAAAACCATCATTGCTTTGTGTTCACTCAAAGGCCAGTTGGCTCTCCTCACCGCCTCTGTTCCTATGAGGTCACCATGGAAGGAATCACAAGTGTCCACTGAAGCACCCTTCCACGAGAACAGCCTACACATGTAAACTTTATCATATCATGTACAGTACAAAACATGCATCCCATGTTTGTCCACAACTATCAGTCTTACAATGTACACCGTATGCACAAAGTCTGAGATGCAACAAAACAGCTAGAGCCTTATGGTTCAATATGCATTTGGTTTTGGCTCATTTTTTTTGTTCACTTATTTGGTACAAGACCCACTCCAGTCACATTAGTGTGGCTCGTCGTGAATAGATGGGCATCCAGTGTAAAATTCTGTTGCTGTGTGAATGGTTTGTTTAGTGTTTCAGAAAGAGCAACATAATAGCAAATTCAAATGTGTACACAAACCACAGTGGGTCATTAAATTAATTAATTGGCATGACAAAAAATAAGGATTTAGGCCTGAGCAAAAAGCAATAATCAGTATTTCAAATGCAGTGTTAAATATCAACTTAGAGATCATGGTTTCTTTTTCCCTGAGCATGGAATGACAAATACATAAAAAGCTTTAAGATGCACTATGTAACTTTTTGACTGAGGGTCCGTCACCTACTTGTTTCTATGGATATGTCATTGCTCTGCCTGGAATGTTCCACAGTATGACATTAAAAAGTTTGACTTGACATTTATTGAATTACAGATGGTTTTATTGCTCAAAAATACCTGGAAAAACAGCTATTCTGACTGTAAGCGGGGTCGCCTCTCCACAGACCTGTAAATTGACTGGTTTGGTCTCCATGAAGATAGAAAGGTTTAATGCCATACTGTGAAACATTTCAGATGAAGCAGTAACATCTCCATGGAGAAAAGAATTTGTCAGACCCTCCACCAGAAAAGTTACACAATGCATCTTTAAATTGAAGAGAACATTGTAGCTTATTCAAATCATGTACGCATATTGAACCATTGAGGCCATACAAATGAGTCCAACATATTTCTTATTATATCAACATAGCTGCATCCCTACACAAAATCATATTAAAACAAGAAAATAAAAATCCACAAACTGTACACGTCCTTCACTAGTCACTATTTTTTCAACCACTGGAAAACTTTTCAAGCTACTTTTAATTTATACAGCAAATCTCCTCTTACTAGTGGGCCATCAAAACAGCCTGAGGTAAGCTTTAGCACATGAGACATGAGCTTCAATTTAAGGGTCAAAAAATACAAAATGATAAAATACCAGAGATGAATCCATATCAACCATCACAAGACAAAATAAACACTAAAATCTCGTAAACATGTCTATACAAAGTGCCACACTGGATCCCAATAGCCAACTAGATTATCTCAAACTTCATAGACCTATATAGTGCAACACAACTTCAACACATGATTACAGTGACAAAAGGCCAAAACCAAAAGGCAAAAAGGGTGAAATTAGAATTTTTATCAATTCATACTTCATCTCTAAGGTTTTACAGCTCCTTGACATATTGTTATTGACTTCTGATAATATATTTAGTGGTTTTCAGATTCAAGAATGTGATGATGTCATATTCCCACATGGGGGCAGTTTTTCCAATTAATAAGATGGAAATGTACAGAGGATTTTTCCCTTCTATTTCACCACAGTGCGACAGGTGTAAAGTGAATAATGGTTCTGTAGGTCATTTATTTTTTATGTGTCCTGTACTCAAAAACTTTTGGTCTGAGATTTTTCATTTATACACTATCATATACAAGAAAAGTATACTTACTGCCTGTTGTTTCATGGTGACTAGTTATTTGGATCAAACTCTGACATCATCACTGAAAGGACTATTGTAAGGGAACGCCTCCCTGTTTCCATAAATAGTTAAACGATATTCTGTACAAACTGTCAGATCAGTGAGATACGTTTATGAAAATGTGAGGACCCTTTATGAATCATATGAAACAGAGAATTCAACCTCAAACTTCAAAGGACTGATTTTTCCTCATTTGAACTCTCTGGACATTGCTGTACAGGCTGTTTTTGTTGTACATATTGTGTGTTTTTTCCACTGAAAAAAAAAATTGAGCAGGGAGGCAGGTTAGAATTCTAAGGTGTAAATTGCAGTTTAGTCTCAGCTGTCCAGGATGGATCCATAGCAAGGGAGAAATTCAATGCTGTCAACTGGACAAAATGGAATCCAAGCTGCATCATCAGTTCATCTTCGTATTCGATCAAAAAACTTTTGTCCAGCTGACAGAATTTAATTTCTCCTTTGCTCTACAAATTTGTTCACCTGGTTTATGGTTAATATCTCTGTAATAACTGGGCCTAAAAACTGTCACAAAGTTCACCATCTTCTCTGTCAGCATAAATAAACAAAAGTGAAATCATTATTACACAGTGCATTGAGAAAGTGGTGACATTATTCAGCCATAAGATTGTGAATGATGAAGCCAATCTCTAACAAATAATGATGAGGTGAAAAAAGTTTGGATATTTCTTTCAAACATGTAAACATAATCTCCTACAGAGTTATACAAACCCTTGCCCTCCATCTGAAATTATGACATCATCAAATTCTATAATGTGAACACAACCTACGGGGATCAAATGTGTGGACTGAGATATAAATTCTCAAGATTTCGTGTTTCCAAAAATCTCTGTGGTGTTTTTTGCTCTTCAGTGTTCTCGTTTTTGTTTGCGACCCTTGTCCACCTCGTCCAGCCCTGACGCCGAACGCTGCATTTCACGGAGTTGGGAGTGGGTGCGAGGCTGCTGTTTCTTGAGCTTCTCCAGGTGGATGTCGATGGGGTCCAGCTCGGGTTCGGCGGCAGGCACAGGCAGGTACCCTTCATCTCGGGGCAGGCACATGCACCATCCCGCGCCAGCCAGGTCCAGCTCACTGTATTTGAACTCGGATTTCTTGAGCTTGAAGTCCACCATGTCGGCAGACTGGCTCATGTCCACCAGGAGGTTCCAGAAGACACAGCTCAGGATGATGCCCAGGAGCTGTGGAGGAGAAATAATAATAATCATAAACATAATCATCATCATCACCAAAAACCTAGAAAAACAGACATTCTGACTATTGACTCGCCACAGGTCTGAACTTGGCCTGGTTTAGAAAAGGTGTAATGCCATACTTTCAAACATTCCAAACAAAGTAATAACGTCTCCATGGAGAAAAAATTGGAGGGATCCTCCACCAGGATATATGCATATATACATACATATTATTCTAAACAAATTATTGTAAACATACATACAAGAAAACAGATTAACAATATACACAAAGATTACAAGACGTAGGGGCAGTTAAATGATCATCTATCTGAATCATTTAAGATCTTTATAAAATGATAACAAGTAATTAACTTGTTTATTTGGAAGGTTTTCTAATTATTTCAAATAATATTTTAGATGGAAAGATATTAGGATTGTATTATTTCACTTAGAACAATGAATAACATATTTCCATATAAAATGAGAACCTTTAAAAATAGATATGTTTTTTTATCCATATTGTTATCAAAATAAAAAAAAAAAACATATATATCCCTGACCCACATGCTCTGAATATGTCCCCAGCTAAATAACTTCTGGGAGAAAATTGTGGCAATTTTCAGTACAGCTTTGTTTGGGGTTGTGCCTCCGAATGTTTCAGTGACCCATCATCTGGCGAATGCTGTAACCTTCATTATGCTGCTTGCAAGACGCTTAATTTTGTTTAGCTGGAAGGAGGCGGCCCCACCTTCTTTTAAGCGTTGGGTAGAAAAAGTCATGTCCCATTTAAAGCTTGAACATTTGAGATACACTGTAAATGGATCAATTCAAAGACCTGGCAGTCATTCCTCCTTTATTTTGAATCTGGACTAAGTGAGCAGCCCACTTATTTCACCTTTTAATGTCCCCTTACATTTTTAAAATGTAACATTTTTTATTTGTATTTACTTATTTATGTATGTATTTATGTATGTATTTATTTATTTTATATAATTACATATTTTTTCTCTATTCAATCTATGTGACTACCTATATCCATCCTATAGTATCTGTTTTTTTATACTGATGGGTAATTTTAGAGGTATAATTTATTTTTTTCTTTTTCCAGCTGAAAGTGCCTGCTGTCTTGTTGTGTTTTTGTGTAATGTTTTGTGTGTCTTAAAGTTTTAAAAAATCTGTAAAATGAATAAAATTTTCCCAAGCTTAATTCCAACAAAAAGTTTTCAATTTCATACTGCACACAAAAAGTAAACAAAAAGTTTTAAGATCGTGTGACATTTATTTAAACGACACATTTTCAGGGGCCTGTAATCAATACGAGCCTTCATGGTTCTGTTTATGTGCTTGATTTTCAACAAAAAGGTGAGAGTGAAAAAGTTGGCTAATGCTAGCTAGCATATGCTGTTTGAGAAGAAGTAAAAAATAGAAATGGAAATAAAACTCAAAGATCAAAGACTAACTTGAATAAGAGACTTTCAGACAGAGCAGAGCCTACAGCTAGCATCACAACCCTAGGGAATGTTGATGGCATCAGCTGTGAACTATCAATACCAATTACCACAATTATAAAAAAAAAACAAAAAAAAAAAAAAAAAAAAAAAACACATTCTTTAAACAATTGAATGTGATTTTCATCAACAAATAATAGTACTTCCTTTCATATTCCCATGTGGTCTTATATGTGTGTAATTCCTCAGTCGTTCATGTAGGTTCCATCGTGGTCCATGGGCGTACACTAGTTTGTGCTCTTATACTTGTTCTGATACAGCTCAAGATCATTCTAAAGCTATTCAGGAAAGGTTCATTTCTTCCCTGTGAAAGTGACTTTTTTAGTATCTATACTTGCTCAAATGAGTATCTAATTTCGATACTAATTTAGTTTTATTTTTCTTATTTTCGGACAACTTAATTTTCAATAATATCTATTCTTTCTGATAAACACTGCAATTCCAATTCAAGTTTTAAAAATTGGATTCTGTTCAAAGTTCATATTTTGAATGTGTCCAGGAAGAATTGACAAAAATACTGCAATATAAACTGACAAAATACAGCTAATATAAGAATCACATTTTAGAATAATTTCGTGGATGAAAGGATGAGCTGTTTTATGCAGATAAGACATGATATTTTGTTGTTTGTGGAGGAAATTATGGTACATCAATAATAGCAGCCTTCGCGATTCGCAAATTGTGTCTATTCAAATTGCAATTTTGATTCGATTGTGATTGGTCTTGCAGCCCTTACATCTTGAAATATTGATTGCTGAACTAAAGCACAAGACTATGCATTTGATGTGTGTATTGATGTTGAAAATGGAGAGTTATTCTTGTTTTTATGTAAGACAGCAGGATATTGTAACTCCTGTAATTTAATAAATGTAAGGCATAATGTCATAATGTGGAATTTTCCAGGAAGAGCAATGACATATCCATAGAAAAAACAAGCAGGTGACAAACCCCCAACCAACATGTTACATAGTGCACCTTTAATAATAGATTGCAAAAGAATAAAAAAAAAACATATAATAGATACAAATTTAATTGAATTTTATATTATAGTGTATTGAATAGATAAAAAATATATAAAAATGTGAACTGTGTGATTTTACAAATAGCTAAAGCTTGAGTCACACATGCGGCTGCTTCATCAGGTTAAAAATATCCACGACTGTCCTGAATCGCACTAACAAGAGTTCCATTGACATATGTGTAACAAGGAGGGCAATTAAACCACAGCCAGCACATACGCACACATATTCTATCTCACACATACAATAATGCAGCCAGGTTTCTAAGACAACCCTTATTCTAGCTTGCCAGGTAGTAGTAAAGGTGGGAAGTAGTAGGAATACTAAATAGTTGAAATGCTAATTTGTGTTGTAATACAGTGAGCTCTTCTGTCTAGTCATTAATAGAAATGATCAGGTTCATAATTTGTGAATTTACATTTTGGATATTGTGTGACAAAGTACTATGTAATCAATAGGGAAATCTTGCCCCCCATCTGGGAGTATAGCATCATTACTTTCTTAAATTTGAAAACCACCAATAAACAATAATATCGTTTATTGCGATAAAAAGGGTAAAAGATTATCGTTTGTGGGACATTTTAAATAATTGCCAACAAAGATAATCGCCATAGTATCACTAACATGCTAACATGAAAAAAGCTATTTATCCATCATAAACTCCACTTGTTGTTTTCATTTGTAACAAAGTACAATTATATAAAAGTATAAAATAATGATTCATATCCATACCATGTTTAAACTGTCAGCATCTTTATTATCTTGATATAATCACCAACCCAATTATTTTAATCATGATAACTGTGACACTGAATCTGAATATTGCATCATGCCTACCAGGTAGTAGTAGTAGTAATAATAGTAGTAGTAAAAGTTTTTCATCTTGAAGAGTTGTTCACATATATCATTTTCCCTGTGCATTTGTATACTGAGTTTCCATTTCCCTGCTTCCTGTATTTCTGTATGTAAAGCTTGGATTAGTCCACCACTTGGTTACTCCATGTTCCATAGCGTGGCATTAAATGTGTCTATTTCCATGGTGTAAAGGAGTCTGTTCAACCAGAACAAAATACAGGTCAGATTCAAGAAAAAACAATATCACTCACAGAAAGAACTTCTGTTTTTCAAGACATTTTTAGATGATGATGAGGAGTAGGTGAGTTTAGTGCCATGCTGTGGAACATTTAAAAAGGTGCACTGTGTAACTTTTCAGGTGGAGGGTCTGCCATCTTCTTGTCTCCATGGAGATGTTGTTGTTGTTGTTGCTTTGTCTGGGATGTTCTTGTATGGCATTACATGTATCCATCTTGCATTTACTCAGTAATGTGGGTTTTTATTGACTTAAAAACTTGGGTTCTTCCTGTGAGTGGATTCGCCTCTCCACAGAACTGACATGTAACTTGGCCCTATGGTGTCACCTGCTGTCTCTGTAGAGTAAATAAGTGTAATGCCATACTGTGGAAATTTCCGGACAACATCGCCATGGAGAGAAGCTGGTGACGGACTCTCCACCAAAAAGTTACAGAGTGCACCTTTGAGGCAAAGCAATAACATCTCATTGGAGACAGAGCAGACTAGAAAAGTTACATCGTGTTTCTTTTAAAGGTGACATTTGGAAAAACAAAACTCAAATAAAACACAAGAGTGCCCACTGCAGACTATCTCAGGTGGCGGGGAGGCCAACCCCTAAGTCTGTAATGTTAATTACATTTATTGAGACAACTACTGGGACCAAACACATTCAGAGGCGGGGGACAAATATCACAATAAATCTTCTTTAGAAAAGTAATGGCTGTAATTACTTTTTTCTCAATGGTCTGGAGCGCTTGGAGCTACAAACTCATTTAGGCGTCACACACAAAACAAGGCTTCATTTTAGACCAAAAGCTTTTACTTTCATGCAGTTTTAAAGAACAATAGGCACGCAGCAGCCAGGAAGCAGTTAAATTACTTGCTTCATTTACCACCTATTTTCAAGGTTCACTTTTTGTCACCTCTACCACCAAAATAAAACACAATGTGGGCTTCTCTTAAATGGATACAGATACGTTCAGACAGAGCTTTATTTGATTCACAGTTTGAGGTAACACATTCTCTCTTTTGTCTTCAATTTTGAGGGTAAATGACACAGGAAATATCAGAAAAAATATGTGTATAAAGTACAATGTGAAATGGGAGTGTTTCTGTTTTGGTCTGATAACCTAACTCATAACACCAGCCAAAAGTGTTCCAGAGACAAGCCCTAATTTCAGATACATTTTAAAAGTCTATGATTTTTCTAATGGAATATTTTTTCATGTGTTGCTTTGTTTTATATTCATCCAGCAGTCTACACTTGCCAACATTAAATCTTTATCTTAATCTTTATAGCAAACAAAACGACACAGTTCGCAAATAGCAAAGTAGTATCATAATTTCATAATGTCTTATTCTGCATAAAAACGGTCAACCCTTAATTAAAACTGCTGTGATTCATGTATCAGTTTATATTATTTCATATTTCAATCTTTTTTCTCAATTCTCCTCGACCACAGACTGTATATATGGACATAGCTAACTTTCTAGCAAAACATCAAATAGGAAGTGAGCATGGGGGCGCTTTCGGCTCCATCGCCTCTTGCTCCAGTTGGTTTAACATTGAAAAATTGTCACCTCTCTCTCTATAACTGCTGCAGTGAGCTTTGTGATTTTAGTTTTAAATTGTTCATGTTAACCCACTCTACATGATCCTGCTTTTATTTTGCAATTTTTTGTATAAACTCCAAATTTGCTCCTGTAACTATTAGCTTCATGAGCCTCATTTGACTGGGGTGACATAGGTGATGAAAAGTACACTGTGTAACTTTTCTTATGGGGGTCCGCCATCTGCTTTTCTCCATGGAGATGTTATTGCTTTGTCAGAAATGTTTCACAGGATGGCTTTAAACCTTTCTATCATTATGGAGACCAAACCAGGCCAAGTTACTGATCAGGTCTCTGTAGAAGCAACTTTGCTCATAGTCAGAATACCTGCTTTGTATTTTTGAACAATAAAGCCATCTGTAATTGAAATGATGTAAGGTAGATCTGTTTAATGTCATATTGTGGAACATTCGAAGCAGAGCAATGACATATCTGACATAAAATGCAATTAGATATTTTCCCAATTAGTGTAGCCTAAAGCCAGTCTAATTGTGCATGTGTGTTCTGACCTGAGGCAGTCCAATTGCGCAGCACAGGGCGATGGTGATGCCAATGTTGTCACTCATCCACAAGTTGACCGCGTGGATACAGCCGCGCACATGGATCACCTCATGTAGGGTCTCCCTCTGAGCAACACAAGGGAGGAAAAAAGTTCTTAAAAAAAAAAAGGCTAAAAAGTGATTAGCCACACACCCACAGACGATAGATGGATTTTTCTTAGGTGCTTTTAACTGCTCCTCTCTTCTCACTCAGGTTTTTACTGTAAAAAGTCAATAATTTCTTTGTATTGTTATGTCCAAAGCTAAAAAATGGTCTGTTCCACCTTGTGCTGTCATGGAGTTGTGGTTTTCAAGTGAACAAATATTTTTAAAATTTTGTTTAGTAGAGATAAAAAAGTCTAGACCTGAAATGATCCATATGATTCTAGTGAAGGTCTATAGAGTTTAAAAACACAGGGGCACACTTCCTGTATTACCACATGACTTCCCAACGTTTTGTCTGTCAGGTTTAATCTTGTAATGTCAAGTAGAGTGTCTGATGTAATGTAATCTGCTGAAGTATTTCTGTATTACAGCAATTAAACCACTCATTAGACCCCAAATCTAAGGCCAAAAGAGCCTCATATAAAAGAAAATTTAGTTTTGTTTTTTACTTAAGAATATGAAATCATTGGCACAGAGTTGTTTAATTTCCACAGCCCTGTGTAGAATAGTAATGTCAGTATCTGCTCAGTGCTCCCTCAAAGTGCATCTACTAATCCTTTTTATCCACATAATTACAGAAAATACTTGAAACAACAGCAATAATTTACATAATGTGTTGTCTAAAGTTACACTGTTGAGAAGAATGTAAGTAATGTTTTGTGATTCTTTTTTTTAAAATGCCATTATAGATTTTATGTCCATAAAACAAAATTGAATGAATTGTTTACATATTTTTGAATTTCCTCAAGATGGAAAGTAAATTGGCCCATATTACCTTAAGCAATACTTTTTAGTTTTAAGTTTTTCTATCTATTTACCTTGATAAAACCAACTAACTAATATTTATTGTGTCCTAATGGAGATCTAAACATGAGCAAAGGTCTGGTGATTCATTCTAACCTGTTATAAATGCTCATATTTCAATAACTCACTGTATTCAACATCAGACTATAGCCCTTGATCAGCCCTTTGCTTTGTCTGTGTTTTGATTGATGAAAAAAGTCTGTACACTCCTGAACTAAAGCAATAACTGTGCTTCAATTAATAATTACACAGTCACATAATAAAAAGCATTTGTTTGTTGATCTTGGCAGTGAAAACAAACCACTTAATCCTGTTACCTGTTGATCCAGTGTCCTGTATCCACAAAGTGTGTTGATAACCTCTCCCACCTGTGAAGAACACATGATCACTAAATAAATACTGAAATACACAGTCTGGTCACAGCTCTTGAAGCCAGTCCAAACCCACTCCTTCTGACCCAGTGGAGCATGAAGCTAAGTGTGCTCTTGTGACTGCTGCTGTGACAGGTAGGGGCCGATAACATGTGAAAAGCAATCCACCGTTACCAACCTGAGTATAGCATCTAAGAGCAGCAAGATATAGGGACCCTGGGGCTGGTCTATGAGTAAAGCTTTGTGTGATTTCGGAAGTGTATTGCTGGTTTTCAGGTTCTAAAATGTGACACTTCCAGATGGGGGGCAAGAGACGGTTTTTCTAATTAACTACATTGTAATTTGCCCTGGATAATTCCCAAATATGGAACCTGATCATTTCTATTATTGACTAAACCCAACCATGCTATACTGCAACAGAAATTTGCAGTTGAACAATATTAATTTTAGGTGGCCCCCGTCTGCACTAAATAATATTGGCCTAAAGTCACCTGAAACAGCAATCAATGGACAATTTAAGCACATTAGGGATGGGAGATGTTTTGCTGGTATCAGTACAATATTGTACTTTTTTTTTTATGTGTGAGCTATACTATAATTTAAAAGTGCATTATGTAACTTTTTAGTTTGTGGCCCGTCGACCTGCTTGTTATTATGGATATGGCATTGCTTTGCCTGGAATATTCCACAGTATGGCATTAAACAGCTCTACTTTACATTTATTCAATTACAGGTGGTTTTATAGCTCAAAAATCTTTAAAAACACCAGCATTCTAACTGTAAGACGGGTTGCCTCCCCACAGAATTGATATGCATCCTGGTCTGTTTTGGTTTCCATGAAGATAGAACAGTTTAATGCCATACTGTAAAACATTCCAGACAAAGCCATAACAGCTCTACGGAGAAAAGCAATTGAGAGACCCTCTTCCAGAAAAGTTACACAATGTACTTTAAACATAAGTGTGGGGAAGCTGGCCCAACTGGTCAAAGTAGGAGGCAGATTACAGCAAAATGTCTTTGACTAGACAAAATTGATTTAAAACAGGCTTCTGGAGTTAACGCAAGAGGAAGTACAAATAAACAGAAAATAAGTAACTCAAATCAAAACACCAAACAATCTGCACAGAAGCCCAGAACCTCATCCAATGTTTTAAAAATGGCCGACATGAGTGCACACCCCCTCTTCTGTCTGGACCATGTGGAGCTGCAGGTACGTATGAATGGAAACTGAAATTAATTAATAAATAAAGTATATTTAAATGAACAATGTGTTATGTGATAAATTAACCAAAACAAAAAATTATTGTATCTGTATAGTTGGATACTGAGATGAACAAAATATGAAATTAAACAAATGTGAGTTTTAAAATGGGACAAAGGCCCACTTTGTCACAATAAGTATGGCAGGCCTTGCTTTGGATTTTAAAAATCTTAACAATCTGTATCCACAAATACTGGATATGGTATAACACAGGCAGCAGTAAGGGAGAGGAGCAGACATATTGCATATTGAGTATACTGTAAAAGTAGGTAGTGATACATGTGGGGATTTAGACCTTGTATAGAATAAAAATGACTTAATTTGGTAGTTTACAACTATATTAGATTATTAAAAATAATTTCAAAATCTCGTCTCGTCTTGTGGACGCAATCTCTTCTCTCTCAGTCCACCCCTACCATGACCCATACAATTTTTAATCCAAACACATCGCCAAATCTGCAAATCAACTTGAGCAATTTTGCCTGGTTTCATCCTCAAACATGAAACATATTTCGCCTACAGATTGATGCCATCATGAATTTAATTATTTCTACATTCCACAACTACTACTACTGCCCCAGGCCTGATGAGAGTAGTGGGGACTGTTCCATGGCCACGAGGGCTAGGCGTTTCATTCAGAGCGAGAAATCCACCCAAAGCCTGATAACTCTGAAACACATCGTCCCTTTGATGGGCCAGGGGCTGCCCGCACACATTCAATTCAACAGTTAAGGAGTAATCTATAGAGGCTTTACTGAACCGGATATCACAGTATAACTCAAGGCTTTAGAGCAAATGCTGAGGTTTACTGCGAGCAATGGGAAAACGCAGTATCAATAATTTAACACATTTGATTAGGAATGTCATGATATAAAATGTTAAAATCTGTTATAAAAGGTCCTATATTACGCAAAATGTGAGCTTTAAGCCATATTAGAATGTTCTTACCTCCTCAGACACATACCTGGAGTTGTGTTTTGTTTCATTCACACATCTCACACACTCTTCCGTTCCCCCTTGTGATGTCATGAAGTGGTAGATTTCAAAGTGAACAAATGAACTTTTTAACTTTTGTTTAGTAGAGATAGGAAATTCTAGGTCTGAAATTATTCAAATCATTCTAATGAAGGTGTATGGAATTTAAAAACAGAGTGGAACACTTGCTGTATTACCACATGACATCACAAGGTGGAGTGTTTTCTGTTTGAGAAAAGAACACACACTAAATATGCAGGGTTTGTGTGTCAAACATGTGTGAATGAAACAAAACACAGCTGCAGGTCTGTTTGTGATGAGGAAACAACATTATAACATGGATCATAGATGTTACCGGGAGAAGCAGCAACATGATTATTCCAAGCAAATCCTTCATTGTCATTTAGCTTTACTATTCAGGTTTCGGTTTACTTTTTGGGAGAATATAATTAGAGAATTGGTGTTCTTCAGTGCAGGGGTGAGATTTTTATTGTGACCAGTTATCAGCTTTTCAATGAAGTATCAAGAATTTTATTTTTACTTGTACATATACATATATGTATATAATTACATATATCTCTTTCTTGGCTACTTACTGGTATTTTTTGGCTACTTACTGGTATTTAGAATTTAATATTACTGTTAATATTTTATTGCTATCATAATACATTGTGATGTGTGAGCTACAGTGTCCCAATAATTTCCCTTGTGGATTAATAAAGTTTGTCTAAGTCTAAATTAACCTGCTCAGGCCTACAATTAACGAGATCTACATTTGTAATATAATTTGAATCTGCGCAGTGTGTATTTTACAGCAACAATTATGGCAATACCTTCTACACTGACCTGTCATAAGACAAGATTAACACCATTCATTAACCATCTCTTTGCCGCAGTCAGTGCTCTGTTCAGTACTTCAAATATGATATATAAATGTGAATACTAAAACATTATTTTTCAAAATCTTTTTTAGATTTCTTAGACATAGACAAACTTTAAAGCTCGGCTGGCGCCACCTAGTGCCTCCGCTCAATTTAATTTCTCTCCAGCGACTAGGTCAGGAATCAGAATACACTAGACGGTTTGCAAAAACCCTGGAAGTGCGAGTTTGGGCACCAGGCAATCAGCGAAGTGTCATATATTCAGTTTTGTCAATGATTCCCGAGATCGAGGATTTAAAGCCGGAACAAAAATAATATTTAGTGAATTTTATCAAGGGGAAAGACGTCATTGCCCTTCTTCCTACGGATTTGGGAAAAGCTTAATATACCAGTTTGCCCCGTTAGCGGTGCATTACATACGTCAAGACCAAATAGCAGTGATTGGTTAAATGAAAAAAGTACCTGCTTAGCGTCAAGCAAAAAATTCTAACGTTGCAAGGTCAGATGGTTTCTACAAAGTGAATCTAGCTGATGAATCAGGCTACAAACTTTATTGATCCACAAGGGAAATTACTTTGACACAGTAGTTCACACATCACAATGTATTAATGATGTAAAGTGAAAAAATATAAATGGCAATAATACATTCTAATTAAGTAGCAAAAATAGCAAGAGACTGGTGTCACGTAATGCATAGTTTATAAATGTATATGTACAAGTAGAAATAAGATAAAATGGAAATAAGTAATAAAAATATCTCAGCTATATACAAGAAGTCATAAGGAAAACAGTGCTATCAGGGTTATCTATTACATGACAGTATTCATGTATTTTCCTTTTGTTTTCACATTTGTTGTTTTCACTTCAATTGTCCATATTAACACAAAGAGAAAAGCTGCTCGAGGTCACCGACAGCCTGCTCACCCAAATATCACCCGTATCCTGTTGTATCCTGTTATTAATTTCATGCCATTAGCTCTACACAAACTGCTGTCATCAGGCCTGACCTTGTTTTGACGTATGAGACAGAAAAGTGACACAGACAAAGTGCCCATTACATTTACATAGAAAGACCGTTCTCGAAAAATGGCTGAGCAGCAGTGAGTGTGGTCTGTTTTTAATGTGGATGTTTTAGCAGGGTTCACGTCAAGGTCACTGTGTGTCAGGGCCAGAGAGACAGAGACACAGAGAGAGAGAATGTCTAATGCCTACTGTTCACAGCTGGATACTTTTTCTGCTACTATTTTTGTTTTCCAGTTAAAGTTACACAATAAAATCAGTGCTTCTGGTTCATGCAATGACTATGGTGTCAGGCAATCCATGTTTGAATCATTTAATTTATATTTAAAGATGCACTGTGCAACTTTTTTTTTGTGGCAGGTCCGTAAAATGCTTTTCTCCATAGAGATGTTATTGCTTTGTCCAGAATGTTTCACAGTATGCTATTAAGCCTCACGATATTTATTGCAATATTGTGGGAAAGCTCACAATATGGTGGGGAGGTTCACGATTAGTGATGTAACAATATCGAAATTTCTTTGTACGATATTTTCATGATATACATCTCACAGTAGGATATTTATTGCGATATTTTGTCGACGCTAACAAAACTGTTAATATGCTTCTTTTTCCTCTTATAATGCCTTGACAAGACTTAATTCAAAGAACTAAGACTTAGAACTGTTATTTCTTCATGTAGTCTACACTGAAATGGAGCAAAGGATCCTGGTCTATGTAGTTCCCTCTGTCTTTTTTTTTTTTTTTTAGCTATTGCTGCACCATAACTCTTAATTTAAGCAAAGAGAATTGTAATTCAATATATTGTTATGGTCCACGATATTATTGTGAGAATTTTGACGATACAATATCATGATATTTTGGTTTTTGTTACATCCCTGCTTTCTATCTTTATGGAGACCAAATCGCACCAAGTTACAGGTCAGATCTGTGGAGGGGCAAGCACCTGTAATTTAATTATCTTCATAGAAACATGCAGGTGACAGACCGCAACAAAAAAGTTACATAGTGCACCTCTAATACCATTTTTGGGTATATGTTTTGGGTTTAATTTTTGGTATAAATGCCACTTTATTGTCACTCTACTGATCAAAAAAGCACAGATTACAAATTAAAGGCGCTGTACCTGATTTATTTATTTTTAACCTACATTTCTGAAAAAAACAAACAAAAAAAACAAAACAAAAAAAAACATAAAAACAGAACTACTTCATTTTAAATGGTTTGCATTATTACTTACTTTATACATTCTGAACAGCCTCATTATTCACCGTGACATGTTTAGAAGCTCTAGAGCGGAGTTTGCCGTTGCCATAAAGCTAGCATGCTAAGTGTGCACTTCTTGATTATCGGGCAATAAAAGACTTTATAATTAGAATTGATTGTGACCTCAAGAGCTGTTAATACAATACATCTGTACTGCGGACAATTTTGCTGAAATTCATGGAAAAAACTGAAATATGATTTATATTACCATTTCTTTTGTTCTCCTCAATTAATAGGAAACACCGATACAATAGAAAGCAAAAATTTAAAATCCAAATTAAAATATGTAGCAAAGATGGATGGGGTATTTGGTGATGGGGTAAAAGTGTTTAAAAATTCTAGGGAGCATTTTTTATTTTATTTTTTTACTTTTTTCCCACAACATCTCTAATCAAACATAATTGTAGTTTTTGTTTTTCAGTGTTAACTTTACTAAGTGTAAATAAACTTTTGAAAACCACTTATGGAAAAAGAGGCATCAGAACTCACTTTCCGTCGGACGCAGCATGTATAAGGAACCCCACAGGCCAGTGGACCGGTGCCATTACAGAAGTGGTACTGATTGACTCCCCAGTCTTTGTACTCATCGCCTCCACAACAGGAAAACTGCAACAACAAAAAAAAGACAAAATGGACACACAAGGTTAGAACTGTGCCTCCAACAGTAATAACATCATAGACTTCATTATAACTAGGTGAAGAGGAGATACAGCAAGTACTGCATTATGCATGTACATAATATTTTGCTCCCTTTTATAATGTACTTTTCTGGTAGAGTGTCTGCCACCTGCTTGTTTCCATGGTAATTGCTTTGCCAAGGATATTGCACAGTATAGCATTAAACTTATCTATGTTCATCGAGGTTACAGGTCAGATCTCTGGAGAGGTGAACCCGCTCACAGGTAAAATGTATATATTTTCTCTTCATAAAGACAGATATATTTGATGCTATATTGTGGAACATTTTAAGCAAAGCAGTATCATCTCCAAGAAGACAGGCTAGTGCCGTGCTTTTCAATTATTTTCTGTCCCCCCCCCCTCACTCCACTGAACCACTACCAAATGTGGACAAATCTGACCCTCGCCTTCAGTAGCCTACATATGTCAGCAAACCTTTTAGTAGCGTCTCCAAAGTGACTCCCGGGACACACGCAGCATGTGTCTGTCTGTATTCCGCTCTGCACTCACCTGCGTAATGAGGCGGTCCGCTCCTGTGTCCTCCTCGTCTTTAAAGATTATGTCCGTGTTATAGTTTGAGGTACTTGCGTCATCTAGTGTGACAGAAACCATGTCTAATGCTGCAGTAGTATCAGCTCCTCTGTTATTTGGTACGTCAATTTATATGATCCTGACAGTGCTCGCTGGTTTACTGAAGTAGCATTCACAAATGGGACGATTGTTGGCAATGTTCGGCATGTTTTCACTGAAAAAACTGACGCTGTAATTTATTTGACTTCATGCTGCCAACATTTTTAGACACAGTAAACACACAGGTCTTTCCTCGTTTCCCACCGTAATCACAGTGAAGCCGAGCGCTACATATGCTTTACATACAGTTTGTTCACTGTACTTTATATCTCCTACTCTGTGCTGTGTGTCCGTTTGCTCGCTGCAAAAAAAACCCCCCAAAAAACAACACTATATACTCCCTGCACACGATCTGACAATGAGAACCTCACTGCCAACTACTGTAGTGAATGTGCAATTACCCTTTATTCTAGTATGGCAAAAAAAAAGCATGTTCCCCGAGGTCACATGCGCCCCAACCACTATTTGACAAAGACTAGGCTAGAGCCAGATCCTCCACCAGAAAAAAACACTATCTGACCAAGTAAATAAAAATGTCCAAGAAATGCTAGTGTCCAAAGAAATGCATTCTTCCTTACATAGGCAATAAGATTATGCTATATTCCATCACTGAATGGATGTAAGTATAGAGCAAAGATTCTTTGAAAAGCTAACATTTATAGCACAACCATAACTCAGATATTGCAGAAGACCTCTATCTCTTTTCAGATGACCTCTGCTAGCTCCAGACACCATGCTGCTGCGGCGATAAACCACTTTTGTAGACTTGCACCTCTGACTTGAATGTGATAATGAAGAAATGTCAAAAGTATGAATGGTGCAGTTAGAAGTCAAGATAAACTTATGGCCCTGTGTATTCAAATAGTGGAATCCGATAATATACTGCTGAGAAATGCCAAGCAAGAGACAGTTCACATTGATTTCTGGACAAAAGGTAAGGTACTTTGTGACAGAACTCCAAATTAGAAGAACTGCTGGACCTCTTTTTGTTGTCAAAGCTTGAGTCAATATCTGTAATTGTCAAATGAAAAGTTCAAAAGCAACAGTTGTTCAAAGTTTAATAGCTTAAACTAGCCTATAAACATAATAGTTTATTGACAAGATAAATTTTCCCATTTGAGGAATCCTAAGGCACTGCTCTACGGCAATAGCAGAGAGGAGTTATCTGTAGCCCTGCACAGCTCATGATAGCTGTGTGTCCCTGGGCACACAGAGCTTTGAAATCCACATTAAATGGTGCACTGTGACTTTTTGGTTGGGGGTCCATCACCTGCTTGTTTCTATGATATGTCTTTGCTCTGCCTGGAATGTTCCACAGTATGATATTAAACAGCTCTACTTAACGTTTATTCAATTACAGGTGGTTTTATAGCTCCAAAATACCCTGAAAAACAGGCATTCTGACTGGGAGCGTGATGACCTCTCCACAGATCTGACTTGGTTTGGTTTGGTCTCCATGATGATAAAATGGTACCATATAGTGAAACATTCTAGACAAAGCAACAACATCTCCATGGAGAAAAGCATTTGACAGGCCCTGCACCAGAAAAGTTACACAATGCACTTTTAATTTGACTTGAAAAATACCGTTTAAGACCCAAAACAAAACATTCATCAGAAATATGAGAGTTTGGTTATAGGTTGTGTGTGCAATTTATCCACAGAAACATTTTACAGTATGTCAAAGGTTTCATCTTTTGTATTCTAGTCTTGAATCAGAAAACATAATGAGCCAGACTTTGTGACTAAAACCAGGTACAGTTAATCTAGAATGAACATGCCCTCAGTATATTTGCATCCCATGTTCAGTTGTGGCCGCTAAGTACACTAGTATTGTTCTCAAAATACTTCAAATTCAATTTTGATATGAAGAAAAGGCTCATAGGGATTTCAATATCGAAATGATGATTACAAAATACAACAGAATGCAACTTTCAACACAAATGTAGGCACCTTCTTTAATATTACCATGTCATCTTTTCTGATATAGAACAAAACTTTAATCAAACTGCTCAGGAATGGTCCAATTTAGTCCTTTTGTCTGCGTGTTTGTTGTATGGTTTGGTCTCCATGAACCTTTCTATCTTCATGGAGACCAAACCAGACCAAGTTACAGGTCAGATCTGTGGAGAGGTGACCCCGCCCACAGTCAAAATGCTTGTTTTTCTAGGTATTTTTGAGCTATAAAGCCACTTGTAATTGAACAAATGTAAAGTAGATCTGTTTAATGTCAAATTATGAAACATTCTAAGCAGAGCAATAAAATATCCATGGAAACAAACAGGTGATGGACCCTCAACCAGAACGTTACACAGTGCACCTTTAATATCTGATACACCCCAATTAAATCTAACCTCAGTTCATCTCACCTTTTGCTGCACATAATCCAGGATGTTTTTGAAGTCCAGGTCATCATAGTAGTGTTTAATGCCCTCTCGTATACTGCTTTGAAACAAGGCAGATGTCTGAAAACAGAGATAGAACAAAAAGATGACTTTGTTGTTTTGGGGTTTGAGGATGTGGGTAATTTTGGAATAATTGCGACCGTCTCGTACCTTTTTCTCGAAGATGAGTGCTGTAGTGAGAGCGACTGCCTGAAGGAGTAGCAGCACACAAAGAACACAGAGAAACTGCAAAAAAGCAATAAAAAAAGGTTCAGCAAAGTGGGGTGCGTACCAGAGATGCAGTGGTGGAAGATAATGAAGTACAAAAGTAATAGTAGAATACTTAAGTGCACATTTTAGGTATCTGTACTTTATTAAGTATATTTTATAGTGGATACTTTTTACTTTCTACTCCACTACATTTTAAATCTGGACTGAAAAGTAAAACATACTTTTCTTTATAGTTTGAGACCTGCTGAAATGACTGAGACTTATTTTTCAGCACATTTCATTTGAATTTCTGTCACAACTTTGAGTAAACCAAATACCTATTAAGGTACACAAAAATGGCTAGAAAAATTAAGAAATAAATTTAATCACTTAAAAAAAAATCACTCCATTTCATCTTTTAAATGTTCTAAAAATCACTTGAGTAATGTTTTGCCCCACTATCTATACTGTACAAAACTGAGTACATCCAACTTTGTAGGGATGTAACAATAATCGAAATATCATGATATCGTATCGTCAAGTGTCTCATAATAATATTGTGGACCATCACAATATATTGAATCACAAATCTCTTTGGTTAAATTCATTGTTATGGTGCAGCAACAGCTAAAAATAAGACAGAACTACATTGACCATAACCCTTTGCTTAGTTTCAGAGCAGACTACATGAAAAAATAACTTATTATGCACTTTTACATCTAAATTTTTTGTAGAATAACCTAGTGTCTTGTCAATCGTTGTATCATCTTCAACTGATTTCCTCTTAAATAGCTGAGATATTTTAATTATATTACTTTATTTCTATATTTTAGTTTATGTTTACTTGTATATATATATATACATTTATATCATTGAAACAAGTCTCTTGCAATTACTTATTTAGAATTTATTATTGCCCTGTAGACAGAATAATGCACAAAAGAGTAAAGCATCTAGAAAAGAGCTATGGTAGACTAATGCACTTTTTAAATTATTATTATTATTATTATTATTAAAGAATATTCTAATTTAAATACTGTCCTGACCTGACTTCAGTTCTTTGTTTGTTTCCAAGATGCACCATTCTTCTGCAACATATTTCTTTGTTTCTGCACCAACACAGCATTAAAAGAGTTTTGGGGAGGTTTGTCATACACTTGACTGACTCCTCTGAATATGTTTTGGGATAATCCTTCCACACAGTCTTCTTTGACTTCAATAATGGAACCTTTTCATCACGAAAGTAATTATGAAGCAACAGCTGTGATTTCACATGTGGGGACAGAACTGTTCAAATAGTTCAACATCTGCTGTCTGTCAAAGTAATAACAGCAGAGTTTTTAAATAGCTTCCTCCAGTCCCCAGATGTTTCAATCTTGGGTTTTCCTTACCTATCTTTATTGCTGAGTTTCAGGTGACATCACAACATTCTATATTTATAGATAATGAAAGTAAATCATTTAATAAACTAGTGGCTGAATTTGGCTTTCAGCAACAGCTATATTGGCAAATTTTAGTGTGTTTAGTTTTCCCACAAAAAAAAAGGTGGTGGTGGGGTGTGTGTGCGGATATTCCATGCACGGAGAAAAAGTGAGGAGTGCACAACAATTCATGTGGTTCGGAGGGGCGTAGACACTTGTTGTCAAGGCAGCCACCTTAACTATAAATTGCTGCGGGAAACACTAAATTTTAATTTTTTTAAAATTTATAATATGCTGAAACCATCTTTAAAAAAATATATGCCCACTTTAATTCTATCATGTCTGGGCAAAGGCCGTGAATTGTCATTTTATTACACATTTTTACAAAGTAAGATCAACTCCACTAGTTCCCTCAAAAATGAATGGAAAAAAACAAATGGTACAATAGTGCATATGTTATGGTCGTGCTCTAAAGTAAAGGAATTCTGTTCATGAATCAACTGGGGTGATTATCAAGTATAATATTCCATTCTGTGTAAAGCTGTTTATTCTGGGTGACCCATCTTCTGTAAAAGGAGCAATTCCTAAAAATCATAAGGAATCTATCAATGAACAACATTAATGCTTGGCAGGAAACTCCTAATGCAACAATGGAAAACAATTCAAACCATCTGTCGCAGATGGTTTCAACTACTAACTAAGGTGGCAGCATTTAAATGAGTTTCTATCCTATAGACAGGCAGGGAAGAAAAGTTGAAAATTAAATGGGACTGTTTTTCAGTGTATATGAAATTAAGTAATTGCAAGTAGTCTAAGGCATGACATGAAGCTGCATGCTGTCTGACACACTGACCATCCGAGTCATGTATAACACTGTAAAAAAACATTGCATCCTAACTGCTACTAATCTACAGTTTCAAAAGTATTATTATACATATGGGTCTGGTCAAGTGGTAACGGAGGGAAACAGGGGCAGATTTTTTACATTCAAATAGCTCTTATTCAGAAACTAGAGGGACTATTGAAATAAGTAAGGTATCAGAATGTAGGAAAGAGTTAACACTCCAACAGGGTAAAGTTAACCCTGCAATATTCTTTCAAGTTGTTGACAAAAAATTTAAAAACTCATGTCGGTAACGGAGGGAATGCAATATGCAGCACTTTTTGGGCAATAAATACAAACAGCAATAACTAGCTGTTCTCACTTACATATCCTTAACAAACTGATTTGAATATTTGCTTAATATAGTTTTCTACCATATGGTACAAGATTAGGTTGAAAAACCTCTTACTTTTTGAGTAATGAGATTTTTTTATTAAGAAAGGTCATAGTAACGGAGGGAAAAGTAATGGAGGGAAAATTGTGCAAGCAAGTAGAAGGTGCATGATTTTGCATAATTTGTCAGCTTTTTTCTTCCGAATACTTTAACATTACTTCAAAATGAAAGGAAACTATTTCTATAAAATATGTCAGTCCTTCCAAGCAAATGTTTATCATTTTAAATACTTTTTTTTGTTGAAAAATCATGTACCTTCATCAACAGTTCAAAGATCGAATAACACAAGATATGATGAAATACATCAGTTTATTTACATGATTTGCAGGTCTTTGAAATTTGGGAAATAATTTTTGTTCCATGTTTCATACATGGTCTGTTTAAAATGTATGTAACTTTAGACCCAAAAATGGTACAGAAAAAAGGTAAACAGTTTCATAAACTAGAGTACATATGTATCTGTTGAATATGTTTTTATATCAGATGCATTAACTTGAATTTTTGGCCTTGCTGTATACTTCTGCTTGACCGGGCCCATATGTACTGCAATACATTACTGCAACAAAATATATCATGAAGACTAAATACACACTACTGCTGCTTTAAATTAATCATATTTAAGTTGCCCTTGCCTTAGGTGTGTGCTGCCTTAAGGCTAAAAGAAAACAGACTATTATGTGGATTATGTGTTTATATATGTACACATATACGCGTGTACATGTGTGTGTATGTATGTATGTTTTTTAACAAATAACAACTTGAAATATGTGAAATACTTTTTTTTTTACTTAAGTAAAATTTTAAAATTTGTTAAGTATTAATATATTAAATAGGCATTTAAATAGTTTTACTGAAGTAGATTTTTTTTCATGTGATACTTTTACTTTTACTTGAGTACCTTTTTACCTCTGTATCTGTACCTTTACGTAAAGGTGCACTGTGTAATTTTTCTGATGGAGGATCCGTCAAATGCTTTTGGTACTAAAACCTATTAAATTGTAAGTAAACCAGACCAAGTTACAGGTCAGATCTGTGATGAGGCAACCCCACTCATCGTCAGAATACTTGTTTTTCTTGGAATATTTGAGCTATAAAAAATAAATATAAGATAGAGGTGTTTAATGTCATACTGTGGAACATTCCAAGCAAAGCAATGACATATCCACAGAATCAAGCAGGTGACAGACCCCTCAAAAAGTTACATAGTGCACCTTTAAACAACAATATTGAGTACTTCATCCACCAATGCTCAGAACCCCCATTTTGCCCCTCCTCCTCACCATGTGCAACAGGGTCTTGTTGTCACGCAGAGATCCCACCATGCCCACCACAGACACGGTGAACATGACCAGCCCCAGGAGGATGAGCACCACAGCGGGGGCCAGGAACAGTCCCTCCAGGGTCCGGTTCTTCTGCCTCTCCACCTCGGCATAGACCCCCACGCACAGCACACACAGGCCCATCAGCTGCAATGCAAACAGTCAGAGTTAGTGCCTTTGATATCCTTTGATAGTGTGGAGAAACCTGTTAGCTAGCATGACATCCATTTTCTGTAACTTCTGATGTGTGTTTTTAAAAAAATACCAGGCCCACAGCGATATCAATAGAGTCAGGAGGTTAGTGCGTTTACAGCAGTTTTTTGAAAGTGAGCGAATGTGCAGTTTGGAGGGGCTTTGATGATTTTTGGAAAAAGAAAAAAGAAAACAACTACATCCCACACACTTCAAACTTCAACAGGCTGTACTTATTTTTGCCATGTAATTAAAATAATTTGTTTTACCCCAGTACAGATATACAAATGTTCAATTATAGCACAAAAAAAAAAAAGCACTAAAACTAGACAGTGTGCTGACTGCATCTAATTCAAAAGCATTTTTATTGTCAGAAAAACAGGAAGTAATGATGCTGCACTTTTAGCACACTGTTTAAATTGAATTTGTTCAGTTTTTCATGTATTTAAAGTAGTAAAATGTGGCACAGTAACTTTAAGATACAGATTATTGTTATTATCACTGTCAAAACTGTAGCACAGGGAGGAGTGGGTGACTCAGACGCTACAGAATGTAATACCCTCTTTTTAAGACAGTCATAATTAATTCATTAGTAAACACTGGATTTTATAGTGCCTTTCAAGACACCTAAAACGTTTTACTAAGGGTGCAACGATATCCAGGTCTCACGATATGATATTGTCACCTCCCTGTACGATATTTATTGCAATATTTTGTGGAGGCTACCAAAAATGTTACTTTTTCCTCTTGTAATGCCTTGACAGGAATTAATCCAAAGACCTAAGACTTAAAAGTGCTTAGAACTGTTATTTCTTCTTGTAGTCTGCTCTGAAATGGAGCAAAGGATCATGGTCTATGTAGTTCCCCACTGTCTTTTTTTTTTTAGCTATTGCTGCGCCATAAATATTAATTTAAGCAAAGAATCTTGTATTTCAATATATTGTGATGGTCCATGATAGGGATGGGCATTCGATGAAATTTTCTTAATCGATCGTCGGAAGAATTAACGATCGATTATCGATTAATCATTAACGTCTTCATATTAAAATGATCATCATTATTATTACTATCTGCACTACTAATCTGCATAAATAAATTCAAGTTTACGACATATAAACCGTAACGACTCTAGCGCCACATCAATCCGTTTGACATTATAATGTGTTTAATTCAGTTTTGCTCAACTCTCACAGAAACGAAACTTAAAACCGCATCACTAATTTGCATAAACTCAGCAAAGATAAAACTACAGCTCTTGTGTCGCTGATGCGATCAATTTCTGTAGGATTAAAAGACATGACTCAGTGGAATACAGGTTAGTGTGACCATATTTGCGTTTGTCAAAACCAGGACACCGTACGGGGGGTGGGAGGTGGGGACTCGTCATCGACATTGCGCGACTCTCACCTGGTAAAGCTTTTTCCCACTGGACACCGAAACATATGTTCCTGCTTTGTACACTGTGCACAAGGACTCCCACTTGTCCCGAACGCAACGGAAAGCGTGGATTTTCTTGTATAAATCATCCTTAAATACACATTTGTGCTTCGGTACATTGCAGACTGACCGAATGTTTGTGTTTGCTCGCTCCTTCTGAGTGCAGAGAGCTACATGTACGGACCCCTGTTTGGTCACGCTACGCACAGCAATCTACATTCGGTTTGTCGATTAAAATTAACGTAATCGATGAAATTCTTAATGATCAATTATCGAATAATCATGCCCATCCCTAGTCCATGATATTATAATTATCACAATATTTCAGTTATTGTTACATTCCTACGTTTTACTAAATATTACATTATTTTATTGTCCATTAGTATTCATTCACTCCACACTCAGTAATAGTAAGCCACTATTGTCACAGCTGCCCTGGGGAAAACTGACGGAAGTGAGGCTGCCAATCTGCACCATCAGCCCCTTCAACCACCGCCAACACAAGCACAAACACTCTGACAAGCCGGTATGGCCCTAAGAAAAATGGATTACAAAATGATGAATGATGAATGATGAAAGCAATTTGTGGTTACGACATTATACATTTAAAACACCTTGAAATGTGTTCATCTTCAAAATGTTCAAGTCAAAATTAAACTATAGTAGCTATTCTACAAGTGGGTTTCTAAAATTACTTTTCAAATAGAAGAACATGAGTAATGCATATTCAGATCATAACCCACAGACCACCTGCAGCACAGCGTCCTCACGGAGCCCACTGTTGGGTTTTGGGGGTTAGGATTTCGGATTAAATTGGAGTTGGTGTACTATGACCGCATCATTACGGGGCTAAGTGAAGCTGGGTGGGTTTCAGAGCCCCTGGACAGGACGCTAAATCACCACGCCTGGCCGAGAATCACTATCTTTAATTAGTTTGACCCTCCATTCAGGCTAAATAAATCCTGCAATACCAGAGGGGTAATGTGTCTAAAGTGGGAACGAGCGGACTTTCCAACTTAGAAGTTAGTCTGGAGGGGAAATAGAAGTTGAATATGGCAATAGGGTTGACACAATTAACCCTATTAATCAACATCAGTTAATATACTGTATTCTGGTCTTTTCATTTATTGTATGTACCTTACTATTTTTTCACATGTGAGCTCAAAGCAGTGAAATATTATGCCAACACTGTTTTTACTGTAGTACATTGTTTTCATTTATTTACTGAATATTATGTTTATTTAAGATACGGTTGGCACTTGTACCCAATTTTTATGTGTAATTAAGAGAACTTTGTTTTGCAGACATACTGTAAAGGCAGCTCTTAGGGTGAAAATGAGATTGCTGTATGCATCTAATTGTAAAGCATTTTATTGTCAGTGAAACAGGAAGTGCGATGATAGCATGCTGGTTGCTGTCTGCTGTTAGCTTTAGCGTGATAGGTCTACAAGGTATTATTCATTTGTGGGTGGACTCCACATACAACTGGGGACAAATGCATAGGAAGAGAGGTACTAACCAAAGCTTTGTTCTATTATTACGTTTTAAAGATGCATTGTATAACTTTTCTGGTAGTGGGTCCATCAAATGCCTTTCTCTGTGTAGATGTTATTGCTTCATCTGGAATGTTTCACAGTATGGTATTAAACCTTTCCATCTTCACAAAGACCAAACCAAGTTACAGGTCAGATCTGTGGAGAGGCAACCCCGCTCACACTCAGAATGTTGTTTGTCAAGGCATTTCTGAGCAATAAAGCCACCTGTAATTGAATAAATGTAAGGTAAAGCAGTTTACTATGAAACATTCCAGACAGAAACAAGAAGAAACAAGAAGATGACGGACCCCAAACAAAAAAGGTTATACAGTGCATCTTTAAAACGTAATAATAGAACAAAGCTGCTCCATACCTTAGTGGCTATACTGCCATTTATTTATGCCCCTATATTTTGTTTGGTTATTTCTAAAACACTGGGGTTCAAGTCTGTAAAATGAAGTTGAGTCCATTACTGTTTTAATGCATATGCCTGGACTGGGCTTACGTTGGTGCTATTGATTGTCAATTGAACAACTGAGGCAATCTGCATTAAGAGTCAGCATCTACAGTGTACCTCAGCCACAGATAATGCCCTCCATGAAGCACTATACATTTGGCTTCAGTCCCAACAGCACTCAGCCTTTACAGATGTAGCACAAATGAACTTGACTAGTGCCTGTCATCTTCTGTAACTGGTTATATTAAGGTCAGTGGATAAGGGACTAAATGGATTCTGCTAATTAACTGTTTAAAGATGATGCAGTCCAGAGATGTTAATGGCAGTACCTATACCTGTATGAAGATCAAACTGCACTGAATGAATCCTGGTTTTAGATTTGTCCAAAGTATTGAAAATCACACCAAACTAGATACTCATTTAAGCAAGTATAGAAGAAATTAACCCTTCCTGAAAACCTTTGGAATGACAGCGAGCTGTATCAGAACAAGTATAAAGTCACTCAGACTAGTATTTGCCCATGGACCACTATGGAATTTACCTGAATGGCTGAAGGATTACAGAGATATAAGGGCTCAAGGTAATAAAAGTTGAAAATTACATTCTATTATCATGGCATTGGTATTTTGCTGGGTGACTGAACAAAAAAGATGAGTGAGATTGGCAAAAGAAAAATGAAACAAGATTGAGGGCACCATCCACTTGGGTACCGTGGGTGCCACTAGAATGAATATGTATCATGGTTAGCCATAAAAACACTACATTTCTATGAGATGGTATAGTTTAGTCCCTGTTCCTCATCCCACAACTCAAGACTTTTTAGATATATTGACTTTCTGGGTTGTATAGGGTAGCACCTATTCCAGTCTCTTTCTGTGCGTTATGATTGATAAAATCCATTTTGTGCTATTTGTGCAGTTGTTATCTGCTTAAAGGTACACTTTTCTGATGGAGGGTCCGACAAATGCTTTTCTCCATTGAAATTTGATTTGCTTAGTCTAGAATGTTTCATAGCATGGTATTAAACATTTCTATCTTCATGGAAACCAAACCAGAACAAGTTACAGGTCAGATCTGTGGTGAGGCAACCCTGCTCATGGTCAGAATGCCAGTTTTTCTAGGTATTTTTCAGTAGTGAATATACTGGTTGTAAGGGAAATCATTTTTAGGTTCCAAAATGGTTGACATCTTCTACTCAGGAGGTTCCTGGAGTCTTTTAGGATTGTTAAAAAATTAAAACATTACTAGATGAAATCCCAGCTCCAACAAGCAGCACTGACAAAAAGATGATTAGTTGCCAAAGATAGGTTTAATTAAGTCTGGATCTATGCCTCCCGGCCATCACAGTAATGTGTAAAATTGAACAAGGAACACTGATGCAGACAAAGACATGGGGATGAGGTGGGCGTAGGCGAGCATATAGGGGCCTAAATGGTCTAGTCATTATTAGGGGGCATTCCTCCTTTTGGGGACGAAATCAGGTCCCTAATCCTTTCTTATTCAATCAACAACATGACTTGAAGTTCAAGTATGGGTTAAATAGGTTAAAGTGTAGGCTAGGTAAGTAATATGGTTAAAGGTGCATTGTGTAACTTTTCTGGTGGAGGGTCTGTCAAATACTTTTCTCCATGGAGATATTATTACTTTGTGTGGAATGTTTCAACATTTTTATCTTCATAAAGATCGAAACAAACAAAGTTACAGGTCAGATCTGTGGAGAGGCAACCCCACTCACAGTCAGAATGCCTGATTTCTTGATATGTTTGAGCACTAAAACTACTGTAATTGAGTAAATGTAAGGTAGAGCTGTTTAATGTCATACTGTGGAACATTACAGGTAGAGCAATGACGTCCTCATTGAAACAAACAGGTGACAGACCCTTCACCAGAAAAGTTACACAATGCAACTTTAAGATTAGGACAGATCTCCAGGAAATAAATATAGTGCATTGTAATGCCCCTCAAAAACATAGCTGAGGGGACTGTGGCTCTAATGTACTACAAATACCTGTGCTTGGAGTCATTTCTATAATGCCTTGTTTGGTATGATACTGATGGGGACGGGGGAATATTTCCTGCAGATTAAAGGCATGTCTGTTTCCTGCTTGAAGTTAGGGCCAACTACGCCATTTACTTTATTTCTCCTGCTTTTCTGCATGGGGTCATACACACAGCAGCAGCAATGAAAAAGAAGATATTGTTTCCGAATAAAGTTATGTCTTGATTTTTGGTGATAAAATAGTTGGATTAATCTGTATTATATTAAAATGATCTAAAGTAAGTAATCAAGTAATCTAAACCAATTGAATACCCAAAATAAGGTGGGTAATGCATTACTAGTCTTGATAATAGAGATTGACCAATATGTTTTTTTTTTCATGGTCAATGATGATACCAATGCCAGTTAGAATCCAGAGCAACCGATAGTCAATAAGCTCTGCCGATATTTTGGGGAACGATATGTAGGGCAGATATGGACTATTTTCCCCAAATTATGTAATTTAAAAGGTGCATGGTGTAACTTTTCTGGTGGATGGTCTGTCTAATGCTTTTCTCCATTTAGATAATATTGCTTTGTCTGGAATGTTTCACAATATGACAAACTGTTTTACCGTCTTGCAGATCAAACCACACTAAGTTGCAAGTCAGATCTGTGGAGAGGCAACCCTACTCATAGTTAGAATGCCCTTTTTTTTTAGGTATTTTTGCACTAAAAAACTAAAAAACTAAATAAATGTAAGGTAGAGCTATTTAATGTCATACTGTGGACCATTCTTAGGAGAACAATGCCATATCCGTTGAAACAAGCAGGTGACGAATCCCCAACCAGAAAAGTTTTAAGTACTAGTCAGTAATTTAAGATGGGCAGTTATCTCTTCGCACTTACACATATTCTTGAGGCAGAATGTCAGCCAAAATATTGGCCTCTGCTGGAGATTTAAGGCTGATAGCCTGTTTGCAAATTTCTACTACTTTCTAGTTCTCTACCTCTCTTTCAGTCTCTGCTTAATAATTTGAGGGTTGAAAATTATGTGATTTCTTAGGACTCATGAACCTTTGTCGCTATGTGGTTATTATACTGCTGATGAGTCACCTGATGAGACAGCAGTTTCACATGATATCTGAAATGAGGATGTCTTTATTTAAATGTGAAAAGAGCAACTTTTCTGGTGTGTCTGCTACCTACTTGTCTGTCTTGCCCTGGAATGCTCCATGGTATGACATTAAACACATCTGTCTAGCATTTATTCATTATTTATCATATATTTTATTACTCAAAAATACAATAATTCCTTCTGTGAAAAGGGGCGTCTCCCCATAGATCTGAACTATAAGGCAATGCTGTAACCTGCATGTCTCCCTCATGAATAGATTAAACTATACTGTGGAACATTCTAGACAAAGCAATAATATTTCCATGGAGACAAGCAGGTGGGCCCTCTACTATGTTACGCAGTGCACCTTTAAGTCAGCTGACAGTATCTCAGGTGGTTCAGTGTATCTATAACAAAAGGTCATAGTGGTTTTGAAGTCACTAGAATAGAGAGGACGACCACTGAGGGTTGTGTACACTTCTAAATATATTTACCTTCTGAAAATACAGAAACATCTTTTTCTATTTTTAAAAGGTATTTGCCATTCAACAAAAGGTTATGCGTTCAGTGCAATGTTTAAGGTTTAATGAGGTTTATTTAATTATGATGTCAAAACTTTGGACTGTAATGAGTAATTTCCTTTCTTTCTTTCTTTCTTTCTTTCTTTCAATTTCTGTCTGGTTCATCAGCTGATAGGCTCTGAGGTCCAAAGGCCAGCTCCAGCTCATGGTGCCCAAGATGGGACTTAAATCCAGGGAGGACAGGGCCTTCTCTGTGGCCAGCCCCAAGCTCTGGAAAGCTCTGCCCCCCCACATCTGAACAGCCCCCACATTGGAGTGTTTAAGTCTCGTCTTAAGACCCACTTTTATTCTCTGGCTTCTAACACCTCATAAATTGTGTGGTCCTCTGTGTCTTTTATTTAATTTAATTTATTTATTTTATTTTTTATCGTTTTTAGCTTTATGCATTTTAACACATTTTATTCATTGTTTTTATTTATGATTTAGTGTCTTTTACTGTATTAATTTGTCTGTGCAGCACTTTGGAAACTGTTATGTTTATAAAACGTGCTATATAAATAAAGTGGATTGGACTGGATGGGAATGATAAAGGATAAAAATTGTAAATAGCAAAAGTTTCTATAAAACACACACTGTGAAAATGGTTTACTGACCTACAAATGCGCTTCTTATTTGTGTCGGCCCACAGAAAATCCACAGCACTATGCCTTTAAATGGCTCCAACGCCCTGCGCCACCGCTGTTTGTCAAAGATGCGAGCGGCTTATTGTTATCCTTGAACAATAAATGAAGCTGATCAAGAAGATATGCCCTCTTTTAATTACAGATTACCTTTGACCATTGAACCTACTACGATATGAGAAGTTAGCTGCTAGCATTTACGCGATATCCATCACGTTAGCTCTCCATCCACTGCTAGCTTCGCACCTACCTTCATTGTAAAGAAAATCACAACATCCTACATTGATTTACCACCAAATCGTTATCATTTAATCGAAAGATTATTTAGTTCAATCCAAATCTCTGTTAAAAGGTGTGATTGATTCAAAGGTTCACAGAATTTCAATAAAATGATGGGTATTCCCCATACTCACAAACGTAATGGTGTTAATATCAAACAAGCACCTGCAAAATGTGGACTAAGTATTTCGATATTTATAACAAAATACATAATCAAATCACGTATCATCATAGGCCGAATGCAAAAGTAATGTTAATATATTTTACAACATGAACGACTATCTCAAATGGTACACGTGTATGAAAAATATAGCTGATTTGTTGTTATTTCAATATAGCTAATGAATGGGATTTGGCTGTCTCTCGCTTGAAGCTAATAATGGGTGACTCAGATTGGGATTCGTCACTCTTAACCAAAACTTCACTATTTCTATACATTATCTATTGAGATATATCCAAAACTTACCGAAAACAGCATGGAGTATATGTTTAGGGTGAATTTGATGAAGTAGTAGAAGCGATTGCTTTTTCTCATCTCTGAGTAGGGCGGCATGGTGCGCACGGGTAAGCTAGCTCTCCTTCGACCGCCTCAGGACACTTCCAAAATGATAAAACGTGACTAAAACGTGTTATTATGAATGAAACACAAGCTAACTGTATTTAAAAACCATCGCAGCTCTAGTTTATTGCTGCCTGGTGTTGTTGTAGCGGAGACAAAACCACTTCCGTGCGTCCGCCGGCGCACGCTTTGTTTTGACTACATCCTTAAAGGGACAGAACACACACTAACTACCGTCGTATTACGCCGGCGTAAACAATTAGTTACTGATGGATACTTATTAATCATGCTCCAAAATGCATTAGTTCAATACCAGTAATATTGTAGTATATAGTAATGTATTAAATCAGAATTCATAAATTATATATAGGATACACGAGTTAGCCTACCTGAAGTGTTTCTCATACTGTAGCACATATGTTTTTGTCCACCTACCTTATTAATAGTTTAGTCTGATAGGCCTATAGGCTTAATATGGTATAATAGGAACTGGGAAAGGCAAAAATATTATTTATTTTAGTGTTATTTCAGATTTAATCAAATTTAAGATCATCATATTGGCCTGAAATAGACTAGTTCCAAATTAGTGGTACTCAGAATGCCAAAAATCGTCTTTTGCGTGTTTTGTGTAGGACCATATGCCTAGTTTACTATTAGAGCAACATCAAATAGGCTATTTGTGCTAGATTTATAATATGTCCATAAATTAATATAGGCTACTTACACAGTTTACTTCCCTACAATAAACAAAAGCCTCTGATAATACAAACCCCCATTAATTTCTATTGCCTATTATAAGTTAGATGATGGGCCTATATCATTCACTAATACATTTGTCAATATTGCTTCTGTTTATGTTGTCGTAACCAGAGAAGTAGGTCAACCCAACCTAACTGTAACCCTGAGCTGTTTAAAAGTGCACTGTGTAACTTTTCTGGTGGAGGGTCCATCATTTGCTTTTCTCTGTAGAGATGTTATTGCTTCATCTGGAATGTTTCACAGTATGGTATTAAACCTTTCTATCTTCATGGAGACCAAACCAGACCAAGTTACAGGTCAGAGGGGCAACCCTGGTCACTGTCAGAATGTTGTTTTTCTATGTGTTTTTAAGCTATGAAGCCACCTGTAATTGAGTAAATGTAAGGTAAAGCTTTTCAGTGTCATACTGTGTAACCATAGAATCAAGCAGGTGACGGACTCCCAACAAAAAAGTTACACAATGCATCTTTAAGTCTCTGTTGACATGCTGACACCAAAGTCTTCCTCCTAAGTGACAAAGTATCCATATAATCTAGTTCCAGCGTCACGTCTCACCCCTGGCCTGTAAAGCTAATCCGTGCGGTGGCTCTGAGTTTCGTCATCTGTTGCTGACTGCTGTTGGATATATGTGGCATGCAGCTGACATAACAGTTAATTTACAAATAGGCTTAGACACTCACAAATCCTGCCATGACTGACATCATCTGTACAGGACAAACAACAAACAGCATTTATTTATTTAGAATTAATGTTATTATTATTCTGATTCCCTGCTTCCACAGAAGTATGCTGTTGTTGTGTCCTTGGGCAAGACACTTAACCCACCTCACCCCTAGTATCTGTGTACAATGGTGTATGAATGTGTGTGTGAAAGGGCGACTGGTTCCTTGATATAAAACGCTTTGAGTGCACTGAAGGAAGAAAAGTGATTTGTAAAAATGTGACCATACCAAACTAATGGCTCATAATAATAATTAATAATACTTAAATTATAATTATGATTTTCCTATTTATTTATGCCTCATAGTTTATTCATCCCACTCCAACAGCCACATTACACCCATCCTCTCCATCAAACACCGCACTGAATACAAAATCCTACTCCTCTTCATTCAAAGCTCTCCAGAACATTGCACCACCTGCTCCGTCCACTCCTCCTTCTCTCCTCCTTCTCTCTCCTTCTCTTCCTCTCTCTCCCTCTACTCCTCCTCCTCCCTCCAGCTCTCTGTTCCCTCTGCCTGTTTCATCACCATGGGGAGCAGAACCTTCAGTCGCTCTGAAACACTCTCCCTCCTGACCTCTGCAACACTCACTCACTCCCTCACTTCAAATCCAAACTCAAAACACACCTGGCCTATTCACTACACCATCACCAAACAATAGCTGCTCTGTCCCACTTTAACTGTATGTTTTTTTTCATATTTAAAGGGCCCATATTACACTTTTTCTGACCTGCTTATATAGGCTGGGTTCTCTCAAACTGAAAATGCTCTGTTCCACCTTGTGATGTCATGTGGTAGTACAAGAAGTGTTCTACTGTGTTTTTAAATGGCATACATCTTAACTAGAATCATTTGGATACTACTTTGGAATTGCCTTTTGCTACTCAAAAAAAGGTAACATGTAGCTGTTAATTTAAAAACTACAACTTTTTGAGTTTAGGAGATGTAGACAGACTAATCGTGCAGAATTACGGAAACAAAATACAACTCCAGGTCTGTTTTTGAGGAGGTAATAACATTATAACCTGGCTTAAAGAGTGAAGTTGTATAATACAGGTCCTTTAACTGTGTTCTATATTAATGGTTTTGTATTTGTTTATTATTGTAAGGCAACCTTGAGAGTCCGGAAGGGCACCCAATAAATAAAATGTTTTTTATTAGAGATTTAGACAGACTTTATTGATCCACAAAGGAAATTACTTGGAGTAGTTCTTACATCAAATTCCAATAATGAAGAAAAAATTAATAAATAAATAAATATATATATATAATATATATATATATATATATATATATAGATAGAGAGAGAGAGAGAGAGAGAGAGAGAGAGAGAGAGAGAGAGAGAGCGAGAGAGAGAGAGAGAGAGAGAGAGAGAGAGAGAGAGAGAGAGAGAGAGAGAGAGAGAGAGAGAGAGAGAGAGAGGGAGGAAGAAGTCGTATGGAAAACAGCGCAAAGACCCACACATTATTAAAATATTACCCAAAATGTCATCTTTAAAGTCAAGATTTTCTGTTTTTGACCTAAAAATATTGCCTTTATGCCTAAGTCATATTAACTGGAGTTATGAACCCCATTGTTCCCCACTTGTTTTGATTGCATGCTATTCTTGTCTTTTTTATTACCAACCAAATCCCAAACAAGCATAACAGTTGTGTAAAGTGGCCCCATCTTAATAAAGTTTTTCTTTCTGTCTTTTTTTCTGTTTTTTAAGACATGCTCTCTTCATTTTATGCTCAATTTGATTTTCTTCTAATTCCAAGCATTGTTGTATATATTGACAAACTTCTTGAGGAAATCCAACTTGCCAGTGTACTCAGACACTGAGGGCAAAATGAGTGAAATGAACAACATGATTTATCTTTGGGAGCTGGAATCGCACCGCCACTGGGTCATTTGTCCATTTTGAACCTGGCACAGGCTGTTCTCAGTCCCCAATGATGACAAATGAGCACAAATGTCCACCTCTCCTCAGTGGATATACATGTTTTAATAAGACTTAGGTACAGTTTATACAATTTGTCCTGGTTTAGGCAGTTATACAAGATAAAGCAGACATATTGTCCTTTTTTTTTTTTTTTTAAGAGTTTTTTTTACTACGTTTCCCTCACCAGTTATTCAGCCAAAGTCATTTGGGTAAACCTGCTGTTCACTAGAGCGATCTGCAGCTTCCATAGGAGGCACTGACACTTTGCTGTGATGACAGCTCCCATAGACCTTTTTCTGTAGGACTGCGAAACTTCCGGTAATGGTTTTCTGTGGCAAAATGTTTGTGTAAATGTCTCACGTATTCTCCACCAGCTTCATATGTCTGCCTGCCCCATCACCAAATCTTTGACCAACAAAGACAACAAAGGATATAAAGTCTTCCATAAAGAATTTATCCACAACTATGAAGGTAGGAAAGACAAAAGCTTAAAAGCGAACAATGACTGGCATTAGTGAACTACTTCTATAACTTGAAACTTATTAACTCAGACTGATTCAAACCTACAGGGCGGGACTTCCGATTGTTGTGAAAATGGTCTATTGGAGTTATTTTTTTATTATTTTATTAAAGGTGCATGATGTAGCTTTTCTGGTGGAGGGTTCTTTAAATGCTTTTTTTAAATGAAGATTGACACACAGTATTGAATTAAACCTTTCTATCTTCTTGGAGACCAAACCACACTCAGAATGTAATTTTTTCTAGGTATTTTTGAGCTAAAAAACAGCTGTAATTGAATACCCCCAACCAAAAAGGTACAGAGTGCACGTTTAAGTCCTTTTTGATTACTACTGCGATTTAAAATGTGTAAAAACGCAATGATCCATGTGTGTCATAAATTATAACTGTATAGCAGACACAAGCACAATATGTCTTATTTAAGATCTGGTTTAGACCCCGTTTGGTTTCCTAAGGAGTTACTTGTGAGAAGCAACAAAACTGTCCCATCCTTCTGCTGAAGATGGGGGCAGTTTGCATGAAATGAAATGAATTGAGTTTGAATTTAAAACAGCAGCATGTTTATGTGGTTAGTCAAGTATGTCCACTGGCACACAAGCCCTCCTGCAGCCTGCCAATAGATATCCACAAATGCTCCGCTACAGTCAGGATATATTTGCATTAGCATTTAGAAATGAGCTAATGCCAAATTAATTGAATGCTTTAGTGTTTTTTAAGATGTGTTTAGTCTTTAGTGTTTTTGGTTTTTTTTTACAGACTGGTATTTGGTATATAAATATGATATTTTTTTTAAACATTATAGGCTACATTAATTTAATGCCAAGGTATGTAACCATACATTTTAAAAAAGTAAAGGATGCTTTCTTTTGTTTATTTTGGATGTTTTTAATTGCACTTCAAAACTGAAACTGAAAAACATGCATCCTTAATCTGAGCGGCTTGCATTTCTACAAAACTGACTCTTATTTGGTCTGGAAATGTTGTTCCTTTGGCCTAAAACATCTGTCTTCACAAAGAATGTTCTGCTGTATGGTTTTAATTCTCTATTTCATAGAGCACCTTTAAATCCAGCTGTTACCAGTGTGATTTATCTACAATGGGAAGAGCATCCAAAGTAAAACCTTGAACGATAAAAATATAGTGCACTCCATCAACATCCAATAAAATAAAAGGAGAAGTAAAAAGTATATGACTGTAATATTTGTGGGTGTTATAAAAAGGGTTTTGAACATCATCCTGTTTTATTTCTTTGAAGTGATGGCAGTTTTT